TATCGCTGTCAGGAGCAACGCCTTTGGGGCCTTTACAGCTGTGCGCAAGGATGTCAGTACAACCCGCGATCAGATCGTGCTCGCACCACCAAGCTTGTGGAGAGATGCTTTTCGCTTGTTGCCTTTTCGAGAATACGGAGTGTCGCAGACGGTACCTGTTGCAGAGGTCGACGCGTGTCACGTCGCTCAAGCAGTGATCAGCAGAAGCTCAGCTGAAACGGACATCCTCAATATGTGTCAGCGTCACGAACCACTTTCGCAGAGTCAATACGATGTATGGATCACTTCTACCGTCACGGACGTACGGATCCCTATCCACTCCTTTATGCTGAAAGGAAGAAGCCGGGTTATGCGCACCGCGCTGGCCGAAGTGCAAGAGACGTATTACTACTCAATTCCTGATGTCATGTCAATCGAATACGGTCAAGACGGCCAGATCCAAGTTTCTTTTCAAGGGGCAGACTTCCTGACTCTTATGAACCTCGTTCTATACTTATACACTGACAACCTGGTCGATGTGTGGCATTATACGTCCAAGGCACTGCAGTCCGCTGCTCGCTTCAGGTCGGTACGCGTCGAGCTTATGAAGATTGCAAGTCATCTCGAGATGCGAAGTCTTGAACGTGCTGTACGAGTAATGGTCAACCCCGCCCGCAGTCTGACGAACGACATGGAGCTTGCAGTGGTGGATCCCGATTTCTTCTCGGACGCCGATGTGATTGTGGAACTCGCAGACGACGCCGAGCTTCCTGCACATAGCGTCCTGCTGTGCAACCGATGTCCCTTCTTCGACGGTCTGTTCAACGGGAGAGCTGGCGGCATGTGGATGGCTTCACGACGGAGTAACGCTGAAGATCAGGCAGCCGCTGTACGTGTCGATCTGAAGCACATTGATGAGAAGATCTTCGTCATGGTGCTCCGACACCTTTACGCTGACACTGGAGAAGAACTTTTTGACGACGTTGTCACTAGCAGTTTGGACGAATTTGTTGACATCGTCATTGAGTTAATGTCAGTGGCCAATGAGCTCATGCTGGATCGACTCGCACAAATCTGCCAGAAAACACTCGGCAGGCACGTCAATCTCAGAAATGTGTGCCCCATGGTCAACATTGTTGCAGAGTGTACAGTCGATTGCTTCAAGAATGCCGCACTCGAGTACATTTGCCTGAACTTGGAAAGCATGTTGGAGCTGAAGCTGCTGGACGACTTGGACGAAGATCTGCTTGTTGAACTCGATAAAGTCGTCCAAGCCAACCAGTTAGCCTTTCTCCCTTTTGCTCGAAGCAATCGAGCTGCGACTGAGCTGTTGGAGAATTACCCAGGGCTGTTAGGTCAGATTGAGGCTGGCCGGCAGACGAGGATAGATTCTATGAGGCTAAGATCAAGACTGATTGAAGACGAGGGACGGTTTGCAGCATCGATGAAGTCGCGATACGGAAGCCTGGAACGCGCGAGCTGCTCGCCCCACAACAAGAGCTCCTTACCAACGCCCGTGGATTCATCACCACCTAGTACTCCAAGCCGCAGCCCAGCGATCAAGGCAAACGACGCAGAGGATGATCTCCCGTTCGACATGGATGGCGATGAACCAGACCTGCCCCCAGCGTCGAATAGCGAAAACACCCTGCATGCTCCCGGCAAAAAGGATCTGTCTCTTGGGCGTGCCGCTTCATCTGCAACAACAACACTCCCTGTAAATGATTCACCTCCTTTGATGACGAGGTCGCGGGAAGCGATTTCCAGTTCGCTAAGGTTCAATGACGAAGACTCACCTGAGTCTGCTGTCATTGGAACAGCTACCAATGGTTTTGCGGCACAGAGAACTGCATGGAGGGTTCCTACTCAAGGTGTCAAGAAAGACGGTCTCAAGGACATTATGGAGCAAGCCTCAGCTGCGCGAGTGTCGAATTTGACTCAGGCAATGCGGACTGCTTCAACGGGATCAAAGGCCAATGCCAAAGTTTCGCAGAAGGAACGCAAGCGGCAGCAACAACAAACCAAAGAGCAAAATACCAACCCCTCGGGTCTTTCGGCCGTCAAACCTACGACAAACAGTCCCTCTTCGCCATGGCAGGCAATTGCAAAGACTACCAAGCCCAATTCCTCACCGACTGTATTTGCACCAATCGAGGCGGTCAAAGAGGCTGCTGTGAAGCAGCCAATGACAATGCGTCAGACTGTTGCCCGAGGCACCTCAACCACCGGTTCATCCCCTAAGGGATCAGCTGGTGCGGGACCTGCAATCGGTCTCACAGCTCCTTCCAAGCCGGCAGCTCCACAAATCCAATCGATCCGTCATACACCACTGCCAACGAGGGCCTCAGCGGTTGACGCACGCACATCAATGGCTGAGATCTTGGCTCAACAGCAAATAGAAAAGATTGCGGTCAAGGAGGCGATAGCGAAGAAGTCTCTTCAAGAGATCCAGCAAGAGCAGGAGTTTCAGGAATGGTGGGACAATGAGAGTCGGCGAGTGCAGGAACAAGAAGCGCAGGCCAACGCGGCTGCTACCGCTCGTCGTGGAAAAGGCGGCCGTGGACGAGGGGGACATCGTCGAGGGGGGCCACAGGGCAAAGCATCGACAGTTGTTGAGGCTGGTGAGCAGCAGAAGAAATCTTCAATGGGCTCGGCCTCGGTGAGACAGGAATCTGGATCAGGACAAGGAATTGGGCCAAGTAATGGGCTGCGAGGCAGTGCCAGCAGTGCACGAGCCCGGGGTCAAGGGAAACCGCAGCATTCTCATCGAGGGGCAAGGCATCAATCATGAAGGAGTCATAGAGGCTCAGAGAGGGACACGATTTTGGAGAAAGAGTTTTTGTACATCATGATAGAAGGGATTTGCTTCTGTAGGGGCGTGGGGGAGTCGCCAGTTGTATCGAAACACGCTAACAGTGGCTGAACAAGGAAATGCTTCTTTTGCCCTGGTCCCAATCAACCTGGGGCCTTTCAGTCCCCTGAGGTGCATTAGCAGAGGAATGGTCCTCCTCATTGGCAGTATTCTTCCTGGTGACAGACGACTAAGGGGAATGAACATCTGTGCTCGTAGAAGTCCTCGGGTAACAAGGTCCTGCATCAACAAAGATGTCGTGCCATACCCGACACGGAAAAGCTCCAGCAGCCTGGCAGTTCAGATTCCCTCTAGCACCGGCACTTTGCAGCGGCCCGCACACAAAAGGGCCGCACGCGTGTTTGCCTGGAAGAAACAAGGGAGAATAGAAAGCTGAAGATCAAGGCTAATGGCACAAACGACAAACCTCACCACTGATGCCTTGGAATAGCCAAAGGGGAGCCTACAGGTAACAGGCAGCAAGGAGCACACACAAGGAAATTCTTTCCTGGTTTGTTCCAATCGACCCTCCAGCGTGCTGTGGAGAAGAAGCCCCGGCTGGATTGACGAGGATCCATCCAGTCAGCCTTGGTGATTTTCTCGAGACAACAATAATGACTCTAAACGGACCATTCGAGGGGGCACTGTGGTGATAATATTTCCCCCCTTTTGTACCAAATGAGGACCTTGGAATCAGCCTTAGTGCCACGGGGAAGCTGAAGTTGGCGTAGCCACGGGCGGATTCGGGACGAGGTGGATTGATGGGGTTCGCAAATCGATTGGGTTGAGCCATCGCCAGCAGATCATTTGCGCGAAGGAAGAGGACGGGCTTCTGCGTTTGAAGCGGGGAAGGAATATGAATGGTAGAATGAAAAGGAGTTGACGACCTAAATCGACATGTGGCCTTGCGAGATGTCGACATTTTCGAGATTGTGTGCGTGGGAGAATCTCAATCGTCAGACAAGGAGGCATGGGGGGACGTGACGGCACGGCGGCACGACAGAAAGACGCATGTCAGTCAAAATAAAGCAGCCTATGGGGCGCACTTGGATGGGGGTTCCATCCACAGGGATTAAGGTACGATGCAGGCGATGCAGGCATTGCCCAGGGTCGTGCATATGGGGACATAATATGATAGCTGGCTAGTAGTAGCAAAAAAAGAAGACGGGGAATAAGAGCGGTGATGAGAGGGAGTATCTGCAGGTGAGAAGAGTGAGTGAGCAAGAAAGAGCTGCAGGGAGAAGAAGAGGTGAACGAGTCCTCTCGGTATACACGGTACTCCTGCTCTTCTTCACCGCAGCCGTTGTTTGGACGTTTTTCCCTTCACCGGCCAGCCCACCGCAGGCACCACAGGCACCGCAGTCCACCGCAGGCCACCATACAAGTCCCGTAGACAGGGCCAAGAGATCGTACAGTTAGTCAGGTACTAAACTCGTTTGGTTCAACAGCTCCCACCCTCTCTGCCCACCCTGCCCACCCACCCCCAGAGCGCATGATGCGTGAAACCTGCTACTACTACGGCTGCGCTGCTGCTGCTGCTGCTTCTCCTGCTGGCCATCCGCCCTCGATATACATTTTTCCCGACATTCGATGACTCTTCCAGTACTTATCTCTTCCCTTTCTGTCTCCCACCTCATCGTCCTCAGTCCTGCTCCACCCCCATTCTGACTCCTGCTCGTTGTTGCCTGCTCACCTCTATCCTCTCACTTCATCGCCTTCGCATGACCCCAATCTGACCCTGGTCCAAAGTACCTCACGCCGCCAGCCCGCGCGACCTCCAATCACATGCGGCCTTCGTCATATGCCCACGACTCGAGACCATCTTGAACGGAAGCACCTCAAACCTCAACCACATAACTCTCCGCTGACCATTTCCATCCCACTTTATCCCTCTTCTCGGTCTGACGCCACAATGGCCCCTTCATCGACTTAGTCTGGTCTTTTAATTACGTCCATCAGCCTTGTACATCAAAGTCCCAGATGCCTTGACCGCTACCCACACCTGCGCCAGGACTGCTGCATACGTTTTGTGGATATCACATTAATGAAGAGCAATGGATGGCTACCGAATACCCATCAGTCCCAACTCACCCCTTCAACGCTAAGCCAGGCACACTGGAAGTGAAAATAACAGCACCCAATTTACGTTCAAGATCCCGTTTGACGCAATATGCATCAACACCCTCGTCCGCCTCCTCTCACAGCATCCCCCGCCGCCTCTGAGCAAACAAACCCTAGCCGCACCAACAACCCAAGAGATCGAGACGTCCAGGCTCTCCGAACAAACTCTCCTCTCACCCAAGGCTCCGGTTCGTCCGAGGACTTTGCTTCTGCCCGTCAAGATCAACCTGCGGACAACCCCGGCGTCCAAATGCAGAGGCTCAATCAGGTCATCCAGAACTTCCATACCAAGTCCGCCTTGATTATCCTGCAGTCTCGAGTCGAATTGGCACCGGCCTACTCTCAGAAGACGAACGATAAGAGAGTGAATCGGTGGTTCAACATTGACATTGAGGAGACGGATGAGTACAAAGATGACATCAAGAGGTGGAAGACATGCGATGTCGACTCCAACAGGCCTCCTCCGTTGGTCATTGAGCTTTTCCTGAGCACCGAGTCTTTGCAACAAGGCCAGCGACTGGTCATTGTGGACGAAGACGGCAAGAGATGGGATGTCATGAATACCTTGATGTCAGCCCATAGTGCTTTGCGCGGGAACCAGCGTCGAATGGCGGACATGGATGAAGTCATCCTCGAGCGGTGGACTATAGAGCTCGGTGAACCGACAGCTCCCATCCCTGCAGATCTCGCTATGGTGCTGCCACTGGTTTACAAAAAGAGCATTGTTTTCTTCAGATCTCTCTACACCTACAGCAATTTCCTGCCAGCTTGGAAATTGTCAAGGAAGATTGGCAAAGGACGCTCACATATGGCGATGAAGCTGGGCTATAGATTGGTCGACGGCTCTCACATGCGGAGCTTGTCTCGCTCCGACAACCTGGGCACGCGACTCTTCGACAGCAACTCGGGCGTCTTGTTGTCCTACGATTTTGGTATAACAGATTCACCTGCTGGTCCTTTTTCTGTCAAGGTTGATTACCGCCAGAACTGTGATTTTCGGATAGACGACTCCGAGGAGTTGCTGAGCTCTCGGTTCTTGGGCGCTGATGACGAGCTATTTCGGCCTTCATTACCCAGTGAGAAGACGCCCAGGACAGAAATTGGATCTTTGCCTGCAGATCGACGACAGAGGCTACTGGAACAAGCAGAGCTGGGTCATGCATATGGGAGTCTGACGAGCTTCCACCAAGCAGGTATTGCTACCGGAACCGATCCAATTTCTGCTTTGCGAAACGCTCAAGACTTCAATGCAAGCTCTCCTCCTGCTCCTGAACCAGCAAGGGCAGCTGTGCCCTCGCAAGCAGCAGGCCAAACCTCGCGCAATTCTCTCAGAAATGCAGCATACAACCGGCGAAGTTCAACTTCGTTCTCCGTCCAGCCTTTCAAGACACCCACTTTGTCAGCATCTCCACTGGGCGTTTCTCCTTTGGCCAGTTCGCCAAGAACGCATTCTGCACGAGTTCCCGTCCTGGGCTCCTTGACGGAAGAGGGTATTCCTTCCTCCACAGCGGCCCCTGTTACTCTGGCCGGGCGACGAGCTGGATCTCTTGCCTCGGACAACGCCATCGCCTCTTCCACCTCAAGTTCTCCAAAACCCGCTCCTGTCACGAGATATAGTAGTAGTTTTAGCCACAGACGAGCTCGGCTTTCCTCGGGAGGAACAACTGTACGAACAGATGAAGATCAGACGAGCAGTGGAAGAGGAAGTGCCACCTCGTCTGCTCAGCCTGGTTCGGGGCTGATGACAGAGGGACCCACAGCAGGTGGCAGCTCGGGTTCAATGGGAGATGACGACGGAGAGAATATCTCGAGTTTCTTGAAGATGCTGGAACAGCAAAAGGACCTTCTCACTCCCACAACCACGACGGCTGCCGAAGCAAACACGAGGAGAACTGCCGCTGCCCTTAATCGATATCACAGAATGCGAGATTCCAATGCTGCTTTGTCGGATTCTATGACGTCGTCGTTGATGTTGCAGAGATCGTCGGCATCGTCCAGTCGTCAATTGTCTGGAGTTCCTCCTATGGTAGCGGGCACCTCTATGTCCACCTCGTCCTCTCCGGGAAAGCCAATCTCACCTCACACACCGCACACTCCCTTTGCTCCGTCTCGACTTAGCGCTGCTTACAGCCATGATGACGCTGACGAGCCGCACCGTCTGGCTCCCGAAGAGCCACCATCACCGTCCGAAGCTACAACAGAGGAGACTGCACACGCTCAGTCAACCTCCAATGTTCCTGCCATCGATATTCCCAGCTCCCCTAGGCCTTTTTCGTCATACCAACGTTCAAGCTCTGCTCAGCGCAGGCCATTGAGCTCAGACGAAGACATTGGTGATCTGTATGGGATGCGAAGTGCCAGCATGGGAGCTGATCGTCGGGGTCACCGCCGGGAATCTGCTCAAGATCATGCCAATGGGGCTGTCGCAGATGGACAGATACCAATCCAGCCACCGTCCATCGGGTCACCTCGACAATCGTCCCAAGTCCATCGCCATTCGGGTCTGGCGACAGCCCTTACGAACGATGACGGCGCTTCCGATAATTCTGGCTCGGGTCGATCCACTGCCTACCGCAATCAGGTTACAGCCGCCAGAAACGGCATTGGACGACGAGCCACACCACCTACAGGATCAACATCAAGCATGGGCGGAACTCGAGGCAGTATTGATCCCGGGGGCAGCAGTGGCAGCGTCCCATGGCGAGGAAGAAACAGTGGGAGTCGACCCGAGAACCGATTCGACGATGACGATCTTCTACCTTTCGCAATGGAAAAGAGCGATTTTAACACAGCCGGGAGAGCAGGTGATGGAAGTTGCCGAGAATAGATCATCACTATGCCCTGGGACAGCCTGGCTCAGTAATTGCATCAACCCGAATGTGCATAAGATGCCACGTAAAGATCAATTCGGGCATGAAATGATAGAGGAGCTCCACGACCACGGAGTCAACGACTTTTGGGCTTCTGCGCTGGTGTTTCAAAATGGGTGGATATTTTGATTGGCGTTATTACTACGGATGGATCCTTAGTGTTTTACGAGTGTCAAATCTTCTGTTTTGTTTCTCGGCGGCGTCGGGCTCGACCCACAGGATGCGTTATATTCTGTCAATGAGCGTTTCAGCGCAATCTACGTTGCAACCGAGGGAAGGCTGGTTTGACTTCTCACCAGTTGAGTGGCGGGAATTGGGTCGTCGATGTGCCAATACAAGGATCGATGGGAAATATGCGGAACTGGGCTGGTCGGAGCTGGGCATCGATTGGATAAGGGTGCGCTGCTCGACTGATGATCGGGGATTGCCTTCATCTCTCGCGGGTTTTCGAGGGAAAGCTACACAGGAGGTTTGGAGCCTGAGGTCTCGCCTATGAACCAGTCAAGGAATCTGGATATACAAGTGGCAGTCACAAGAGGGCAGAAGAAGACGGACCGAGTTCGAAACGTGTCTTACAAGTTCCCGGCGTTCCCAACTGAAGTGATGACTGGCGAGACCCTTGATCGGGTCGGTGGCATTGTATTTCCCAGGCCTAGATGACTTGTCGGCTGCTGTGGCGCAACTGGAGGGAGGGTTTGTACTGCAAGATTCTATAGTAAATGTATGATTTGGCCTACGCTGTGCCACCCTTTTACACTCCCTATCTGCCTTCTGTCGATATCATTACTATTGTCTATCTACCAATGTAGCGCGAGTGTGCTAGGGATTGATTACCTTGCCGGCACTGTCACGACTGTGTACTGTGAACTGTTAACTGTGTACTGTCGAGCTGTGTACTATCCGTTATGTACGGTGTACGAAGCACCATCGTGTACCATGTATCATGTCCCGTGTACCATGTTCGTACCATGTCCTGTGCACAAAGTACCAATGAGCGGTTTGGTATATACCGTACCAAGGAAAATAGGTTGTTGTGTGATGGATTGGGATGGTTTGGATGTACTCGGCCGTACTCAGGAGAAGGGAGACAGTAGATAGAAGACAATTAAATGGTAGATGGTAGATGGTAGACAGTAAACATTATCAGTCAACATTAAAGGAGTGACAAGTAACGCGGGAGAGAGTAACTATCTACTCACTCGGTCGTGCGCATAAGTATGTAAACCAACAAAAGGCGCCCCCTTCATCCAATCCTGAATAAAGGTCGTCTATTCCCGCGGCGCAAATGCAATCCTCCCATCATTAGACAGATAGATAATATCAAGTAACTCATAATTTCTTCCCATCCTTCCATCTGTCGCTGTTTGACAATTTTCCTCCGAGGGATATTACTTCCCCCAATTATCCAGATTTTGGTGTCTCAGATTTACTTCCTGCCTTGACACGTTCCCAGTCATGAGCACCCGTGGAGGATTGAATCTAATTTTTCCATCCAGTGCTTTGGCTTGGGGCTGGGCTTGGGCTATGGCTCTTGCCTTGCCAGTCTTGCCAGCCCCACGACGTACCGGTAGCAGAGCAGCTGGTCACCGTAGCAGTGGTGGTCTCCGACTCGGTCACGGTCGTAGTCGCAGTTTCGGTAACGTACACAGTAGAAGCAGGCGCCGTGGTAGTCACAGTGGAGGCCGGCGCTGTCTGCGTTACGTACACGGTGGTAGTGGCCGTGCTAGGGGTGCATGTGCTCTTCCAGTCATTCCATCCTGCAGATTGCGAATGTTGAGGAGCCGGAGCAGGAGCCGGAGCGGAGCTCGATTGCCAGTCATTCCATCCCTTAGAAGACACCGGGGCTGGAGCCGGAGCGGGAGTGGTCGTCGGCTTCACGGGCGGAGCAGGTACACTAGACCATCCGCTCCACGATTGAGAGGAAGAAACAGGCGGCACGACAGAGGAAGACCAGTCATTCCAACCTTTTGTAGTAGCTGAGGAGCTTGTCGTAGGGACAACGGGAGTCGTCGAGGTGCTCGACCAGTCATTCCACCCTTTAGTGGTTGTGCTGCTGGTCGTAGGAACAACGGGAGTCGTCGAGGTGCTCGACCAGTCATTCCACCCTTTAGTGGTTGTGCTGCTGGTCGTAGGAACAACGGGAGTCGTCGAGGTGCTCGACCAGTCATTCCACCCTTTAGTGGTTGTGCTGCTGGTCGTAGGAACAACAGGAGTCGTCGAAGTGCTCGACCAATCGTTCCACCCTTTAGTAGTTGTGCTGCTGGTCGTAGGAACAACAGGAGTCGTTGAGCTACTCCAGTCGTTCCACCCTTTGCTCGTCGTTGATGAGCTGGTCGTAGGAACGACAGATGTCGAACTACTCCAGTCGTTCCACCCTTTGCTTGTGGTGCTGCTAGTTGTAGGAACAACAGAGGTTGAGCTGCTCCAGTCATTCCAGCCTTTGGTCGTAGTCGTGCTGCTTGTTGTGGGCACAACAGAGGTCGAGCTGCTCCAGTCGTTCCATCCTTTGGTGGTTGTGCTGCTTGTGGTAGGAACAACGGGAGTTGTCGAAGTACTCGACCAGTCGTTCCAACCCTTGCTGCTTGTTGTGCTGCTGGCTGCTGGGCTGCTTGTGGTCGTGGTTGTAGAGACAATAGTTGTGCTTGGAGTTGACCAGTCCCCCCAGCTGCTGCTTTGTGCAGGGACCGTAGAAGAATAGGTGCTGCTGGCGGCAACGGTCGTGCTCGACGAGGCCCACTCGTTCCATGAGGTTTCTTGACCACGAGGCAAGACCGCTGAGAGAGCGGGGGCGAGGAGTGAAAATAGAACGATTGGTTTGGCCATAGTGGGCGAGAAGAACGAATGTGTGTATAACAGAATGGAAAACAGCGAATGACAGGAGGGCTTGTAGAATGATGAGAATCCTCACAGAAAGCGGGCAAATGCCTCGTTCTTATACATACCTTTCAGCATGGAGGTCTCACACCATAGAGGCGAGCGACTCGATCGTCATCCAGTACCTCGAAGGCGCAGCATGGCAACGTCTCATCGAAAAGGAAAAGCTGATCCGGCTGAAAGGTGGATGTTGGGCCAGTTCCCCACCACGTGGATGCCAAACAAGGCGTATGTCTTTCGTACCATGAGGAAGAGTTGATGGCTGGGGTCCCAACTGGGGCAGTTTAAGGCCGTCAATACATACTGCGCGATGAGTATATGCCTCGATGTGCCACTTCCGGTGACCGTTTCTGAGCTTGGCTAGTGGTTGTTGGAGGCGAAGTCTCGGTAGACACAGTTATGGATTTGGGCCAAGTCAGTCTGTGGCAGGGATTGGTCCGTTACATCGGTATACCCGCTCCTCGCCTGTAAGTCAGACCGTTTCTCTCTCTCTCATTTGTCTGTTGTTGGCCCAGCCAAGTATTGTACATAATATCAATAGAGCACGCGTGAGAAAGATGGCGAGCAGCAGTCGTATGCGGATGCAATGTCTCAGGATCGGTGGATCGTCCATGCCGATATTCTCCCAGTCGATTCGGCTGTGGCCTTGAAAATGCACAATTGTATGATCCACAGTCTACCGAGAGTTCCGAATTCTGGGTTTGACGTCAGGAGTGACCGCCTGCTGGGGCGCTGGAGCAACTGTATTTCGTATACTGCAAATGAACGTATAGGGTGCCTGGCGTTGGTGACAGTAAGGTGGTATAGCATGCATGGCTGCGGAGAATTTTTTCTTTGCCTTTCCCAAAAGTCCCCAGCATGTCTGAGACAAGGTGTGGCTGCGAGGGGCTGATCGAATCAGAGCAGGCGGCCATCAGCGGTGGTCGACTCTAAATTTATCAGCCCGTGGCGAAGACAACGCCATCGTTCGGCCAGCTGCGTGGCGGCGCCTGCGAAGATCCCGAGGGGCCGAGAAAATGCAACGACACGTCGTTGAGTCGTAATGGCTGTATCCACTCAGCTGGTCTGTATCTCGATGAACCCTCAGCGGATCAAGTAAGAATCTGGCACAGGCTTACTTGGAATTCTCGTCCGTATGCACAGGAGTAGAACCTGAAAGTAATCAACCAAGACTGGCTCCTTGGAGATGTTCCCCACTGCGTATTGTGTGATCAGAAGAAAGCTGCTCATGGAAGGTGGTTACTGAGACATTTCTCGAAAGGTCCATTGGCTCCTCAGGCATATATCAAGTTATTGGGGTCTGATGAATTGGACAAGACAAGGGCAGGTGAAGTGGATGGTGAGTAAGTGTTACCTAGCACGATTGTTTGATCCGCAGTAGAATTGACTACGGAGAATTACACGTGACTGAAGCACAATACTTGCTTTCGGATTCTGCGCAACACATTGACATTTCTCATGTACATGATTTCCATTGATGAAAATGAAGCAACCAAATCAACATATCTACCTCACGAGCCACGACACGGACCACAGCTGACAAGACCCTTCTTTTTCTTCTCGACTGGGCCATGCAGGAGTTTTGCCTGATCTCTCACCTTTCACGATTGTGTTTGACCGACCTCCAAAGAGCTGTGTGACATCAAACGAGGTCCAAAACAAGACGCACAGCACCTGAATCTGGGCTGGGGCTTATACGACCCTCGCCCCTAAGACAGTCCGCATCAAGGAGCTGCTGAAGGATTGCAAAAGACAGTGAGTGGTTGTGAGTAGAGCTGATGGAGTGGAGACTGAAGAGTCAAGGCTGAAGCGGATCTGGACTTCTGACAAGATGGAACAAACTCCCAAACGAGAGGCGGCCTCGGACGCCGTGCCCACGGCCAAATTCTTACAAGGTATGAGCAGTCACTTGTTTGGGAAAGTATCATCAGCGCCCATGGAGTATTATCCCCTTGATTACGATCCGATGGATCTTCATGGACTGTAAAGACAGATCCTGCTCTGACAGCTGCCTTCCAGCCCGCATTACTGCTCTCTCAACCACCCTGATCAAGAGGCTCGAGAACATTCTAGCTGTGGCTCTCGATGACACCGCCGCACAATCCGCCGCGGCGTCTGCAGGCACAGCGAATGCTCCAGCTCCACCATCATTGACAGACACGGCTGTTCAACAGTTTCAACTTGACGTCGAATCGACGGCAATCGTTCGCGCGGCAGAGGAGATCATAATGTTGACACGGACGATGAAGGAGATCTGGCTCTTTGGCGGATTGGACACGCTCAAAGACGACCACGAAGGCCAGGATGTCAACGGCCAGGACAAGGCAGCAATAAGACTGAAGATGGAGGAGGATGTCAAGGTGGTGGAAGAGGGGTTCAAGAAATTTCTAGAGAAGTACGAGACAGCGCTCGACGTGAGCAACACCAAAGAGTGACACCTAAGCGATCCAACTGGCCCGACGATGGATCTATGCGTCTCTATGTGACCCTGCAGAGGGCACCCGAGGGGACACTGATATCAGATTACCCCTCCATACTCATGTAGTCTAGTGTCTACCTATGGATTGTATCCAGTACCTTGGGGAAAGTACTGAGTACCAGGACAGGGATACGGCGTCAAATATTCCCTCGCGGCCACAGCCACGGCCACCACTCCCATTCGGGCAGCAGCACCGCCCACACTGCATGCAGGCTTTGGTGAGAGGTACACGGCAGATATATAAGTACCTACTAGGTGTCTACCCAAGCCAGCTAACAATCCTACTTGTTAACCGAGCGCAATACCCTGCAGGACTACCAACTGCTACTTGCTGACTTATCTAGTATTAATCACAGCTAGGTATCTAGGTACATACCTACCTATGCAGCTACAAAGACATCTACCCTTCCCCGAGCAACTCTAGCCTGTTGGCCTGGTTCTACTGTACACTACTATACCTAGTGCGCACGAAACATCTCCAAAGACTCTCCAAGTAGATCCTGGCGGTACTGTACCTACAGCATCGTAATCACGTTAGGAAGGTAGGTACCATGATGTTTGTACCTCATCCCCGGGTTTGGACCTACTCGTAGCGCCTACAGTAGGTGAGTAGGATGGCCCCATAGACGCCATCTAGCCCCCCCCTCAGTGTGCCGCCAGGGGTCAGCGCCACCCGCGCCACCAACGCGATGCATGCAAGCCAAATGGAGGGAGATCGAGGATCGAGGGGCGATCATCTCCGAGCGTCTGGACTTCGGGCTGAAAAAAACGGCTTGCAGACTGTTACCCCCCAATGAATTTCTTATTGCTGCCCATGGTTTTTGGGGGGTTAGAATGGTTCTGGATAGTGTGTGGATAGGTATGTCGTCGCGAGGAGGGTCTAGACCAGCTGGAAGTCTTGTCGTTGATGTCTAGCTATGTAGCTAGGTAGATACAGACATACGAGGGGGGATGCAGCTAAAAGGAAAACAAAAATTCCATACCGCGCAACACACCACCACACCACGCACACTGGACAACTCTCACTTCCTTCTCGATCACTCATATACATCACGAGGTGTTCTCAGACGCAGTACAACACACACAGTACAGTACGCACATACATGCATCGGTATGAACGTACCTGTCCGTCCGTCTGTGTATTTATCGATCTACTGTCCCTAGCTTAATAGTACCAGGGACCAAGCGATCTTCTCCTGGCTGTGGCGTCATCTCTTTTCACTACACTTCAACCCTATCTACCTAGTTCCTACCAAGGTTCTACTATCTACGAGTATCTCTCTTTTGCACGCCCCTCCTTACACTTTCACGGTCTTCTCGGATTAGATGCGCAAAAGCAAAGACCTAGAAAGGAATCCGATAAATTGAGGACACGATACAGACAAGCTGAATCTACATACCCCCCAAACTCATTCAGGGAAAAAAAAGGGGATATTTGGATAAGAAACGTCAATATTGGAAAAATTTCCCAATATTTTGTCAGGGGTTCTAGAACACATAGTCTCCACCAACACCTCCCTCCCTCACTTTGAAGAAAATTCCCCCCGACAAAAACCCCCAACGCACTGCCCGTGGCTCCAAGGAGAGAGGAAGAGGGACAAATAACATAACATGACGGTACCAACACCACCGTCGACCACGCTCTCATCACCGCCATCGCCCACAGAACTGGCCACGCCGAGGCTCCCAAATTTCGAGAGGGACAGCGAGGACGAGGCCCAGGCCCGAGCCCAGGGAGAGGAGGAGGAGGAGGAGGAGGAAGAAGAGGATGCCGAGATGCTCTCGCCGTCGTCGAAACGCATCATAAAAACCACCACCACCATCGTCAAGCCCATCTTCATGCGCCCGAAACCCATCTACGTAATCGTCGCGACGGCGCTGAATCCGCCCATGGGCATCGGCCTGAGGGGCCAGTTACCCTGGCCGCCCATCAGGGCGGACATGGCGTTCTTCAAAAATGTCACATCGTACGTCGCCCCGGAGGTCACCAAGGTCGGTTCTTCGCAGTCGGAGCCTTCTTCGTCTTCTTCGTCGGCGGCGGCGACGGCAGGGCCGCGAACGCTCAATGCCGTGGTCATGGGCCGCAAGACGTGGGAGAGCATCCCCCCGAGATTCCGACCGCTGGCAGGCCGACTGAACGTGATCATCACTCGATCAGATTCCGAGGAACTCGGACGGAAGATCCTCGAGGAATTGACAGCCACGACGCCGCAGCGGCAGTGGGAATTACATACCCTCCCCGCCCCGTTCCCGAGTATGCGGATGAAACTGAACTCGAGTTCGAAGAAAACAGCCGCCCAGCGAAAACCCAACACGATCCTCCTCCCAGTCCCACTCCCACAAACATCGTCAAGAGACGCGTCGTCGATATCTCCCATCCTCATCTCCTCCTCTTTGCCATCCACTCTCTCGCTCCTCTCCTCACAAGCTCCGATCCAGATCCCGATCCCGATCCCAATCCCCATTCCGCAGGACCTCGCCATAACCGCCACACCGACTTCCGCCCCAGGATCTGGATCATCCCGAGAAACAGGCGTGGAGCTCTCCATCCCCAAGATCTTCTGCATCGGCGGCGCCGAGATCTACCGCCAAGTCCTCTCCCTCTCGTCCGCGACGCTGCACACGCCGACACCCACGACCCCGGTCGGGAGCGAAACAGGCACCGACACCGAAGGCGAAATGGGCGGCGACGGCTCCGGCAGACACTTTGACGTGCGGATCCTGCAGACGCAGATTCGGCGGAGTCGCCAGAATCGAAATCGCCCGTCGTCTACCACCACCACTCCAAACACGGCCGCCTCGGAGAAGCTCGAGGATGGATCCTCCGAGGACAGATTCGACTTCGAATGCGACATGTTCTTTCCCGACCTGCTCCCGTCGCCGCATTCGGGCATCAAGTCGGCAAAGTGGAGACACGTCACGCAGGCAAAAGTCCAGGAGTGGATCGGGAGGGGCGTTGAGGTGCCCCAGCACCAGGGGAGGAGGAAGGAGAGCATTGCGGGCGCGGTGGCGGCGGGGCGAGACGATGATGACGATGGCGATGAGGAGGGACGAGGGGACGACGACCAGGGAGGTCGAAAGGATAGTACCGCCTCCATAGCGGGCAGGAGTGCAAAGGACATGTGGCTCAAGGACGACAAGACGGGTGTCGAGATGCGTGTGGTGGGTTGGGAGAGGAGGTGACAATTCCAAACACCAACACTATTCCATATTTCTACCTAGGTACCCTTGATAATGTCTGCCGACATTTTGGGACGAACCATTACAGATGACCTGTACGCAGCGAATGCTCCAATAGAATGATGACTTATAGGCACAGCCTTTTACATATACTCTGATATTTTTCGTATTCGTGGTCAAGTGAGATGTCCCGTCTGCCTAAGCATATCATGACTCTCATACAACTGCCGGGCTAGCATAATACCTCTTCCGCCATTGCGCACTGTGATATCACTTCACAACATCATCTTCAACGTGGGCTAATAGTCATCGTTGCCAGCACCACGTCTCTTTTCCGCACCTCTTTCCTCCAACTTGTTGCTGCCGAATATATTGCCCGCCTTCTCCAACACTTTGCCCATGGTAGAGTCTTTCTTGCCACTCGAGTTGTCATCATCATAGGCACCTCCGCTGCCGCCATAGCCGCCGCGCTCTTGTTCCTGGGTACGACCAGATCCCAAACCCTAAAATCCCACGCGTTAGGACCGTTTTGAGATCTTGTATTTTGCTGCAATAGGATGGTACTCACGTAATCTTGGTCCCGACCCGAAGAAGTTCCTCCAGTCCGGCTTGAGTCGCCATAGGTGTCATCGGTGCCTTTCCCAAGTTAGATCCTGTCAAGATAGAACAGGGAGACCATACCGAGTCCTCCTGAAGTGCCACCCGAAGAGCTGAAATCGTCCCCGCGACGACCAACGCTATCATCTCCATAGCCACGGCCGCCGCCCGTGCTCGACTTATAAGTGTCGTCGCTAGCACCAAAGCCACCAGATGACTGAGCTCCAGTTCTGCCACTGCCCAGGCCTGTTACAGGAGGTCAGATCAACTTGTTCACAGAACACTGTACTTAGCACGTACCATATTCGTTGTCACGGCCAGTGCTTCTACCACCAGTGGCTGTCGAGTCTCCATAGGTGTCATCAGTGCCTAGGCCACCACCGGTGCGGCCACTGCCACCATAGCCTCCAGAGGTATCACGGGTTCCGGAGCTGTAGGTATCGTCGCTTGTGCCAAAGCCACCAGCTTGCTGTGCGCCAGTCCTGCCACTGCCCAGACCTGCATTTGCAGTTAGCTCAATGATGTCTTGTTGAACTTGGTGACAGCTCACCGAATTCGTTGTCACGGCCGGTGCTTCTACCTCCTGTAACAGTGGAGTCACCATAAGTGTCATCAGCTCCTAGGCCACCACCGGTCTTTCGACCATAGTTGTCGCCGTCACCACGACCGGAAGACTGACATTCGTGAGCATGGGAGGGAAGAGAACCGGGTAGGAAGGGCATACACCATAGTTGTCGCCGCCAAAGCCACCTCCTTGACGTCGGTCAGAGCCCTAACTTGTAGTCAGATTGGGGTCTTAATGGACTTCTGAGTGACCTACATAGCTATCGTCACCGTAGCCACCGCCACGCCGCTAGAGAATGTTAACAGCACGCCCGTCCAATCCCGAGCTGGGCCATACGTTGTCATCATCGTAAGACATTGTGCTTGATATCGTTTGCTGATATACTCTGTTCAAAAGTGTGGGCTTCAGCTGTTTGAGAAGTTGGGAGATTGAAGAAGGTCCACAGGCTTCCGAGGAGGAGCAAAACGAGGCTTTTAAGAACACAATGAAAGCAACCCCAGCCAAAGGAATCTACGACCCTGGCTAGACTCTAAAGACGCCATTCAAAGCACGTCAGGCACGAGTGACAAAAACTGACGCGGAGGTCGTTCATAGCATACGTAAGTCTCGATACAGAACCAATGACTTGGATGAGAGACCCCGCGTGAAACAGGGCCAGGTGTTGGACAGCTGAACCCAGACAAGCATAAAGTGCAAGGAAGCTGGGAAGCTGCCAAAGTATCGTCATTTCCTGGTGCGAGCATTGGCTGAAGATGAGGGAGGAGCAGGGAGGACGGGATGCGCCTCGGTGACACCTTACCCCGTACCTGGTGTTGTGTGAGATCTGGGACCAAGGGCTGGTCTTTGTTTGTGATGTGGAGGAAGGCTCATCTCTGCCAGAACCAGAGGGGCACACAAATAAGGGACGAGGTCTTTTGAGTTGGTGAGAGAGGTGGGAGAGGTGGGAGAGTTGGGAGATGAGCTGTAAAGCTGAGTGGGTGAATGCAGGTGATTCTTGCCCCGCAGCCCGGAAACTTGCGAGGCCCTTGAAGGCCCCAAGTTGCCTATGACGGCATGTTTCGTGCATTTTGCTGCATCGCGCGCGTCACCGCGTCGCCCGAAACAAGCACGATCTGCTTTCTTTTGCTGCCGGAAGGTGATGGTTTCGATGGGTAGATGCCCCCCTGTCACCCGTGTGTCCTGCCTGTGGCCCTTGAAGTGAGTCCTCTCAGGTGCCCCTCTGTTGGTTTGGTGCCTGGTGGCCTGGTGGCTACTCATCTGCGCACCTGCGCTCGCCCGGTCAACTGGGTACCGCTCCCTTCTGGACCTCTCACACTCTTTTTTCTCCTCCTTATTCCCAAATGAGGCCCGTCAAAGCGGATCTTACCACAGAGGCAGGGTTCTTTAGAGTTTCGAAATGTCCAAGGTCCTGTCCAAGATCCAAGTCCCCAAGTCGCAACGAGGACAACCCCCCCTCACTTTCAGACCTTTTGCGTCACCTGCAAGAGTCTAGTATTTTGATACAGAATTGTACCCCTGCCGAGCGCTCTAGGTGCTGTGCCCTTTTCCGAATCTCCAGACTAGTAGTGTGGCTAATGCACAACCTGCAGCTCTTTCAGCTTGCTCGGTCGTGCACGTGTTCAAGTTGCGAGGACCACATGTTTTGCCACCGCCTCAAATGTCTCTGAGCTGGAAAAATCGGGGTTTGGTTGGGCGCTGTACGTCTCATCTCTGAAGACCTCAATACCGCAAGTCGTTGGCACTCGTCAAAACTGTCGCGACTATTGACAACCGTTCAAATATGTAGCCTGGTTTTATCGGACATATTTCGACTAGAGTAGAACGAGTTAGCTTAGCCAAAAACCCATCCTAATGCTGAGTCTCTTACCATGAATTTCTTGTGAAAATCCGATCTCAGAAGATCCTGTATACTTATCAGCTTGCATCCTTGTGCATGTCCCAGCAGTCTGCAGTGGACGTACGTTGACAAACTCCTTGTTTCCTTTCTGCTCTGTGCCTCGAGCTTGGTTCTTGAAGACCACATCGTCGTCCCATCTCCGCTTCACGTTGAATGCCTTTGGATTGAGGAGCGGATTACCAAGTGCAATATCTCGTTCTCGCTGGTCTTCTGCCTCTTGAGCCTGTGTTGCTTCTTCCCGTGCTTTTTGCTCAGCTCTTTCCTTTTTGATTTTCTCGAGTTCACGCATCAGCTCTGCCGTCTCATCTTCTTCGTCACTTTCCTCGTCGCTGCTTTCTGTATCATCTCCATCTGAGTCCGCATCGATGTCTCTAGTTTCTTCGAGTATCCTTCTTCGTTTTGTCTCCATGTCTTCATCATCGTCCTTATCACGATCAGGATCGTCTTCGAGTTCTCGCTTTATAGGTTTCGAGGGGCTGCTCGTGGGTTCTGCGATTGTCCCCTTCGTCTTTGCAAAATGAGCCGCTTCTGCCGCAAGTAATTCTGCACGGAGATCTCTCTGCTCAGCTTCTGCGGCGCCGCCTTGACCGGGCTGTCTGGTTTGCGTTAGATTGTCTTCTTCCCTGGACACTTGTGCGCTACCAACCGGACTTTGAGAAGAGTGTGCGCAGGTAATAGCCGTTGATGATAAGCTGGTCCTCGTTGCGCTTCTTTGCCTCGTGCAGGGTCAAACGTCGGTCGGTGTGCTTTTTCGAGAGTTAGCTACGCAGTGCAAAAAGTAGGTGGAGAGAGCTTACCTGTCGTCATATTGGGTGGATAATATGTCAGAAGGTACGCAGCAGGAAATCGTCCGTGGAACTAAGAGGATAGAGAGCGCAGGAGGCAGAATGTGCAGCTCTACAATGTAAAAAGATGGTCTTGAGACCTCCAAGGCGACAATTGCAGATCAGCAGCCTTGCAAGGCTTGGCAGGTCATTCAGCCTTGCCGACGCCACCACTGAGATCGTTTAGGCTTAAGTACCAAGTAGCACAACCAAACCCATGCTATAACATCTACAAGCTGAATAGTCCACTCCTCCTCTTGCCAAATGGATATACAACTAAAGCGCTCAAATATAGACCAACGCTAATACCAATTGCCACTTGAACCATCCCATACCCAACATTGAAAATCGTGCCGCCGTAAACGTCCGCACTGGTTGTACTGTTCTGCGCGTCCAAGAAGCCCGCAGTGCCGTTGTTGATGATACTTACTCCTGTCACGTTCCCAGTAATTTGATCGGCACTCGTGATGCCTGCCACCAGGCTCCCACTCGCAGCTAGTCCGCTGGGGACCTGAACGAATATCGCCGGCAACATGGCGGCTGCCGCAAGACCGTGGAAGAAGCGAGAATAGAGATTGGCCATTGTTCCGATCGCAAAGGCACCGATTGCGTTGGCCACCTGGATATTGTTCGAGAGCTTGGTAGAGATCCAGAAGTTTGATTGATAGCCGACAAAAGCGATCAGAGTCATGACCGGCATTTGTTTCCACTTCGCCTGATTGATGATAGCCAGGCATATTGCAAATATCGGAACCCAGATAAATCTCGCATACAGGAGTTTGGGCCCGTGGTTGGAATCGTTCCACCAAACCGGAATATTACAGGTCACGTCACTCTGTGCTTGAGGATAGATGAGGCCTGTTGTGGTTCCGTTAGTCCCCCTGCCCAGATTTCGTTTAGAAGAACAATAAACAAGGAAACGTACCCATAATGACTGTGCCGACCAGGATTCCAAACCCAAGAAACAGTGAATATATAATGGCGTAGACCATCCTGACCGACCCTGACACAATGCTTTTACTTTGCAATTCCAAAGCAGAGCACAGCACCATGTACCCCGGCAGGATCAGGGCTATACTACTTTGCGCAATAGCCGAGAAACAAAACACGGCAGTACCTTTGTGGTAGATGGAACCTAGGCCCCGTGAAGTGAACGAGATGAGAACGGAAGCAAGTATTTCGAATACGTGCGAGAATTGTTCCGACCGGGTTACCACCACAAGCTGTAACCAGCCCAGGATGCATCCCAGGATGAAACTTGGACCAAAGTCAACCGGCCGAGCGGAGAAAGCAAATGGGCCCACGGCGATGGCTGCTATGCCGTACGCAAAAATCCGGAGAGGAAGAGGATGTCGGCCGCGCTTCTTCATGATGTCGTCTAGATCAGCAGTCCCCTGTTGAGCGGTGTATTTGCCGTGGATGACCAACTTGTATACGTCAAAGACGTCTCTGAACCTTCCGAGATCGACGCTCTGTGACTCCTTTACCAAAGTGACTTCTGTGCTCATAGTAACTCTATCGTTGATGGAAACAAGCATCGAGCCTGGCATATAGAGAAAATCACCATCAATGTTGAGTGCTCGAGCTGAGGTCTTCATGTATTCTTCGAGACGGTGAGTCGGTGCTCCAACAGCCATCAGACACCGAGCGAGCTTCTTCAAGTACTTTCGGCAGGCAATAATCTCAGCAACATCTAGGACGACTCGCTCCTCATCTATCAGAAGGGACGGTGTGGACTTGTGATGGAAGTAGTTTGCGGGGTGTTTGATCATATCCACCGCTGTTGCAATCATGCCATTCGAGGACTTTGAATGTTGAGAGGGCGGACGAGGCACATAGTTGCTGCTTTGAGGCACAGCCGCTGCTGTTGAAGTCATGGATGCTTGAGCCAATAAGGTTGCCAGAGATCCAGTTGAGTGGCGGTCACGATCATCTCTATCATACCACTTCGGTCTTTTAGAAGGCGTGGCTCTTCCGGATGATGGTGTGGAATGATCATGACTCTCAGAGTCCGCGCGAGAATGGCTTCTGGAATAGAACCCTCTTGGAGAGTATCGGTTGGGTGGCTGTGAGACGGGGTCTTCGTGGTATGTAGGATGTGTAACTCCATTCCGTTGCAAATGTGCCAATTTCGAAGCAAGAAGAGCGCCAAAGACACTGGGACGATATTGATCAGGTGGAGGAACATAATCCAAATCATGAAGGTGCTTGTCGACTGCAGGTGTCTCTGCTCCAGAACGGGACTCCTCTTGCCATGCCGTCGCATGTGGTCCGCTAGTCAGCGTTCTGATGAGCCGTCTCGCCTCCTGAATATTCTCATTATCTCGGTGCAGAGCTTTGGGGTCTTCGTTCTCTGTGTCGTCGTCACTAGTTTCGTCATGTAGCGTGTAGGGACGTTTGTCTTTCTCGAGTGGTTCTAAAGGGATATCATCGTCATTGACTAGCCAGTCACTCAGTGGCTTTGAAGGAGGAGATGAATTCGGAGAAGCCAACGTTTGGGGAGTGGTGCTTTGAGAAATAAGAATTCCTGAGGGTGGTCTCGGTTGTGTGTGAGAATGGCTTAATCTATTGGCGAGGCGACTCGCCCGGTCCTGGGCTTGAGCCGCAGCAGCATTCGTGATTCCCGCCCAGTTCGTAGCTGGAAGACCGTGGTCCGTGACATCTTCAGAATCGGGTAAGCGGATTATTGGGACAGATCCGTGCGTGCCAGTCTCGACCAGAGGCTCTCCCGCATCATCAGCAACGTCGGAGAATTTGACCTTTTGGTGGTGTCTGTTTCCATGCCTAAACCCTCTGAGACTGTGCCGTCTCGCAGGGTTGGCATCAGAATCGTTGCTGGTTTGCCCGGATGTTGGTGACTGTATGTCTCTTTCAGCCATGTCCACGGGCCACCAAAGAGCCGATTGTGTGAAAGAACGAACGCAACCTGGCGAGCATCGACCAGCCGATTAAAATATTAAGATGTGGCGAGGGTGGAAAACTCCAGGTCAAATGGCGACAAAGGGACGACTGTTGCAACAAAGAACCAACCAGAAATATTTGGCTCAGTGCCACGTTTTTGGTATGGATTCCTGAAAGCGGAAAAAGTGAAAGGCCTCGAAGACCCGAAGAGCCTGAGAATCACACGCTGGCAAGTTCATGGAAAGGGAAAGGAAAGCATGAGAAGTAAAAATGTCCAAAGGCATAGCAGACGAGTTACTGCCCGCGGCGGAGGTAAAGGGCACCGGGCTGCCGTGCAGAGTGGGAGAGGTTTGGGCACAATGCAAAGCTTGAGTCTCATTGCATAAGAACAATTCATCATCCACAGACCCACGTCTTCGATAACAGACGGAACCGTCCTTGCACTTGGTGGGGCGTCGGAGGTTTGTCAGATATTCCATATATGCGCAAGAGCAAAAGTCGTTGCGGGTTAGGCGAGAAAGCGAAAAGGAACCACAGCGAGGCTCGAGAAATGCATTCTTTTACCAATAAGAGATGTAGGAAATGACATGAGGGTGGACGACCTTGACAGTGGCCCAACAAATATGGGGATTGGTGAGGCTCGGTGAAAAAGTTTGAACAAGGCTGACGCAACCCAAGCCCGTTAATGGGAGCAGAAAGAGGAGTTCGCTAAGGTCGAAGGCTTGAAGTAACCTCGTAGCCGTCTGGTGCCGTGGCGTGGTGTCATGATAAGTACCTCGTATACGGTACGTTCCAGTACCTGGATCTGCGTTCGGCCTTCTGCTTATCTCGCATGTGAGACAAATAAGATCATCCAAGCCGCTTGCAGATCGCGGATTTGCATGTGAAGTGCATTTACAATCATGTGATTATAGAAATCTCAGGTATTCGGGAACCGCATTGGAGTCGACTTGCAGTGAGTCAGATTTCAGACGAAAGCAAGGATTCGGGGGACTACTTCTTCTGGATAAAGAAAACATTTCAAAAGATTGATGGGGAAAAATTGGAACAAAGAGGCAAGAGGCAAACGAAAAACTGATTTTGTTGAGGAAAACGATATATTCGGTTGGTCGGCGAAATGGTCCACAGTAGCAGTGGGCCTGGATATTCGGTGGAGCATATAGTCTGAAAAACGCAAGAATATTTTCGGCCTCAAGCCACCAAGCTTGACGGGCAGACGAGACAGTAACTTGTTGCAACCCAAAGGACCAGTCACATCAATCTCGCCGTAAAACGTGTGAAGTAGCGAATTCCCTGAATGGAGACGACAACCCTCTACCAAAAATACCCACCATCTCAGCCGACGCTACCTCAATAATATGCCACGCGAAGTCGACATCTCCAACATTGAACAGCATTTCATCCTTCAAGCCCTAGAACAAGGCGTCCGACTCGATGGACGACGTCTTGGCCACTTCAGAAACCTCGACCTACAATTCGGAGATGAATATGGAACAGTGACTGCCCGTCTAGGGAAAACGAGGTAGGCTATTGTCTATGCCCGTGTTGGCTTAAACTAAACGCGTGCGAAGAGTACATGTGCAAATTTCGGCAGAAGTCACAAAGCCACTCGAAGACCGCAAGTTTGATGGGATCTTCACAATCGTCACGGAATTGAGCCCTATCGCGTCTCCCGCATACGAAGTCGGTAGACAGACCGAGCAAGAAGTAATATTGTCTCGGACTCTCGAAAAGGCTATACGCAGATCTCGTGCTATCGATACGGAATCCTTATGCATTATTGCGGGCGCTAAGTGTTGGTCCATCAGAGCAGACGTGCACGTTCTTGACTCTGACGGTGGTCTGGTCGACTGTGCCTGTATCGCGATTGTGGCAGCTTTGAGACACTTTCGAAGACCAGATGTCTCGGTTGATGGGGAAACTGTAACCATCTACACCATGGCCGAGCGAGTTTCCGTTCCATTGAGCATCATGCACCACCCCGTCTGCACGACGTTCAGCTTCTACCACGGAGGGGAGACCGTCTTGTTGGATGCCACACGCAGCGAAGAGCAAGTTCGGGAGTCGAGTGTAACTTTTACGGTGAACGATTTTGAATTATGTCAGGTTTCCAAGATGGGAGGGAGCTCGATCGATGCCCTAGTTCTCCTGAAGTGTATCAACACGGCGCTGAGCAAAGGGAAAGAGATAAACGAGATCGTGGCTAAGAAATTGGCAGAGGATACGACCAAGCGAGACGTGGGCGGACTGATTGCCGAGCTGAGAGCTGAGAATGAGAGATGACTACACTCTTGAGCCACGAACCCAATGCCGGCCGATACCCTACCCGTCATTGTCGGCGTCTGGATGAGGCGGGCTGGAGAAAAAAGGGGTAGAAAAGATGTTGTATGGACAGCAATTCTACCACCGAATGAAACGTTGATGCTTGATAGATATGTAACAACAACGCAGCGATCATCATGGATGTGGCAGTGCAGTCTCGGATGCCATTTTTAAATTCTTAGGAATCGCCCCCCCAAGACACCAAGGATCCAGTCAGCGAAGAATCAATCTCCCGCGTGGAATAGGCTGTCGAGCCAGTGGTTGGCAGTGAGGTTGTGGCATTTAACATGTGGTACACTGGGATGGCTTCCAGGCTGCAGGCAAAACGATATTTGGTTGATGGGTGTCTCTGCTCCCTCAAACTGCGACATACCTATGTAAGGAGGAGAGGTGCAGTGACCGCAGTCACCGACGTAGGTCTTCTGGGCGACTTCGGGTTGCGCCTCGCAGCACCAGCTTGTAACATTAGTGTCTCGCTTGGTGCCTCTTAAAGCCACTGAAACTAAGCGCCAGCCTTGCTAAGGCCCCATTTGATAGGGACCAGCCACTGAATGCTGTTGCCCGCACGGGGTCACTGGGGGTCACGTAGTGGCCTCCCGTGCCTCCTCCTTAGATTCAAGGCGTTGCTCCGCCTGCGCCGCGTATCCCAAATCGAACTTGGGTTCTTGGTATTGCCATAGTCACCGTCAATCTCGACAAAGGACAGACCACGCTGACATCTACTCTGTCCAACACTGTAATCTAGCGCAAAATGTCTGCAACAAACACTCTCAACTGTGACGGCGGCCTTTCATGATTCTTTATGGCACGGTAACGCACACTGCCGATTCCCTCCTCATAAACCCCTCTGGCGCCCATCCGTTTGAGAAATGGACGGGGGATCCAATGCGCCTCGAGCTCCCAACCATAACAACAATATACTGGATGATCTGGGGAATTCACAGCCGGCCTACAGCACGGGGCAGCGCCCTCCTGTAGACGACTCGCAACTCCTCAACGTATTCAATATCGATGACTCCGAAGGTCCTCAACCAAGACCATCCACCAGCTACGATGACTTTGTCGGCGGAGGCAGGTCCGCGGCAGGAGGCCAAGCACCACCGCCAACGTCCTCGACTCGACCCTTCACTGCTCCTTACATGGACAGCGGAACCCGAAACTACTCCCAGACCTCAGACCTACAAAATTACGCAAGATACGGAGACGGGGAGGATTTGACCGAGGAAGAGTCGGGATACAAATACTACGATAATGCAGGTCCCTCCGACGACCATATCCCTGGCGGAGGTGTTAAAGTTGTCGGGCGACATCACAGACGCGATCGAAATAGTCTGATGTCCATGTCGGGCGTTATGGACAGAGCAAAAGGAATGCTGGGGATACGCAACAGCAACTACTCGGATATCAACCTCCCCTTGACCGAAGCCGGTCTGCAGAACTCGAGAGTAGATACAGCTGGGACGGACGAGACGCCTCCAATTCGAGAGAAGAAGGAATTCAGTTTTGATAACATCAAAGACATGTTTACGAGGAAGAAGGTCGATCCAGCATCACTAGGCCCCAGGATTATCCATCTCAACAATGCCACGGTCAACGCTGGTAACAGATGGGTCGACAACCATGTTTCTACCGCCAAATACAACGTCGCGACCTTCTTACCGAAATTTCTCTTCGAACAATTCTCCAAATACGCCAACTTGTTCTTCTTATTTACCGCCGCCCTACAACAAGTACCTAACGTCTCCCCCACAAATCGCTACACGACTATAGTCCCGCTCCTGATTGTGCTCATGATATCTGCAATCAAGGAACTAGTGGAGGACTGGAAGCGAAAGACAGCAGACAAGAGCTTAAATGACTCCAAAGCACGGGTCTTAAAAGGTTCGACCTTCGTGGAGACCAAATGGATCAATGTTGCTGTTGGTGACATCGTCCGTGTCGAGTCGGAGGAGTCTTTTCCTGCCGACTTAGTCCTGCTCACAAGTTCTGAACCTGAAGGGCTTTGCTACATCGAAACCGCTAACCTTGACGGCGAGACCAACCTCAAAATTAAACAGGCGATTCCAGAGACGGTCCATTTAGTGAATCCTGCAGACTTGGGCAGACTGAACGGACGGATAAGGTCGGAACAGCCGAACAGCAGTCTCTACACATACGAAGCAACGTTGACGGTGGCTGGTCTAGGGAACGAGAAAGAACACCCCTTGTCTCCCGACCAGTTACTTCTCCGTGGGGCGGTCCTCCGCAATACTCCCTGGGTGCATGGAGTGGTTGTCTTCACCGGCCATGAAACGAAACTGATGCGAAATGCTACTGCTACACCCATCAAGAGAACAGATGTGGAGCGGATGCTCAACAAGCAGATTCTGATGCTTGTTGCTATCCTCTTGGTTCTCAGCGCCGTCAGCACAATTGGTGATCTCGTTGTTCGCTCCACTGCTGGCCAAAAACTCACATACCTCTACTACGATAATTTCAACGCCGCTTCGCAATTCTTCCTGGACCTCTGCACCTACTGGATCCTGTACTCAAACTTGGTCCCACTGTCACTATTCGTTACCGTCGAAATAGTCAAATATTTCCAGGCTTTTCTCATCAGCAGCGATTTGGATATGTACTACACGGAGACCGACACCCCCGCTGTATGTCGAACCTCGTCGCTTGTAGAGGAGTTGGGACAGATTGAATACATTTTCTCGGACAAGACAGGGACTCTGACCTGCAACATGATGGAATTCCGGCAATGCTCCATCAACGGCATTCAATACGCAGGCGTGGTACCAGAAGACCGCAAGGCGAGCGGGCCTGAAGATTTGGACGGCATTCATGATTTCAAACAACTCCGTGAGAACATGAAGTCACACCCAAGCGCTGGCGTCATTGACCAATTCCTCTCCCTACTTGCCGTTTGTCACACAGTGATTCCGGAACGCAAAGACGAGAAGTCGGAGATCAAATACCAAGCCGCATCCCCAGATGAGGGCGCTTTGGTCGAAGGCGCCGTGATGCTCGGATACCGGTTTGTGGCCCGAAAACCTCGCTCGGTGATTGTCCAAGTCGATGGCCGAGATGTGGAATACGAACTACTAGCAGTCTGTGAATTCAACTCGACGAGGAAGCGGATGTCGACACTCTTCCGCTGCCCAGATGGGAAGATCCGGATATACTGCAAGGGTGCTGATACAGTGATCATGGAGAGACTGGCCAAGGACAATCACACTGTGGAGACTACACTACGGCATTTGGAAGACTATGCTACTGAAGGCCTTCGAACTTTGTGTCTTGCTATGCGCGAGGTTCCAGAACAAGAGTACCAACAATGGCGACAAATTTTCGACAAGGCAGCCACAACTGTTGGAGGCAATCGTGCTGAAGAGCTTGATAAGGCAGCAGAGATTATCGAGCACGATTTGTACCTCTTGGGAGCGACTGCGATCGAGGATCGTCTCCAGGATGGAGTGCCAGATACTATTCACACCCTGCAACAAGCGGGAATCAAAGTCTGGGTCCTTACCGGTGATCGACAGGAAACGGCCATCAACATCGGCATGAGCTGTAAGTTGATCAGCGAGGATATGACACTGTTGATCATCAACGAGGACAATTCTAGCGCAACCCGAGAAAGCCTGCAGAAGAAATACGACGCGGTACGAAGTCAAGCTGCGGCAGGTGAGCGCGATGTCCTCGCACTGGTTATTGATGGTAAATCTCTCGCCTTTGCCTTGGAGAAGGATATGGAAAAGCTCTTTCTTGACTTGGCAGTCATTTGCAAAGCAGTGATTTGTTGTCGAGTTTCACCATTACAAAAAGCGCTGGTGGTCAAACTCGTCAAGAGACATCTCAAGGCCCTTCTCCTGGCCATCGGCGATGGTGCGAATGATGTCTCCATGATCCAAGCCGCACACGTTGGTGTCGGTATCAGTGGCGTGGAAGGTCTTCAAGCTGCTCGCAGTGCCGATGTTTCGATTGGCCAATTCCGCTATCTCAGAAAACTGCTCCTCGTGCATGGAGCGTGGAGTTATCAACGCATCAGCAAGGTCATCCTGTACTCGTTCTACAAGAACATTGCCATGTTCATGACGCAGTTCTGGGTAAGCGAAACGGCAACAATCTCTATCAAACTCGTGTTCAGTGCTAACAAGCGACTAGTATGCCTTCCAAAACTCCTTTTCTGGCCAAGTCATCTACGAATCTTGGACGCTCTCCTTTTACAATGTCCTCTTCACATTTTTCCCACCTTTCGCCATTGGCGTATTCGATCAATACATCTCCGCTCGTCTTCTGGACCGGTACCCGCAGTCCTACCAACTCACCCAGAAAGGGGTGTTCTTCCGCATGCACAGCTTTTGGTCCTGGGTCGCCAACGGCTTTTACCATTCCATACTCGCATACGTCTTTTCGAGTTACTTCTTTCTGAATGACGGCATCCTGGCTGATGGCAAGGTTGCGGGACACTGGGTCTGGGGTACCTCGACTTACACCGCAATCCTCCTCGTTGTCCTTGGAAAGGCGGCACTGATAACGAACGTCTGGACGAAATATACGGTGATGGCGATCCCGGGAAGCTTTGTGATCTGGTTGGCTTTTATCCCTGCCTACAGTTACGCGGCACCAAACATTGGAAGTGGGTTTTCGACCGAGCTCGATGGAATCATTCCCGTCATGTTTTCATACCCGGTCTTTTACGCACTTTGCCTCGTCCTTCCGCCAGTCTGTCTTGTGCGGGATTTTGCATGGAAGTATGTCAAGAGGATGTATTTCCCACAAAGTTATCACCACGTTCAGGAGATTCAGAAATACAATGTGCAGGATTACAGGCCGAGGATGGAGCAGTTCCAGAAGGCCGTGAGAAAAGTGAGGCAGGTGCAGCGCATGAGGAAGCAGAGAGGCTACGCATTTTCTGCGGGCGATGAGAGCACTGGCGGACAGACGATGAGAGTATTGAGTCTGTATGACACGACGAAACACAGAGGGCGGTACGGCGAGTTGGACAGTGTCAAGGGACCTCCGCCGGGCATGTTGTGACCCTCCTGTCGACTGTCACTGTCACTTGTCACTGAGGGTGTCTGTCTCACCCGAGGGGGAGACAACATCGCAGAGACAGAGAGAGCAAAGCCGACAAAAGCTTTTACGTGAAGAATGGTTGTTGTTTGTGTCCCCAATTTTCTCCCTCCGTTTTGGTGAAGATTTCAACGATGAGATGTATAGCATGCATGCATGAAAATATATACTGATGGTGGCTCAATGGCGTTCTTTTTTTTTTTCTTCTCTGAACAAAGTCATGAAGGAGAATTGATCTTGTATCCTGTACTCGGTATCCGTATCCGTTTCCTGCGTCTCCTCATGTGACTCTGTTCTTGTGGGGTTTGGTTTCCCCCTTCGACTGTTCAGGAAGAAAAAATATTTGGTTGCAAGGAGGAACAGGAGGAGGACCAAAGAAGGCAGTATCCAATCCTTCATGCATTCCATTCCGAGGGTATCAATAGTCTAGACAGTCTATATGCGCATATGAGCTGCGCGGTGGTCAAGGTTCTCCAGCATCATCCAACTATCACGGGTCCAGTCCAAGCGTCCTGTCATTCATTCCAGCCACCCAACCATCCGAACCATGGTACCGAGTACAGTCCGCTGTTGCCAGCACACGCTCTCTCTCTCTCTCTATATATATATATAGAATCAAGACGCCTTCCCAAACAAGGCTCCCAAACCCTCGCCCTTTGGTGTCGCGGCGGGGACGACAGGTCGAACCACTTTCTTGCCCCAGAGATCAAACTCTGGTTCCGCGGCGGGGATCGACCCCGCCAACGGCGGAACGTCGCCAACAACCCTCAGAGCCGGAGGGGGGATATGGGGCGTGACCAAATCTATGCTTCGAGAGTATCCGGCACTGGTGCTGTACAGTGGATTGGTCCGAGGGGCCAGCGGGCGCAAGTTGAACTCGTACATGCTGCCAAAGCTGGATGATGTTGTGGTGGGGCTGTTGGCCAGACTTGGCGTGGTTGTGCTGGGTGTCAGGGTGGACATGCTCAAGGTACTCTTGTGCCGCATTGCTGCTGGGCGGTCGGTCTTGACGAGGTGGTGGTTGTCGGCGTGATCCGAAGGGCTGTTGACAACATTGTGTGTCTGGTGGAAACGACTCAAGTAGCGAAACGCCTCAGAGCCGGCCGAGGCGCCGCGGTGAGGTATTTTGGGTTTCCATTCCGTTGGGTCAAGATCTGATCGGTGCTCGTGCAGATCAATGGGTATCCGTATGGAAGGTTTGTCTTGATGTTCTGGGGACGCGCTGGAAATGCGCGTTGGTATGGTCGGACGCGGCGAGGAGGGGAGGGACGATGGCGGTGTAGAAGATTCATGGAACAGATTGGAGGCCGAAAGAGGCTTCGCGGCGTCCTTGCGACGACATCTGACCGCTTATCAGCATCTGTCATAAAGAAGAGAGGGGCGAACGAGGGGGTGACTTACGCTTCACTGCAGTAGAGAATCGAGTTGCATGGAGTCATGATCTGTTTCTCGCACATGGCGCTGCGGTCGCGGGTTAGGAATTCGCCTGCAATGGAGACGGACAATGGACTTGTGGCCTCACCAGTACTGCAGAAAACTAGCCGCCATCTCTTTTTCTTTGTCCCTCCTGTTACTGCTGGGGCCGGAGGAGCGAGGAGTGAGCACTGAGTCACCACTCCTGCGCTTCAGTTTCCGAGCAGAGGAAGTGCCTCCTTTGCCATGTTGCTGGGTTTTTCGCGAGGGAGGATCTTCTCCCATTGAGGGCGGTGAGGTAGGTATATGTACCTGGGATGAGGGATGATAAAGGAGAGGCCAGGCGTTGCCTTGGTTGGGCAGCTGATGATTTGTTGTACACCGCAAAAGTGACTTGGGTGCATTCCAAGGGTGCCAGGCTGCGCCTTGTGTGGATGACGTTAAAAGTGGGCGTGTGCCGTACCCCGTTCCAGACGAGGCCACTTCCCGCGACCGCAATGTTTTGGGGCACCACGCAGCCTGAAAGGCCTATAGGATGAGGGGTCGATGGGCGGGCCAATGTCCCAGGTGCATGTGCCGCGAGCCCTATGACCCCCTAATCGAAGCGCCTAGGCTGAATCTGGCCTTGGTCTGACGGGTGACTGACGGGGGACAAGGAGCATCTAAACGGAGCGCACCAAAGGTCCTCTGGCTCCATGCAAGGCACTGGGAAGTGCAAATGCCATGTATCAGGAGGGGTTTAGCCCAGGTACGTGTCTTGCTCGTAGTTGGCCTCATCGTGCGATTAGCATATCCTCTCATTTTATTCCATCATCAGCTAAGAAGGAAAATGTACCATCGCATTGATTGGGACTATAATGCAGCCGATGACGGCTTCAACTCCATCCTTCTGGCACTCCTCGGGCTGCCGGCTCTCCTTCTCGACCAACATAGCATCCAAGCATGCTGCTCCACACAAACTTGTGCTCCTTTAGTTCTTGAAGCTTTTTGTATGCACCTGCATTGGCAAACCCGATTCCTGTCTCTCGATCCCGGTATCGAACAGGCAACATTGTGACGGAACACAGCTCTTGAATGTGCTTCACTGGTTTGGCTGTTTTGCGATTGTTATAGAATAGGGAGTACTCCTGCCGGGATTGGCTGGAAAGCTCTTCAAACCTTTCCAGAATGACCATATTTCGCGTCGACTCTTCCTCAACTAGAGGAGGCTCCGATACTCTGACTAGCGCGGTGGTGGCCTCGACCGGCGTCTGCTCTGTTTGTGTGCTTTCTCGGGCAATTTCTGTCTGCTCGGGTTTGTCGATCGCGCTAGCTGGGGGAGTATGTTGTAACTGCTCTATACCTCGAAAGGGCTGCAGCTTCTCCTTCTGCTCGTCATTTTCAGCTGGCTGGGTCTGCTCTTCTGTTGTGGCCGGACCTTGTATTTGTGTCTGCTCTTGCGGCACATTAGCTTCGGATATTGCAATCTGCTCAATAGACACTTCAGGCTTGATGACGACATTATCGGTCACGTCAGGGGTTGGAACTTGGACAACCTGGTCTGGCGTATTTTCCGCCAGAGCCCTGGAGCTTTGTTGTGTTTCTGATTGCTTCGCTGTATCTTGCCGTGCATTTGGTTCCTGGGGAATTGGGCTGACTCGTCCGCTCTCCGTCGGGTTGCTGTCCGTTTGCATATCAGCATACTCGTGTATCCCTTTCAAGAAGGTGTCCTCGTGATCTTGCGGGACAGTGAGTGTGATTTCCGGAGGAGCACCCATCGGAACAGGAGCAGCAGGGATGATGATGATGGTGTCCTTGTCGGGTTTGTCGGGTTTGTCAGGTTGATTCGATGTTGGTTCTTGTGCCTGCGCAATGATCACAGTACCTGTCTGCAATGCTCCGGCTTTCCCTAAACCGCCACTCCTTTCTGCGGCCAGCTGCTCAAGGTACGCTTTTGACTTACGTCCACGCTTCTTCGTCTCTGTTGTTTTTCCTTCTCCCGGATCCGGAGCATCTCTCGTGCCGATCTTGTTCAGCTTGGGCCCGATCCATTTAGCCTTAGCACTTAACCAGGTAACAACTGGCCCTTCCAGCTTCCTATCCTTGAGGGCTGCGAGTTTTGCCGCCAGCTCTTCTTGCCTCTTCTTCTCCATAGTCTCCCACCGATTTAGGCTCTTAGCATTTTGTCGCTCAACTCTTGCAGCTTCGGCTAACCGATCGGCTTGCGTGAGTTCTTTGGGAACATCCCTTGCCTTTTCTTTTTCCCGTTGTTCCTTGAGCGCTTTGAGCTTCTTGCTTTGCGCTTCGCTCTCCTTTAATCGCGCGATAGTTTCCGCTCGGTGGGCAATTGTCTGCTTACGCAGGGAACTTCGACCGGAATCAGGATCGTGAACCCATGTAACTCGCTCTTTCTTCTTAGATGGTTTTGGTGCAATTGATGCAGCAGCTGGTCTTGTCGGATCGGTCTTGAGTTTCTTCCTCATGCCCGCAACACTGGTTAGGGCTAGGTCTGCTTTGCGTTTCTTCGCTCGTTCCTCTTTGGCTTGCTTTTGTATTTCCTTCTCTCCTTCGAGGTCGTCGGCCGCGGCATTCGGCCCTTGATCATCATCATCGCTGGAAGACATGTCCGCGTCCTCATCCTCGTCTCCGCTTTTGAATTCCTCATCTTCTTCCTCTTCGTTATCCGCAAACAATAGAGTGACCTCGTCTTGTTCGTCCACATTTTCCACCTCTTCCAGTATCATGTCCCTGTCATAGCGATTGCCAGCAGTCTTCCGTCGCTCCCTACCAGCGATAAGGGTCTCAACGAGTTCTTCCTCTGATTCATCTTCGCTTGACTCGGTCGCTGAGAGTTGCGGCGTATCGTCCATGGTTTCATCTGCCATATTTGAGAAGAGGGGCAGGGGGAGAATTGATCAAATACTCATATTTGAGCAAGTAGTAAAGTACAGTCTCCTTGTTCGATTCTGCAATGAGTACCGAATAGCAAGAGTGAATTTACAGATTGGCTGGGTTGACATCGAAAAATTTGGGGAAGGTGCGGCGAGGCAGGCCACTTTACGCGTCAACTCCGAGAGAGACGCGTTATAACCGTCATGATCTCCAAGTTTCAATGAACACCTCCTTAAGGCTGTCTTGCCTAACGTTCATGTTCAAATTTCTATCAACATGCCTCACTTGCGCAAGAGTAAAGCAGTCGCTGCTATAGACACCTACCCAGAGAATCCGGACACCAGGAAACGCAAGCGAGGTAGTGCAGCCATTGTCGATGGACCTGACAGTGAACCCAATGCGAGGAGCCGAAAGCGCACAAAACCAGCAGAGGATCGCGCGGACATCACACCGAAAACTCAGCGAAAGACAAACAAGGAAGTCACTGTAACAGTCGAGAAGGAAGTGACAAGTAAAGCCAGTTTGGCGGCAAGGGGCAAAGCGGCGCTGAAGAAGGAGGTTAAGGTGACGATTGAGCAAAGCGAGCAGCCCACCTCTGACACCCCCAAACGAAGAGCGAAAGCGAGGTTTAAGAAAGAGGCCGAATCTGAATCGGAAGGATCCGAACTTGACGGAGACAAAGCAGAGCAAGAAGAGTCAGTCAAACCCAAGCGGAAACGCAAAACGAAAGAAGAAAAGGAGGCCGAGGCTATGCCGCTTGCTCCCAGAACTGTCGGGCTGAAGATGTACGTGGGCGCTCATACTAGTATAGCAAAGGGCGTGGAAAATGCAGTCACAAATTGCGTCCAGATTGGAGGCAATGCGTTTGCATGTTTCCTCAAGTCGCAGCGGAAATGGGAGAACCCTGCGTTGAAAGATGAGAACAGAGATGCGTTCAAGAAGGCGCTGATAGACCACAATTTTGACGGACTGTCACATATCGTCCCTCATGGGTCATATCTGGTCAACCTGGCGACCGAGGATGAGGACAAGGCAAAGCAGTCTTATGATGCATTTATTGACGATCTCCATCGGTGCGAGGCCCTCGGAATCCGGTACTACAACTTTCACCCAGGAGGAGCTGGACAAAGTCCCTTCGCAGAAGCGGTCACTCGACTTGCCACCAGACTCAACCGGGCGCTGTCAGAAACAAAAACCGTTGTCCCTCTGTTAGAGAATATGGCGGGGCATGGCACATTGATTGGCGGACGATTTTCAGATCTCCGAGACGTTATCTCTCAGATTAAGCCTGAGTACCGGTCTCGAGTTGGTGTCTGCATTGACACATGCCATGCTTTCGCGGCAGGTTACGATCTGCGCAGTCCAGATGAATTCAGGAAGACCATGGACGAGTTTGACAGTGTCGTCGGCTTCAAGTACCTGAAGGCGATGCACCTAAACGACTCCAAGATGCCATTAGGCAGCCACAGAGACCTCCACCAGAACATTGGCCTGGGATTTCTCGGACTCCGTGCCTTCCACAACGTCATGAACGAACCGCGCTTCCAGAACTTGCCCTTGATTCTCGAGACACCCTGCGAGAAGCCAGACCCAAGCGATCCAAAGGGGAAGAAAATGATCGAGGACAAGAGTATTTGGGCGACGGAGATCAAACTCTTGGAGAGTCTGATCGGCATGGACCCGGAGAGTGAAGAGTTTCAGCGGCTGGAGAACGAGTTGAGTGAGAGAGGCAAGGCAGAAAGGGACCAGATGCAGGCGCAATATGAGAGACTGAGGGACAAGAAGCTGGAGCAGGAGAAGAAGAAGCTGGCCAAAGAAAAACAGGCCGAGAAGGGCCAGAGGAATTTGATGGACATGTTTGGAGGAAAACAGAGCACCAACGGTGCGGCAAGGGGGAAGAAGCAGAAGGGCCGGAAAAGGGGGAATAGTTCGGGAAGCGAGTCAAGTGAACTCAGCGAGCTGAGCGATGAAGAGTGATGAGAGAATCACATCTAGTCGGAGAAGCGAGATGTCATCCTCTTGGGAAAAAACCCGCGAGCAGCATCGAGATATTGTAAATTAGTTTGAGTAAAACTATATGCATGGATTCCCTGGCCTTGAGACGCGAATCTCCGCTGAAAAACCGCCAAAAAAGGCACCTGATCCTTACTCCATGCTTGCTCTATACCTCGTATATGTATCCGTCAAAAGCACTCATACGCGCATATGCACCATCCGAACAAGACTGTCCCATGTCGGTGTGGTGTAAAACGTGCCCCTTCGCTATCTCAATGCCGCGAAAACACCCCATGCTCTTCGCTGTCAAAGAATGCAGCAGAGCCAAAAAAAAAAATTCAAGTCGTCCACCCCTCGACGGGCTTGAGGTATACCTCAATACCGCCCTTGGGGCGGGCCGTGACGCCTCCCTTGATCTCGATGTCCCTGTCCGGGTCGACCATCTCGAAATCGTAGGTGCCGACGAACGCGGCGACCAGGCATGCGAACTCGGCGACGGCGAATTTGGCGCCGATGCAGCTCCGCGGACCGTGCAGGAAGGTCAGGAAGGCGTAGTTGCTGACGGCGCCGCCGGCGTTGGCCTGGCCCGGGGCGGTCCACCGGTCCGGGTTGAACTCGGAGGCGTCGTCGCCCCACAGCGCCGTGTTGTGGTTGATGGCCCACGGCGAGAGGATGACCTTGGTGCCCTTGGGGACAAAGTGGCCCAGGATCGACGTGTTGCAGGCCGCGTCGCGCAGGGTGAGTGGCACGGGCGCCCAGAGACGTAAAATCTCCTGGCAGACAGCGTGGAGGTAGGGCATGCCGTCAATGACTTCGGCGGTGATGTCGTCACTATCGAGACTGGAGATGTGCGACCGGATCTCGTCCCGCAGGCGTGCCTGGATATCTCGTCGTTGGCACAGTTGGTAAACAGCCCAGGCGAACGCCGATGCCGTGGTTTCGTGGCCGGCGGCGAGGAAGGTCATCATGTTGTTGACGAGCTCTTCGTCAGTAAACCCGCCGGACTCGAGCGCCACGGAAATGATGTCCGGCTGCATGGGCTCCTTGTTGGCCATGCGCTGCTTCTTTTGCGCGATCAACTGGCGGCATGTGTCTTTTGCCACGTCCGATGCGGCTTGTACTTGGTTGTTCCGGTCGATAGGGAGGTTGTTGAGAAACCACGCTGGAAGGAAGAAGGAGAGGAGACCCAGGATTTGGGCAGTGCGATCTGGCTGGAAGACAGCCCGGTAGACACGATTCAATTCGTTCGTCGGGTCTTGCAGGGAGTTGAAGTCTTGACCCATGCCGGCCACACCGATGATGTCCAACGTTGCGCGACTGCCCCATTCGCTAACTTCAATCGAGGGCCGTGGCTCGGACGACGACTCCAGCTGTTTCTGGATCTCATGCACCATCTCTCGAGATTTGGACCAAAATATCGGGTAGAGTTCCTTGATGTGGCGAAAGTGGAACGCCGGCATGAGATTCTTCCTCTGCGCTTTGTGGTCGTCGCCCTCTGCAAGCAGCACCCCAACACCTAGGACTCGTCCGATACCCGTGCGAAGTAACTCGGGCTTAATGAATTCATAGCTCTTCGTATTCAGAACTTCGGCAAGGCCCTTGGGGTTAGTGACCAGCAGACGTTCCCGGTTGTAAAGGTGCAAGTAGCGGATCAGGCCGTCGTTGGGAATCTCTTGAGCCCAGCGTCTCTGAGGCACCCCAGAGGGTTCTTTGAGCATCGTGCGCCAGTGGCCCGAGATCCTGCTACCTCCTTTGACCGTCGGCAGATTACGCAGAGGGCTCGTGTAAAAAGGGTAGATGAAGATAACGTAGACTGCCCAGATAAAGGCCTGGAAGAGGAAAATCACAGAGGCTGTCCATGTGTAGGATTGGAAAATTGAATATTGAGGCGCAAACCTGACCAGGAGAACGGAGCCAGCCAGAGACAGGGTGACCCAGAAGCGATAGGTGCCCAGGAACTCTGGGACTTGAAAAGGCATCTTGAATTCAATGGGGGGCGAGTCTCTTGTGCAGAATGATCAGGTGGGAATTTTTGTCTCGCGCAGAGCCTCCTTCTGTTGGAAAACCAGACAAGAGTACAAGAGTGCAAGAGTTGAAGTGAAGAGATAATGAAGCCGAAAAGGACAGGCAGACGCAAAATGCGCGAAAAGGACACTGATCTGAATGTGGAAACGAAGGTTGAAAGTGTTGGACGGTGATGAATCCTCTTCGCCTCATTCGCCTCATTGGAATCGGGACAATGACATTCCATGTTAAGCGAGGCGGGATGGTGTCGTCATTTGATCTGTGAGATATTCCGTCTGACAGACCAGTTGAAGAGGTTTGACACCTATTATGGCCATTAGGGTGCGAGTGTCATACCTGTCAGACAAGTGGATTTTATCCAACCGAGGCATCCGTCGAGGTTTCATCCCAAAATAGGTGGTTGTCGCGAACGAATCGGCGAATTTGGCAGCAGTTCATCCGATGAAGTGAACCCGAAGCGACCCTTGGTGTACGAAATACGGCAATCCGTGGAGAAAAGGCCAGTTTGCCTGCCCAAAGCATCTGTATCATCAGAAAACAAGGTTGACGGAATAGTAATTCCAGTAACAAACCCTCTCAGTACAAGCAGGATCTTATAACTCCCTGTTGAAATTCTTGTTGCTGGGCCAGCTCGAAATCTCTGAGATTGATCGACTCTGTTTGTACTGAAATCCAGCAGAGTTGGCTCCCCTGACGTGGTTCATATCGCGTCTCTCACACCTTCCAACCCGATAAGCAACCGTCTCAAGCTGGACATATGCCGTGGACCATTCCCCGAACCTTCAGCGACGTGGTCAGGTTGGTGTCAGCGAGGCGATACATCGACGTATGTATGTTCTGATCTTAGCAAATGCAGTTCAGCAGCGATGCAAAATTTTCGGTGGACATGACATGATTCCTGCCCAGAGTCTGAGTAGTTCATTGCTCAACAAGAAGGGGATGTGGTTACTTCTCGAGGCTTTGACGTGGGAGAAAAAGGGGGGATGAGGTAGAAGCCCACCAACCGGGGAAAATGCGACCGTCATTGCGACTCGGTGCTTTTCCAGATGGTATCAATCCAGGCAGGGGTTTGAAGGATCTGAAAGCCCGGCTAACAACCACGGATGTGGTTGACACCCAGTCATTGGCGCAGGCGAAGATGCTTGATGATAAAGAATGCAGAGAAGCATGCATGGAAGCATGGAAGCAAGCAACGGACCATCCGTCCGTGAGGCCAGTCTCGAGCGCTTGATTGACGGACGTTATTGTGCCAGCGTGGGATGTGGGTTTTGTTAGATCAGAGAGACTGTGATCCACTGAATCCGTCTATCTCAGAGGGAGCCTCAGCGGAGCCGGAAGGAGCCGCGGCAGTTCATGTTTCCATCATCCTCGTACTGGCGGACGAAGTCCGACAAAACTGAAGATCCGCAAGGGACCGCGTCTAGACTTCGCTAAAGTCCCTGCAGAGCGTCGTGCCTTTGAACGACGGACAATCTGTCAACATTGCTGCAAGTGTGAAGTGCCCATGCAAATATCGGAGAGTGCAGGTCCTCTTGAGCTGGAAAGATATCTCAATTCCAGACATGCAGGTTGACAGATAGCTTGAAATAAGAGGGGTATTCCCGATAGGGGAAGCGCCTCGCTCGCGCTAATACTACAAGTAGAACCAAAATTCACTAATCAAGCCAGGTCCGTCTTCCAGTGAGAAGAGGTCGGAGAGGAGAGCAGTTTCCTTAAGGAAGGTGCGTTGGCAGGGGAGACTGCGGACTAACCCCTCTTGTGTAGGCAGTGGATAACAGAGAAGATGTGGTTGACAGTCGCAAGAGGATGGAGGGGGTTTGGACGTTACTGAGGAGGAGGAGATTGGTGAGGTTGCTGGTATCTGTCCTCGGTATCGAACATGGACCATTTGATTGGACAAGTTGTTCTAATAAGCAGTTCCCCGCTCTCCTATTTCGGTATAGACGCATCTGATATCACGTCACTGATCCAATCACCTCCCAGCACCTCTTTCCCCCCCTTCTCTCTTCCTCCGACTCCCTCGTTTGCCGGGAGAATTCCCGCACAACGCCAATGCGCTATCGCTATACCCCCTTAACCCCCCATCCTACTCACTAAAGCTGTCCTACGATGCCGTGCCTGCACTCCGTGCGCCGCTCCCACTATCCGAAACACTCCTGCTTTCCCAATCCTCGCTTTGTCAGGCGAAAATGTCTCTTCGCCCACCCCCAGTTTCCCAAATGTGAGTTCGCGTGCAAGGGTAGCTTGGTCCCTGCATTATGTCACAGGTCGTTTCTCAGTCCTGGCGGTCTAGATGGGGCAGGCAAGCCATCTTATTCACCCACGCTGCGTCATACTTTGGGGTGACTGCGCGCTTGTTGTATCAAAGCTGTCCGTAGGCCAGCCTTGCGGGATATAACAACACCATATCTTTCCTGCCTCTGCAATGTTTGAATTCCTCCATCGAGATCCAAAAGACAACAGCAACACTAGCAAATCCATTCTACTCCCATTTTGGATAATCCAACCCAACGCGGTCTAATACCTAATACAACACCACATTACCCTTCTGGACCTTCACAACAATATCGGAAAAGCCGTCGTCGATCCTATTTCAACCAACAAATAATGCAGGCAATCGAACAAAACATGGGTTTGAGCTTTCCCACAGATTTCAACGCCGCTACATTCGACTGGTCCTATCCCTCGTCGGCCACCTCAGATCAAAGCACAGTGGACATCCTGGACCTTTTCTTCGAGTCGACTCCAAGCGTGCCAGTCGCTCATTCAAGCCACCTGCGCACGGGGAGTGAGTCTCAACAGTCACAGTCTGGGTTTTACGGGGACGCATTCTCGCAGTCGGCGGTCGACGCGTCAGTCAGCTACGCGAGCAGCGAGCACTCGGACGACTTCTGGACAAAGGAGACGACGCCGGCCGACTTTGGAGACATGCCCTTGGACTCGAACACGAACCAGGCCAAGATGCTGGACCGCAAGCACCGGCGGCGCGAACAAAACCGCAAGGCCCAGAGCAACTTCCGACAGAAGAGGAAGCAGGAAGTGCGCCGCCTCGAGCAGGAAGTCGAGGAGCTTCGCGCCCAGATTGCTGGGTACCACAAGAGCGGGCCCACAGTCGGTCTGACCATCTGCACCAGATGTCGCAACTTCTTCCCTGCGTCCGCCGAGGTTTCTATCCCTCACTTTGCGGCCTCTGGCGCCTTCAGCTCATCTCCATCCAGTTGCGATAGTTGAAAAGGTCTCAACAAAAGTCGATAGAGTTGGTCAATCATTGCCGCCACCTCAAAGGGGTGGCGGCATCGATGACGGCTCTGCACTTTGAAGCCATAAAAATCACACTCCTGCGCTAATGCGGCGAGGGAGTCTTGCTCACCACGGTGTCTGATGGTGTCGCAACAAGGCTCCGGATATCAGCCACGCCACGCCACACCATATCCCTCGCTCTCCAGCGATTCAATGAGCCTAGGTGTTCCTGCGCCCGGTTTCGGCTACATAGCCAAGCCTCACGCGAGATTTACGGCAAGCCGAGCTTCGAGGGTGTGCGGTGTCGCCGAGGTTGTGAGAAAGGCGATCTGTACCAAATGCGAGTAGACAGGCTGACAAGGGGGGTGGGGGATAAGGCCAATTGACGGCCTTGCACGAGATGATGACTTATGAAGCGGGACGGTCGGGACAGCGAATAAAGTGTACGAGTATGTAATTCGGCTTCAGCTTCGGTAATGGATAATATAGTACTTTTTGCATTTTACCAATGAAAGAGATGATATTACCACCTGTACCTCCAATTGATTTGGCCATTTCCCTCATGACTATGGAGGCCTGAACCCTTCTTGCTCGGCTCCATTCGCCACGTGGACCAAGGGTTCTTGTACGAGCTTGACGAGTATCGTGATATCATAGGGAATGTCCCAATCGGGTATCGAAGCGTCTATACGAGCAATGCATGTGGAAAGCGAAAAAGGCTGGATCCGAGGACCCCTAGCCTGCATCCCGGCCTCGCTTGTCGTATCGAGTTATTGCGAGTATAATACGTACAACCTCGCATAGATATATCAGGAATCTGAGATGACTCTTTCTCCCCCTCCCCCTCGGTTCTGTCCCAGAAATCCAGGGATCTTAAAAAAATCCAGGCTAGTATACGACAGCCCGGAAATGGAAATGGAGAGACAGGCATTGGCCAATGGGGGGTTCCAGCTAGTGTTGGCACTTTTACGTAAAACGGGTTTGAATGCTTGTGACACCTCTCTTGTCCCAAGTCGGCTATATCTCTGAATGGGTTACTTTTCCTCCGGTCTCACATGGAAGATGTGGTTCAATCTTGATTCAGGCCACCACACCACACCATGTAAGGCGCTCGTGTGCATACTTTCTGACCCCGTCAGATGAAATCTGCTCGGTGGGGGCAATGCTGGCACTGGAAAGGAAATGGGAGAGGAGGGTACTGGTTGTGCAAAAGCAAAGTGAAGATGGGTAGCAGGGAGCAGGGAGGAGTATATAAACCTTGGTTTCATGTCCTGACGAACAAACTTGCCTTCCTGGCCTCTCCAACCAGAAAACAAGATGTCGAACCACAACGATTCCATTCTTGAGCTGGCGCAGCAGATCCAAACCAACACCAACACAATTTCCGAGTACTTGCAGCAGAACTCCCTCCCACCTCTCTCGCTTGCCGCAGATGCATCCCCATTCTTTCCGGGCACAGGGCCGACCAACGTCGACAAGTGTCCACGGCTCACGGAAGACATTTTGAATGCGCGCACCCAAGTCCGAGAAGCATGTGCCACCCTGTTGCAGCTCGTCTCGGGTCCAGCGGATGCAAATTGGGATTTCTTGGGCGGTCACTATATGTCGGCGTGTATGCAATACATCTATCACTATCGGCTTGCCGAGGGAGTTCCCGTCACTGGAGACATTAGCTATAAGGATCTTGCCACAAAGACGGGCACGCTGGAGGGTCAATGCTCCAGAGTGCTGAGATTTACTATGACCAAAAATATGTTTCGGGAATCTCGAGCGGGTTATGTGGCTCACACTGCGTTGTCCGTGACGTTGTTGCAACCTGACTTCCTGGACATCCTGGGATATGTGACCGAGGAAAGCTTCATCGGTGCGCCCCGGCTCGTGGAGGCCACGGAAAAGTATCCAGGAAGCCAGGACAAGAACACGACGCCGTGGAATCTTGGCCACAACACAGACCTACCAATGTTTGAGTACTTTGAAGGGCATCCAGCCCGATTACAACGATTCATGGGGGCCATGAGATCGTTGGCTTCCGGAGAGAGTTACAACATAGGCCATCTGGTCGATGCATTCAGCTGGAATTCACTGGGAGATGGTCTCGTGGTTGACGTGGGTGGTAGCTTTGGACACTGCTGCTTCGAGATTGCTGCAGTCGCCCCGGAGCTCAGGTTCATCGTGCAAGATCTTGAAAAGGTCGTGACTCAAGCCCGACAAGAGCGTGCCAACGACAGGCACATTGATCGCGTTGACTTTCAAACGCACAACTTCTTCACGCCGCAGCCTGTCAAGAACGCCGATGTCTATTTGCTGAGATTCATCTGCCACGATTACTCGGACAAGTATGCGGCGCAGATCCTGAGCAACATCACTCCCGCCATGGGTCCAAATAGTAGAATTGTGATTGTTGACGCCATCATGCCCGAAGTCGGAGTTCTAAGCAAGTTCGATGAAAACAGAACAAGGTGAGGCCATGGGCAAACCCCAATAAAATAGAGTGCTGATGAGTTCCTTGTTTAGGATTATGGATATGGAGATGATGCTGAGTTTCAACGGCTGCGAAAGGGACGTAGGTGGGTGGAAGTCGTTATTCGAACAGGCTGATCCACGACTGGAGCTGCGTAGTAGTAGGAAGATACCGGGCAACATCCACGCTGTGATGGAGTTGGGATTGAAGGGACGAACATGATTACATGAAGACAAGATTGCTGTGTCGCGAAAGCGATGGTGCCATAGCAGCCCAAAAAGGAAGAAGATCCGACATTCTTCCGTCTTGGCTTCAGTGGCTTCTCAGACTCGAAAAGACTCGGCCATCACGGAAGTTTCCTTGTCCCCAAAAATGATTTTCTCAGGTCATCTTGATTTTCATCTCCAAAGTTTCCTCACCGACAGTAATAGATGATTGTCCCTGCATACCTAGGAACACAGAACTCCGACACGGCAGAGATCCTCTCCCGAAACAACCCAATCATGCATTGACGAGGTCTAAGATAAAATTTCTCCATTTCAGTCTGCTAATCGTTCTGGTCGCGTGCCGCCGGTATCCACGCTCCGAGTTTGATATCCACTTCTCAGTCCGTCTTCTCGACACCCTTTTTGACATCCAACATGGCAAAGGATAAGTACGTCGATCCAGCCACGTACCCTAGCCTTTCCGACCACGAAATCTCGACTGTCCGGAAGATATACGCCTTCACCGAGACATACTTCCGGAACCCACGCTTTGACGCATCCCATGATTTCAGACATGTGCGGCGAGTCCTGAGCAATGCTTTAACGATCCTGGAGAAGGAGGAAGAGGAACGGAAGCAGAAGGCTTTGCCCGCGTTGAACCCACTGAGTGTGATTTTAGGGGCGTTGCTGCATGACGTTGAGGACAAGAAGTATGTCGATGTGACAACGGATCAACAGAAGATGACTCTGCAAAAGGCAGTGATCGACGCTGGTATGCCACATAGCTATGCAGAGCATATTCAACTGTTGGTTGAGGGTGTATCGTATTCCTCTGAGATCAAAAACCCTCAGAATGTTAAGAACCTCATTGACATCATCCCTGAGCTGGCCATCGTTCAGGATGCTGATCGGCTTGATGCTATCGGGGCCATCGGGATTGCTCGTTGCTTCACTTTTGGAGGAGCAAAAGGTGCTAGGAGTCTTCAGGACTCGATACAGCATTTCGAGGATAAGTTGCTCAAGTTGGAAGGGATGATGAAGACCGAGACCGGAAAGGCGATGGCAAAGGAGAGGTCGGACAGAATCCGGGAGTTCATGGAGTGGTGGAAGGATGAGGTTGGTGCGACTGGTACATAAGCCAAAGCAATCATTTCCGAAGCTTGACCTTTGAGATTGGGCACTCTCCTCGATATGTCTTCAAGACTGCCCATGAGTGCCATGGGGGTTGACGAACGTGCCAGTTCACGTTTCCTCGGCATCCCCAGGTTCACCAAGATCCTCACCTGCTTGCGCTAGCGGATCCTCTTTGTCATGAGTGACAGAATGCGGCGTTGGCCCAGCAGATGTGATCTTGGGTGGCGGGGCAAGCGGCGTACCTTTTCTTGAAGGTACATGGTCCCGCTCGGCACTCTTCTTAGCACCTTCGGCGAATATATCATCGAAGCCACTGCCCAGAGCAGCTGCGCCATGGTGTCTTCCCTTTCGTGCTCTGGAGGTGGCGGATGCAGTGGGAGGGGGAGCTCCTGGGCTCATCAATGGGGGTGGAGGGATATTCGGATTGACCATAGGAGGTGAAGGTAGATCCTGAGCAGGGGCAGGTTGGAAGGTGTTGGTGAACACGTCCTGTTGCCCATTCTCCGAGCTCTTCTTGTCAGCGTCAAATAGATTTTCTCCCGGTGCCTGCACCTCTTCTCCCAATCCCACTGGCAAGCGGTGTAAGGCGCCAAAACCAAGGACCGCCCCTAGAGCTCCCTCGCCTCCCCATCCTCTTCGCGGCACCAGTTCAACCTCTCTAACCACGTCAAATTCCGAGTTGTAGACCCATAGTACCAAACTGCGATTGAGATGGTCTTCCACGAGCTCACCGAGAGCAGCTTCTCCCTTTAACGTGCCGCTTGGCGAGCCAAGTATGTAGTCGCTATGCGGTAGGAGGCCTGCTTGATGGGCCGGTGACAACGGGGAGGGAATGGCCAAGACATGCCAGATGTTGTGTGCGGAATTGAGAGGTGCGAGTTGTAGTGAGAGTCCGAGCGTTTCTGGGGGAGAAGGAACGGCGACACTGATCGAATGGGATCTTGAACCCTGAACACACCGATCAGGAATAGAAACAATACTCTGGCAGAAAAGTAACCTCGTACCTTTGCGCTCCATAGATCCAGCGAACAGTATCCTCCAGCGCAGTTGCGCAGTTCGGTTGTGAACAGGGCGGGATCCGGCGAGTCCTCCAAGGAGTCAGCATATCATCTCACAACTAGTTGCTTCTTGTTGGGCTAGACAAGTACCAGATAATGGCCGTTTATGCCTATGATGAAGTCGAACCACGGTTCAATGGGGAGGTCTTTATTTGTGTTTCGCAGGACTTGAAAGCCATACGATGTATCCGAAGGCCCAGTATCTGCTTGTCGTGGAGGCGGCTCACCGTCGAGGCGAGCTATAAAGCGATTCAAAGCCCCAAACATATTGGGTATCGTTGTTTGAGAAAGGGAAAGTAAGACTTTGTTAGGTGTTGCCCCTTGTTGTCGTTGGACACTGAGTTCTCCATACAAATTGCAGACACGTGTTGAGATGGATGACGCGCCTGCACAATAATTGACTACTCCCTAGGTAGGCAATAGGCAAAGCACGGCCACCTGCAGCCAAGTAGGGAATCCTACAAATACAGCATTTACTTGTACCCGGTACTTTTGCACAGTAGCCTGTCTGCTAGCAGTCATGCTCCCGGATCGACAATGCTTCACCAGTTCTCTCAGAACCGTCTTCTCTTGGTTTGGTGACTACGTTCCTCGTCTCTGCCTGGCTGGCCTCAAGTGTTATGACTACTCGGCACACACCTTGAAGGGCTCACGTTCTGATGTCTCAGTTGGCCACCACTGGACGCTCTTCATTTCCTTGGTCAAGTAGTCAAATGTGTACAAGCACAAGTACTGTGTACGTCCGTGGATGTTCCGCGCCCAATAGTTTGAGTGAATTTTCAAGTCACGTTCTGTACCGAGTAGAGGGTAAAAATAGAAACACCCATTCTTGCCATCACTATTGAAGACGTCACTCCATGGGAGAAAGAAGCACACTGACTACGTCAAGTCATGTGCCCATATGTCTCAGTCCAAAAGAAGGTAGAATCCGGAGAAGAGAAGCGTAGCCTGGTGCTGGTGTTGGTGCTACCGTAGCTGCTGAGGGTGCCACTAGAAAATACCACCTGAGAAACTTATCATTCGCATCGGATAAACTACTTTTCCGCAACCCCGGCTACCCCAACCACATGTGGTTAGAACAAGTGGGTATGGGATGTGCTGATTGGTGCATCTTTTACCTCCCCCTGACTGCGCCTGCGAACTGGAGCCCAGACTCTTTGGTGCTCAGCCTCCCCAACTCTTGAAAGCTCTCTCCACAGAATTTCTCTCACTTCAGCCTTGACGAAGCTTGGGAGATGTCTCGCATGATTTGCCCTTTGCGACCCAATCGCCATCTGACTTGGCACCGAACACACCACTTGCACGTTACAATAGCTGCTGAGGCTCAGTGCGATAGCCTGGGAAAACCTTACAGCATAGCGAGCAATGCTACACCTGGATTGTCACCATGGCTCGCATGACACCAGAGAAGCTATGCTTTTTCGTCTATACCATGGTGTATAAGAAGGTGAGTGCCTCTTGTTGCCGGAAAGGTTTGTCTTGTCCATCATCACAACAGCAAAACAACTATAGCAACAACTTCCTGTACCCTCGTTACCTTACCACAATCGTTTGAACCGAACAGTTTCCTTGCCACACTCGCTTCAAGCAACACTCCTCAAAACAGCGCATTCCCATCTACAATCTACAGAGTATAATCCCGTCATCAGAAATGCGTTCCTCCGTCTCTTTCCTCATTGCAGCTCTTGCTGCTGGCGCTTTGGCCATGCCAGTGGCCGAGACCACCACCACTTCCAACTACTGTGGCTTTGGCACTAATGCAGATGGCTCATGTATCGTCCCAACTACGTCCTCGAGCTCTGTTTCCTCTACCACGACTACTTCCGTGCCAACTACGACCTCAAGCTCTACTTCCTCTACCACCACAACGAGCTACTATTGCGGCTTTGGAACAGCCGCTGATGGCTCATGCATTACCCCCACGTCGACCAGCACGTCGACCTCAGCCAGCACCACAACGACCTCATTCTGGTGCGGCTTTGGCACAGCTTTGGACGGAAAATGCATTACACCCACAACCACTACCACACCGGTTTCGACTACAACCACCACGTCATTCTGGTGTGGATTTGGCACGGCACTTGACGGAAAATGCATCACTCCAACCAGCACCAGCACCAGCACCTCGACTACCAGCACCACTACCACTACCACGACCTCACATTCCAAGACTACCACGACCAAGTGTACGAGCACCAGCAGTACCTCTACCTCCAGTGCCAGCACCAGCAAGAGCACTTCAAGCAAGTCGACCAGCTCCTGCTCCACTACCAGCACCAGCAGCGTGCCAACTACAGCGAGCACCACCACTACTCACTATTGTGGATTTGGCACTGCTCTGAACGGAAAATGCAACCCATCGCCGACCTCCACTAGCACCTCGACTACTTCGACCACCACTCCTGCCTCTCATTGGTGTGGATATGGGACGGCCGCCAACGGTCACTGCAACCCGGCTCCTACCCAGTCACCCACTACCCACCATTGGTGCCCTTCTCCAGCCACAGTGACTGTCACTGCCACACCTACCTTGGCCCCCAACTTCTTCTATAACTTGAGTGATTGTGTTGGCTGCCAAACCATCACGATCACCATGGCTGTGCCCACCTCGATCGGTGCCTGGTAAGCATTGATTGCCAGCGACACAGGGAAGATGGATGAGGTGAAGCAACGTCAGTAATGCGAACAAGAGTTGGGCTGCAGGGCAGCATGTCTTTTTAATGCGGTTTGCGATTTTTGGCGGTTTTTTTGGGCATAGCACGGCACAGCATAGCATAGCATAGCATAGCGGAGGTTTGGCATTATCAGAGTACACATGCGTATCGAATGTAATCAATCCTTAAATATACAAATACTACTTGGTCTCCTCGAATTTATGATTTCGCCTTGCTCTTGGGACATCGGTCTACTCACCAAGTAAAATTATCTTGTCCGACGGTGCTAGTTGATTTCTGCAAAGCCTGGGAGCCACTAGGTTTAACCATGAATCCTCTGTCAGACCGAATAATTTCCTCTCTCAATTTGGCGCTTCTTGTCGAAAACACTTCTTCTCTATTCCATACGCGACTCTTAGCATTCCAACCAGAACCTCTTTCTGTCAATACAACTCCAATCAACAAGTACTACCACTCTTGTTCTCGTACTTTCAGACTCTTCTACCCGCACAATACATGGCCAGTTGTGGCTTTTCACTTGTGTAACTGGCGCTGTTTCACTGACCACCCCCTTGAAGCTGAGAGCTCTTCATCGCTGCAGGAGAACCATGCTAGGCTATCTACTACTGACGCAAAGATGCGGGCCAGAAAGAAAAGGCAGCTTGACGCAATTCATCCTCATGGAGGCTTCAAGTGACCTGGGTCATCACGCGAAAATGCTATGCTGAGTACAGAGCAAACGGCCATGTGAAGTGAAAGATCCTTGCATGAGCGCTCTTAACTCTTTGTCGCTCTCTAGCTCGACAGCCACAATAGTTACGCCACGAAGAGCGTCTGTGCACAACGCCGTCGATTCCTTTCTCTCTTAAGCGCCGGCTACGCAATATCCCCGACGGGCCGCAGAACCTTGTCAAGGTCAATGCGTACGGGGGCCCCGAACTCGCCATGCCCGTTTCTGTCGTGAGAAGCAGTTATCTCTCGCAGTCTACTCGTCAACATGACCTATCTCCGCCTCAATTGCGCAAAGAAGCTAGCAGTGTGCTTCTAGAATCTCCCAGGGGCCGGGGAAGGTCTGTGACACTTTGATACGCTATATGTTTGGAAACCCCTGCTCTGAGGGGCATCATGGCCACACCCGCGACCATGCATCCGTTCGTGAAGCCTGCACTGCGCCTCTGGTGGTGTGCTGCGTATTGCGCCATTTCCATGACGAATGGACAGGGACCTCTCTGGACTCGGCCAATGGTCGTGAACGCCTCAGCTGCATCGGTTGCGGGAACGGACAGGTGTACTTCTGGCAGTTCGGCACCAAACAGCCGCTTCATTATCTTGGAAGGGAGCAAGCCCTGTGGCTGAGCATGGTTCCTTTGCCTGGAGACTCGCCGGGCGAGCCGTTGAACTGCATTGGCTGTGTCTGTGAGAGCGGGCGAGAGACTCTATAAAGACAGCGTAGAACCTGGTAGGTACATCTTCCATCCCTTGACCAACCAGGCGGCACAGTCTCTTATCATTCACCTCCCCCTGCACTCACAACGAAACCTCACAGAATGCTTTCCATCAGCGAGCTCTGTCAAGTTCTGGGCATCATTCACCCTCAAGAGCAGTCTACATGCATTGGCTACACGACAAGTGGTCGGGACGCTGGGCGGAAATGTCGAAATCCAGTAGCGGCGTCATCGCGTTCCACAGCCACACGTATACTCACAAATATCTGCAGCCCTCTCGCGTGTGGAGTGAAGCCCTCGAGGTTGGAAAAGCAGTTGCAAGACGCGGCAAGCCTACTTCATTGTAAACGGTACGTCTATCGAGATATTCCACATGCCGATGGAGATAAAGTCCCGCCCTGGCTTCCTACCAATTGACACGCTTTCTAACGTGCTATTAGATGGCACCAGTACCAAGCACCCGAGGAAACCCAGACCTGGTTGACTAGATTGGACCGCCACGTGGCAGAGACCCAAACCTCAACACGCTACAGCAGCGTTCGAGCTCAAAGCTCTTACAGAGGGCGTCGTCCCAGCGAGAGCCAGATCACATCGTCAACAAGAAGAACAATATCCTCCGAGCCGTCGATCAGAGACAGCGATCTCTTGGGAGACTCGGACTACCACCATCACTGGATGCAACAGGAGACAATCAGGAGGCTTGAAGTTCTTTTGGCCCAGTTGGAGGATCGAACGAGGTCATTAACACCCATCAGCGCCGACGCCGACGTATCCGGGGCAGAGCAGTCCTCGATGCGAGGCCGTGTTTTCGATCCTGCACCCGCCGTGTCCAGTGCGTCGACCAGGGCCACTCGACGCCGACAATCTCGATCCAACGCTCCGTCAATTGCGTCGTCACGCTCATCTTCGCCAACTGGAGCCCGCATCCCTTCCACAACCTCATCTCGGTCCTCATCTCGGTCCTCGTCTCGGTCGTCATCTCGGTCGTCATCTCGATCTTCATCTACGTCGAGGAGCAGCGCGACGTCTCCCCCTCCCATCTCCTCCGAGACTGAATGTGGGATCTGCCTGAACGCCATGTCCTCTTCGAATCCGGTCGATGACGACGACAACGACAACGAAACCTGGCGTTGTACTACGTGCCACAACGCCACGCACGCCATGTGCTTTGATGAGTGGATGGCACGCTCCACGACCAACAGCGTGACATGTATTTACTGGTACGTATCCACGGTTTTTCCCGCTTTGGCGATTCACCATCGCCACTTTCCCTCTCATCCTATCCACACTTCTATGCCCCTTTTTTGCTGCCAAAGACCGCATCTTGTGAATAGGGACGTTACTTTGTACATACGTGCTAACTCTGTTCTCCTTGTAGCCGTGCCCCAGTCTCATCCTCGAGCTAGTAGTCAAGCAAGTCAATTTCTTGCCACCCGGTTGGACGGCTCGGTCAGTCAGTCAGTCAGTTGAGGTTTTTGTTCCAATTCCAATCACTGCCAACAAGGGGTGGCCATGGACAGGAACAAGCGCACTTGAAGCAATCAATGGTCTCATTTGCTCAGATTCTCTCCCGGTTTCGCTTCAGGTTTAGGGTTATGGTCCAAGTCGCGGTTATATCTACTGTTATATCTCCTATTGTCCCTTCTATTGTACTTACACCTGTGCTTGTCCCCGTGCTCGCGTTTGTACATAGTTATGGTTATGGCCATGAATATCAGGTCGGGTAGGATCCGATGTTTTTGTTGCCACTAGTAAGCCAACTTGGTTTCTTAAGATATATATAATATCCATACGAGGTATACATCCGTATATATGTGCCCTGTATACGCCCAGCACAGGCATGTAAATAAACAAATAAAAATCACATTGAAATGCAGTGCTGTATCTCGCTACCATTACGGTGTCCATGATAAGGACGGAGAGAAAGATATCTTATGGAAGATCTCACTTCTCAAAAACCGATCAGTAGGATATGCAATTCTGTAATCGACCTAGAATGATCCTACCGTGCCTGCATAGCCTGCCATGTCTGGACCTATCCGACTTTCAAGAACCAATATGCATGAGATACTCGTAATTCTCCGCTGGGCAAGCCTCGCACTCCCAAGGCTGAATCCCCTTGCCGCCCACCACCACGACCAATAATCCAAGTTGTGAAGTAGTGTCTAGACCTTGACAAAGCAGAAAGCATGATAGAATGACACTGCATCCTTCTCAGCCTCACTCAGCAACATCTCTCCCCCTTCATGCCTGATCACGCCCATCCTCACTGCCAAACTGGCCATCTCGCGATTGCTTTGCTCTTGCTGCCAAATATCCAAAAACGGCTTCCTGTAGCGTTGCTCTAGATTGTAGCTCTCGGCCAACGCCCGGAAAGCTTCCCAAGGCACCACAAATTCAGGCACATCCACGGCTTCAGCCATCCAGTACGTGTATTTCCAGCTGAAGGGTGGACGAAAGGATCCATCGGATTGTAAAGGACGCTGCGGGTCGATAGGGAAGCGGACGTTGTAAATGGCGTTGCCCCATTGAGGACCCTCCTCATCGGCCTCGCCGTCCTCTTTCTCAGCATCAGCACCATCGGGTCCGTTCTCTTGAGCTTTCTTCGCTTCTTTATCTTTGAACCACTCTCTGATCTTCTCCGCACAAACATCACTGTTTGGCACCACCCCAATAAATCGTCCTCCCTTCTTCAGACTCCCCGCCACGTTGCGGAGCATCATGCGCACTTTCTCCTCGGACTCAAATGAGTAGTGCATGGCAAACATACAAGTGACAACATCAAATCCGCCACCGCCCCAGCGGGTAGGTTGTCCATTGCCCGCGTTGGGGTCGATGCCGACTTCGCGAATAATGCCGACATCACCAATCCAAGCGCCGAAACAGTCTTGTGGGAAGAAGCGGGCATCGAAGATGGGACGTCGACCTCGCCGCATCTGTTGATATCGTTCACGAGCTTGTTGAATGCTTGTCTCTGCGGGATCGAGACCAACATACAGCCCAACTGTTTGTGGAGCCAGCTGCCACTTCCCCAGATCACCTCCTTTTCCGCATCCAATGTCGAGCACAAGGAGTGGTTTCTGTGCTGCAGGCTCTTTCGCCTCCTCGCCCCAGCCCAATTCTTCCTCTTCGGTCTTCTCTTCCGGACTAAATTTGTGGATGAGGCAGGACTTGATCCAGTTGTTGAAAGTGCGTAGTCCTTTGATTTGAGATTCATTCCGGCGCCAGTCTCGTCCCTTTTCCTTCACCCACTCTGGCCGTGCGTTGTAGAATTGATTTGAGACTTCTTGAACACCACGATTGACTTGAGCGTGTAGCCCAGCCTGCTTCTGCTCCCGTTCGGCAGCAAGGCGCTGCTGTTCGGCTAGCACATTCCGGCCACGGCCGCGAGCACCGCCAGGACGAATGAGATCTCGCGGGGGAGAGTCGCGAATAGGGGAGGGGGATTTGCGACGCTCTCGTGGAGGAGATCGGCGACGGTAGGCATCCAAGGGGGAGCGTCGTCGAGGAGGGGAACGCGATCGCCGGTTAGAGAAGTTGTCCCTCCGCTCTCTTGCACGTCGGTCATCGGTATCCGGTCGTCGACTATACGCGTCGGAAACCCGACGTGATGCAGAAATTTCGCCTTCTTCTCTCGGCTTGCGTGGGATTCGGGGCAGGTCTGCGGGTGTCCTGGGCTTGGGTTTCTCGGTGTGACTTCCATTCGTAGCGGGTTTAGGCGAGGCTTTATCTCGTCCCGCGGGCGAAGTGGACGCGCGTGTTTTCTTCACTGGATGTGTCTCCTCGGTTTCCTGTCTCTTCGGTTCAGATGTAGGCTTCACTTCTCCGTCAGGGGACTCGGATCGCTTTCGCTTTCGTGACGGGTCCGCCGCACCCTCTGCTCCTGGACTGGACGTTGGCGGGGCCGTAGTATTTGCATCTTCCTCGGCATCTTCAGCAATGGCTTGTTCGGCTATAGTATCTGGCAGCGCTTTGAAAGTATCTCGAGCAGGGTCATACGCAAAAGACGACCGTCGCCGTGCGGGAGCGGGTGCATGACCAGAGTCGGGCATGTTCGGCTAGGTGTGTTGTGGCCACAGTGAGAGCGAGTCTGTTATGCCGGTAAGGCGTGGTTTAGAACTGGAGTGTCAGTGTCAAAATAGGGATGTAGGACAACAGGGGTATTTGGAATTCGTCTGGCCAAGATCCGTAGAGAAAATCGGAACACGACAGTTATACGCACTACAGTGAAGGAAGTAGGCACCGACGCGCTACGGCGCAACACTGGATTCAATTTCTGATTGGACAATTCGGCGCATCGTCGCGTCAGACCACTTCCGTATATGGGTATCTATCTCGCATATTACATGGTAAATATGGCCCCTTCGAGTGTTGTCTGTATACCAACTCACTTGGTTGTTTCGTGAATCTCCCTGGAGGTATCGTGTGCAGCCTGCGATTCCACCTCGTCATCGTCCTTGGTGGGAAGCCTATCCACAGTACCAAAGACAACCTCCATCTCTTCTAAGCTCTTGCCCGTAGTCTCCTTGAGCAGGAAATAGCTATAAACGATGATGGCGTAGTTGAATATAGCAAACATGAGGAACGTCCTCCAGCCGATATTGGTGATAGCGTGAGGGGTAATCTGGCTCATGACGAAGTTGAAGAGCCACTGACTTGCTGCACCTGTTGCAACACCAATCTCCCGGATCCGGTTGGGGAATATCTCGCCTATGTACAGCCACGGCAGAGGGCCCCAAGACATATTGAACGCGAATGCTTCCAGGTAGACCATGGCAATACCGGCCGCTCCCGACGATGTGATCCCCGTGGCCGATGGTTTGGGGGGATGCGTGTCAACAATCAATGCAATGATGAGCATGAAACTCCCCATCGCAAATGCGCCGACCATGAAGGGAAGCTTGCGGCCAAACCTTTCGACGAAGAAGAGAATGAAGATCAAGACACCAGCCATCTTAACCAGCCCGAAGAAGCCAGTGATGAAGAGTGTCTTGTTGCCAGCCCCAATGGTAGCGAAGATCTGCGGAGCATAGTAGGCTAGTGAGGTGTTGCCGGTCAGTTGGGCGCAGAGTTGAATCGTGATTGCGATAAACAATCGATATCTGTTCGATGGCAGGAGAAGTTCTTTCCAAGTCAGGCCTTCAGATTCTCGCACTTCCACTTCCACGCCAGCAAGTATTTCTGCAAACTCGGCTCGAATCTCGGGGCTATCGACACCACCACGGACCCAAAGGAGAGAAGCATAAGCTTCTTCATTGCGACCCTTCTTTGCAAGCCAACGAGTAGACTCCTTGACCAGTAACATGCCCAGCCCAAGAAGACCTCCAGGGACCAGCTGTAGGCCTACAGGCACTTGCCATTGCATCGAAGAAGTCTCGGAAATGCCCACTTGCGCAGCGTAGTCGACCCAGTAACTGACACAAACACCAGTCGCAAAGAACAGCTGAAAGCATGAGCCCAGCTTGCCTCGGATCTCCTTTGGGGCCATCTCGGCGGAGAACATGGGCACCAGCACTGTCGCTGCCCCAGTACCTAAGCCAGATATGACGCGACCAGCATAGAAAACGCCAATCGAGTGTGATTTCACAATCTGCAAAATGCACCCGATGCAGAAAACGACAGAGGCGATGATGAACCCCCATCTCCGACCGAGCCATCCCGTCAGTGGCCAGATGAAGAAGCAGCCGAAAAAGGCTCCAGCCTGGAGGATCGAGACACAGTTCGAATTGACTTGTGTCTTGTCGGCCTTTGAGTAGCCGAAGTCATTTTGGAAGGACGGAAACGTCAAGACACCTCCCACAATCCCAGTGTCGTAGGCGAAGAGGAACGAGCCAATGCAGCACAAGGCCACAACGTAGCAAGCTCGAAATGTGCCCAGCGATTTACCCATTCTGATTTCTTCTTCAGTGGCTGCCGGTGTTGTTTCGGGTGTGTCGCCTTGCTGGAGAAGATGATACCCAGCGGAAGAGGAAGAAGACGCCATGGCTAAGCTCTTATACCAATGCAGCAGACCGCCTGCCACAACAGCTGTCTTGAGCACCCTTCGGTTCAGAGGCCACCGGACTGCAACCCCAAAGTTGGACAGGATGATCCAATGTGTTGGAAGACAGGAACATGGGCATCTGAATCACGCCATAGAAGCGGGGGAATCTAGCAGACGGATGACCAGATGTAACCGGTAGGAGGAGTGTAGATCTAATTGTGGTAGTTTTGATGGGCGAGGAGGGATCGACGAGTGGATGGATGCGAACCGCTCTCCCGCTGTAGCACTGAGGGTCGTGCCACGCAACTCAGGTGTGTGGCAGGCTAAAAAGCCACTGTCCAGGGTCAAGCAGGTGTGTACATTTGTCGTGGGATATCAGCGATGAAGATTGGTTGGACAAGATGGAGGTTGCAGAGTGAGACTGCGGGCACATGATGATATGCACATACAAAACTTGCCCAGTTCAGTCGTTGATGATGGGTGGAGGTCCTTTTGTGCGGCTGACAACTACAAGCATTCTCCAGATCTACTCGGAGTTTGTGTTCTTTACCACAAGCTTCTCGCTTTCCCCAGAATATTTTTTCACAAGCCCTTCCCTAGCTTGAGAAACCAGCTAGGCAGGTGGGCCAACTCCCCAACTTGGGCATTAGGCACCTAAGGTTGGGTGCCTATGACCTTTCATTGTAGGGACTTTTGCTGCCCCCGGTACAAAGTTGGTTCCTGGTGGAGGCTCGCCGTAAGATTGAACCGATATCTTCCCTCAATCGATTCCCCTCTTGCCCCGCTACCAGTTCGACTGAGGCACGTAGCTGTCGTCCTCCATACTACCGCGTTTAGACTTCGAAATTGCTTCCCTTCGTCCCTAAACATTGGCTCGTGTATAGACTGTCATCATGGCTGCCAAAAGACCCAATTTCCTCATCATCGTCGCAGATGACATGGGGTTTTCAGATGCGGGATGTTTCGGCTCCGAGATTCGCACCCCCAACATCGACAAGTTAGCAAAGGATGGCATCCGTCTCACGGGCTTCCATGCTGCGGCCGCATGCTCTCCGACAAGAGCGATGATCCTCACGGGTACCGACCATCACATTGCGGGCTTGGGCAACCTGATTGAATGGACGGATTTCTCTGGACAAAACTTTCCCAAGGGGAGCAAATATTCGACGGCTCCGCAGAGAGGCATGCCAGGCTATGAAGGGTACTTGAATGCTCGAGTGGCTGCACTCCCTGAGGTCCTGAAAGAAGGAGGATATCACACTGTCATGAGTGGGAAGTGGCATCTAGGACTTACGAAAGAGCGAAGTCCTCAGGCCCGGGGGTTCGACCGAAGTCTGGCCCTCTTGCCGGCGTGCTCAAATCATTATGACTGGAGACCAGAGGCCGATTTTCCAAAATTCTTGGAGAAGAGCGTCATTGCATTGCACATGGAGGACGACCACTATGTCAAAGATCTACCAGAGGGATGGTACTCCAGCGACGGATATGGAAGCCGAATGCTCCGCTATCTGAAAGAGTGGAAAGAGGACAAGGAACTCTCCGAGAAGCCCTTCTTCGCGTACTTCCCATTCTCTGCCCCGCACTGGCCTCTACAGGCTCCCAAGGAATACATTGATCACTATCGGGACGTTTACAAGGAAGGCCCAGAAGCCCTCCGTCAGGCACGGCTGAAGAAGCTGATTGAACTAGGAATGATACCCAAAGACGTCAAGCCCCATCCAGTTGTTGCGGACGAGGTGCTTGGGTGGGACGAGATGGACGACTTTCACAAGAAGGCGTCCTCGTGTTCGATGGAAGCGTATGCTGGCATGGTTGAGTGCCTAGACCACAATATCGGCCGAGTTACGGACTATCTGGAATCAATTGGCGAGTTGGACAATACCTACATTATGTTCTTCTCGGACAATGGTGCTGAAGGAGCTGCGTACGAAGCATACCCCATGGTGGCTGGTGAGTTGATGGAGCATATTGGCAAGTACTACAACAACTCCCTTGAGAATATTGGCAATAAGGACAGTTTCGTCTGGTACGGCCCACGCTGGGCTCAAGCTGCCACTGCCCCGAGTCGACTGTACAAGGCATACACGACCGAGGGAGGCGTTCGGGTACCTTGTGTTATTCGGTATCCGCCGATGCATAAAGGCCGAGAAGGTGAAATCACCGATACTTTCGCAACAGTGATGGACATCGCACCCACGCTGCTTTCCCTGGCAGATATCAAGCATCCCTCACCCGAGTGGAAAGGCCGACAGATTGTACCCATGCGTGGCAAGGATATGATACCGTGGCTAAGCGGAAAGCAGGATCTGGTCCACGATCCTGGCGAGGCATTTGGGTGGGAACTCTGTGGCAGGGCGGCAATCCGTAAGGGAGCATGGAAAGCCGACTTCATCCCCTTCCCCAAGGGTAACTCGGCATGGCAGCTGTACGATCTTTCCAAGGATCCTGGCGAGACGGAAGACCTGGCCACCAAGCACCCAGAGATCCTCAAAGAATTGCTAGACCTCTGGGAAACGTATTGCGAAGAGACTGGCGTGGTGCCCTTACAACCAGAACTTGGTGCCCGGTTCCATGAAGCGGTTGAGGCACAGATGAAAGAAGGCGAATGGATCGAGTATGAATACTGGAAGCCCGGGGCATTGGAGGAAAGGAGACGGCAAGAATTTGTTAGAGAGATCGCCAAGGTAAGTGATCCTAGAATCAAGGAGGCGGCTGGAGGACAACCGGTCAACGTTGCTGGTGCATGAGAGAGAGAGAGACGGTCGAGATGAGATTGTACAGCATCTCCACAAAAGAGGAGACCACGATGCATGGAAGGCTAGACAAAACTTGAGACCGATTACAGTGAGATGTAAGGTGTAATCAGTACCCAGCGAGGTAGTTGACCGTTGATGTGGCGATACCTCAGTAGCTGGCATGCTGTGATCAGCCATTGGTACCAAGTACCGTTACAGGTACGAGACGCCGTGACGTGCAAAATCGGTATCCTACTAGGTACTCGTATTGAACGAAAATACTTACAAGGATGGCGAAACTTAATCCGCTCCGCCGCGCGCTTTTCTGTTTATGGTCAGGGGCCATTTCACTAAAATGTTCTGTTATTCCAAACCGACGTAATGACCAAATACCTGATTTCACGGTACGATGTCATTTAATCTAGAGAAAGAGAGCATTAAAGGTTCAGGTCCCGCCGCAACTCTGACTCTCACCCCGATATCTTAGTTTCCAGACCAGGTGGACGACTTGATCGTATACAGATTGGGGAAATTGCAGGACGACGAATACTTTGTCAGAATGGTCGCTGGTTGTAGGAGCATTGCCAGATATAATATTATTTCGTTTTGTTCACCTGGGAGCTCCTTCTCATGTACTGCAGCTACCAGACTTATGGTTTGCGCTTTGACCGGGAAGTGATATAGTGTCATTTCAAGCTTTTGCGAAGTTTTTTGGGTGCTGACAGCCTGATATATGTGTGCTCACAGTTGTCTCTACACGAGCAAGGAGGGACATCGAAATGTACCCGAAAACAGCACGAGCTTAAGTCCAACAAAGTTCCTACCCCGCGGTCCCGCGCGTTCTCTTAACTTTGTCCCGGGCGTCTAATCCTGCGCCACGTGGGCTTATGCCTATAAAGTGCTAGCGTGGTTCCGGTCACACCTCGCACTGAGTGTCACTTCATCGCGGGCGGCAGTAAACCTCAAAAATCACCGGTTCAGTTCGTTACTCTTGACAGATAGCAGCACAGGCCTTTGTCATTGCATTCGAGAACTGTTCTCGCCCCCCTATCGCTCAATCTCGTCGAATTCTGGCCGAATCAAAGATCATGTCCTCGATACCTTGTGCCAACTGGCAAGCGCACCCTTCCGAGAAATGCAGCAGGGTAGGGCAGCTAGCCTGCGGTGGCTGTCGCCTGGTTTCAGTAGGATGACCACATTTCAGCAGAGGACATCTAGATAACGTCGCTGACTGGTGCTGATCAGTACTGCGGGAAGGACTGCCAAAAGGAGCATTGGACTGAGCATAAAGTCTACTGCAAAAGCCCGCTGATGAAGACCAGCTGGATGCCGGCCTGGGAAACAGAACAACGTCTTCCATCATTTGTGGGCGATGGGCCCCCTATGGTCGCATATGGCCATTTGCAGAAATACTTCTGGGGCAATATGCCCGCACTCGATGTCTTAGCCCTGGACCGCAACGAGGGATGCTCTTATGGTCACGACTTGCATGTGTTGTTCGCGGGTGAGGCTTATTCGTTGTATTGTGCCACTAGCAGTGCTGACTACGCTGTGTCTACAGCTTCTGGAGACATCCGTAATGTGCTGAAGACTGTTGCTTGTCTGCCTGATGAGTATCAACAGTCTGTCTCCTTGACTCTGAACGACCGGGATTTTGATATTGTCGCACGGAACCTGATTATGCTCCTCGCTGCGATGCAGATCGACAAAGACCCCGACGATATCGAAACCATCATCCACGTTTGGTACTCGGCGAAACTCCAGTCTCGTCATCTACGTCAGCTGCAATCCTCGATTCTTCCACTATTTCAAGAGGTTTGTGCAAAGATTAAGAAGAAACCGAACGGCACGCTCTTGGGAAAGACTTGGACTTTCGGATCTAGATCTCTCCGCGTGACTTTGTCCAAGGAGAAATGGATGCTCCTCCCCTCTTTTCTAGAGGTTCCCAACGGCTTGTCTTGCAGCCTGGCCGACAAAATTCGAAATGCCACAACGTTTGCGCATGAGCGGCAAGACTACCGAGACCGGAATACCCTCTTACAGAAACCTCCTCATCGCGTGTGCAAACAGAGATTCCGCGAAGATGGAATTCTTTTGTCCTTTGCCCAGCCTCGCCAAGCATTCGACACCCCGAATCCGTGAGGCACTCTTTGAAGTAATACTATAATAAATCATGGGCCTGACTTGTCACAGTACTTTCTACCAGAACAAAGAGCAATGGCCAATGATGGACTCAGCAGACCCTTTTGATGGATGGGATCTACGTGCTGTCCTCCAAAGCTCCTATGGATGCGCCGCCAACGACATGTATGGCAAACTGTTTAACCATCTAAGAGATCTTCTGTCCTCATTCGCCAGACAAGCCGCGTCGCGAAAGATAGCGTTCGAGCTCTTCAACGTGGACGTGAACAACCTCTCGAGACACCTTGATGGTCGACAGTTTGCACGTATTGAGGTGATGGCCGTAAGAATGTGCCGTGAGATAACAGCGCTGATCAATTCTGCAGGTCTCTAACATTTCGGATGGCGGTTACCTTGGGATAGCTCGCACACTCTACCTGCTCAGTCCATTATTGCAAAAGCACACTCACAATTCTCACGCGACAATGATAACGCTTTTCATGAATGCCGTAGCTGAAATGGTTCATCTGAGCCCTGCAAAGCGTCCCGAGATAGAATCTCTCGTGATGAAAGTGTCGCAGTATCTTCCGGCCACACGTCCGCCACTCTCGGAATATGACCCTGCTGTGATTCGACGGATCGCGGCTCAAGACCTCGTTCGTGACAATGACAAATACTTCAAAATGTCCGCGCGTCCAAGTTCCCTAATGCAGAAGAAGCATGCTGATCATCTGCAGATATATGAGAGAATTGCACTTCCGGGAGATTGGACGCCATTCGGGCTTGACAATGGAACGACCGCACACAATCATCGAGGAGTGGCCCATGAGGCTCAAGTCACCGCCGAAGCAGGTCGGAGCGAAAGAAGAGTTTGAGATTCTGCTTGCCTCGTCCCATAGTGGAGCCGAGCGCTACGTGGAGTGGAAGTGGGCATGATGTACCGGTCAAACAATTTCTCTGCATCTGGTATCCAAGATGCTGGGACTTCAAAGAGGCAACGTTCTTGGGCTGTCTATCGCTCGAGGTAGAAGCTGCGGAGAGATCAAAGTGCTTGCTAATTCGAGTCGTGGTGGCGGTGAGACGAGTTTTTCGTTAATGCGATTGAGATGAATAGGATTTCCTCACGGCGACACGAGAGCCTCGGCGCTGGCGAAGGATCAAGAGTTGTCATGCGTGTGACTTCCTACCTTGTATTGAACTTTTACGAAGCACAAAAGCAGACTGTAAGAGCAGAGTGAAATGACATGGGGCAGACGTGTATGCAAATTACAGATCTATTGGGTAGATGGCGAAGTTTGAGTACTTCCAATACGGGGTAAGCGTGAGCTTATCGTGGAGCCAAACGATCTTCCTTTTAGAGTTATTCTTCGTGCGTAATTACATGGTATTTCATCACTGTAGCAGTACAGATCAAACAGCGCAGATCTCTCTCGGTAAGCACTAGATCCCTCTTACGTGAACTTCTCAGCCCTGAGTTCCTGGCCCCTATTGACGCCTAAATTCCTAGAGAGGGTGCTCGGTACCTTCGTCCACCGTTCATCATTGTCATCATCATCACCTGGGGCCAACCACTGCTCTCGATCGTCCCTACAAATACCTCGTACTTCGTCCCCCCCAACCTTTGACAAGACCTCATCTGGACCTACCACGACTCAACATTTTTATTACCACAAGACAAAGAAAAAGAATGCCTGCCACCAAGCGACCATCGCTCTTCACTCGCCTGTCGGCCTCGGCCTTCGCTGTCTCTTCCACCGCCGCCACCGACACCGCTTCGATCAAATCCACCACGTCCGCTTCCTCAATACAGCCCTTACTTTCCAAGGCGCGGCGGAAAGTCAGGACTTCTTCGTCGCGTGGTGGCAAGGACGACAAAGTGTTCAACTTCAACATGAGTTACCCGTATAGCACCTCGAACGCTGCCGCCGCCTCTACTATCACTGAAAATAGCTGATCGGTTTGAACCAGCTCGTTCAGCGAGAGTTGAGGTGGGCCTTTGGGGCGGGGGAGGGAAGGACAACTCCAGGCTCTAACCCTGTAACATTGGCCCCCAATCGACAGCTGAAGGAACGGAAATCTTTTCAAACATCAAGAATATCACGCCCTTCGAAGTACCCTCGTACACAGCAGAATGAACCCAGCTTGTCCTCGCGTCGAACTGCCTGACTGCTGTCACGCTGTGCACCCTCGCGGCACTTCTGGGCCTTTGAGTCTTAGGTTCCCCCCTCACACCCCGCAATTTCCCCAGATGCAGATGCCAAATCGTCGTGAGCTCTGCTTATTTCTCCTGCCTAGGCGTCACCCAGGCGTCTTCATTGGATTCGGTTACAAATCTCGGCGACTTCGGGGAGATCGCTGTTGCTGGGCGCCTGGTCTGATTGTACTCGTTATAAAATCACATCGGGCCGCCAGGGCTATTCCAAGAGGTACTCGGTACACGGCGCAGGCTTCTAAGTGCGGTTTCAAGGTTTACCAGAATAAGAATCCAAAACGTTGGGCGTGTCGCAGCCCTCTATGGGTCGCAGCACGGATATGGCGGCTGGAGGGCTCAGCAAGCGCTTCAAGTGAACCAATACTACTACTTTTCACATGCAGGACTGTATTTTGGAACCCTCTCCAGGGGGCGAATACATCAAGTAGCGATTCTGGAATTCACTGACTAAAACCTGTCCTCACCTCAGCTGCTTAATATTACTCGTGGACTCCGGCTAAAATGAAGACACATTCTGTACGGAGCAGTTGCTTGTGCACCCGCTCGCAAGGGGAAGGGATGTACCTACCTAGCTAGGCACGACGATGTCTTGTAGGGATTTGCAAGTCCTTGGTTCAACTGACCACACTATTTCCACCTGCCCACTCATTCCAAATTGGACTTTCCTTCTTCCCCGTCACCAGCGGCTTCACCCCCGGCGACTAGCAAGGGTAGAATCCACACCAACCAGTATTCGATCGACTGCTGTGGCCGGTCTTTGAACCGTCTCAGCACGCCATTCCACCACACTGCTTGTGGTGTCCTTAATTTATCCTGATCATCATGCCAAGAGGACCGTCTACAACCCACGACTCAGTATCTCGTAATGGTATGCTGGCGCCTGTGAACGTGGGCTACTCGACTATCGGTCCAGTTCTTTGGAAATCACGATAAATGCCACTTATTCCATACCTCGACACACACGTGAAGGCAGCATGTCACTTTCATGGTGATGTTCTAGAATGACGTGCATGTCCTTTTCACTCGACTTGGGCAGCAAGTCTAGAAAGAAATGAAATCTCTCTCCAGCAACAATGACCCATGAGACACTGTATGATTGATCTAGGCCGTGTTCTTCAATTTCTTGTCCCACCTTCTGCCAGTTCAAATCTTCTCTCCTTTATCAACCGTCTCTTGTCAGTACCGCATGCATCTTTGGCGCCAGCCACCCTGGCCTGGCGCACTCGTCGTCGCTAAACAGATCAGATGCAAAACCCTGCCCTGCCGCCTCATAGTCTCATTTGTGGTAAAGGGGTAGAGACATGATTGGCCTTGCTTTGTCGATGGGTCATGACTACTGCAACGCTACGGCGCCTCTTCTTTCTTCTGTCGCGAGACTTGTTGAGACTTTTGTCGCACAAGTGCTTGGTACAGACCTTCTGGGCCGGATATGCACGAGGGCTTCTGTGGCCCCCAGATCACTATTTGATGATAGCAGCAGTACCGCCCTCCTGTTGAAGATGTTTCCACCTTTCAGACACTGCACTCATTCTCCAGCTGGGTCTTTGCGTGACAGTTAATTCTTCATTTCAGGGTCCCAGGTGGAAACCCTTCCAGCATGGCAGACATGCGACGCTTGCCATCAGGCGCCCTTCGACTCCTTGCCATTCTTTCAGCCTTGTTCTACCTTACATCTGCCGATGAATTCACCAACCCTGCAAGTGGCACTACCGATCTCTCCATCCATTACACGGTGGGAGACAAAGTTGTCATTACCTGGGACTCCTCTTTGGAAGCAATAACTCTGCTTGTTTCGCATTGGAATGGTGGCGACGTGGGAGCACTATTATGTCAGTTTTCAAGCTCGCTGAATGGAAGTGTTTGTTCGGCTGGTCTTCAGCCAAAGCCTTGAGGTTTGCTAACACTTCTCCATCGCTACAGCCAATGTTCAGAATACGGGGTCCTACACGTGGACAATAGGAAAGGACGACAACATCGACGATGCCGCCATCGAATCAAGCCCGAATTTTGTTCTTCTCATCAGAGATCCGACTGGCGCCGACAACTCAGGTATATCGGGCTGGGTTGATGGACAGCTCTCGAGCCCGGGTTTTATAATCCAGTCCAACAACGTGGTGTCATCCTCCTCGTCGTCATCTTCTTCATCCTCGACCACCTCGACCTCGACCTCAACCTCAACTGCGATATCGACCTCTTCCACAACGTCTTCCGTGTCCTCGATAACCTCGTCTCCCTCCGCCGTCACGACTCCGCCATCCTCCCCATCCCTCACAGACGCTGGTGGTGCCTCGATAACATCAGCCGCGCCAGTCCCGGTAACAGCAGGTTCAAGCGGACTCAGCACGGGCGCCAAAGTAGGCATTGGAGTCGCTGCCGGTGTGGGAGGACTACTGCTCATAGGGCTGGGCATATTCTTGGGTCTGAGGTGGGCGCGCAAGACCAAAACAAGACGGCACCCCGAAGTGTCCCACGTCGACGACGGCATGGTCCCCACAACCGGCCCATACTATCCACCGCCCGCACCACCGCAAATGGGGTCTCTGAGCAAAACATCAGGATATGGCTTTCAGCCTGTGAGTGAGCTGCCGACAACAGGACCATACTCGCAGGGGAATAGGCCGATTCATGAGCTGGGTGGTGCCTGACAAGATAAAGGGGAGTGTTCGGGACAGGGCTCGCTGGGGATAACGAGGAACTACGAAACTACTTATACGGCCACAATACCCAGCCCTACTTGACTTTTGGAGGGGGAAGGGGAGGTTGTTTGACTATATGTAATGATATATCCCTTTTGATTTCAGTTGAAAGATTACACGCCCAGTTGATATTGGACAAAAAACGTCGTTATTCATGATCATAGTCGTCGTCATCGTCATCCGTGTACCTAGTATGTTACGTATGTGCTCGAGAAATTCTGTCATGTCCCACGACTTGTGTTATTTTGTCGCATAGAAGGCGCCTCATATCCAACTATCTAGCTAGCTAGCCTGACTATCTTATTTGGAAAGACCCCCTCTTATTTAATTCCCCCACAACATATGTATGATGTGATATGTAGATACCCCCCGATTCTGAAATTGGTGGTATATGTATAACAATCCAACAAAGGCAAATACATACATACACCAATGCATCAAAGGGTAAAAAAAATAATAATCATGTCCATAGGTAGAAAAGATAGATGGGTGATGAAAAATACTGACCTCTTGTCCGTCATATTCCATATACCAGCGCCCGCACCGTCCGCCCGGGTTTTCACTCGTCTTTGTCAAAGGTGTGTGATGATGCATGGCATGGGTAAGCAAACCCTCAGGGATCCGCCTCGGTCATTCAGGTTTGCCATGCGTCGTCCAGTTTCACACCGTGCTCGTCCAGTCTGCACTCTGAGGTGCCCCATTTCATTCTGTACATGTCTCTGCCCTTCTCTGCCGTGGCCCACCACATCTTCTGGAACCCGTCCGGGTCGTACGTCCATGGCTCGCCCTTGCCGCCTTCGCCGAGGGCAGCCTGCCAGTTGTTGCGTTGGTTCTCGGGTTTGCGCCGCTCGAGTTTCTCCAGCTCCGCCACGAGGAGGTGGTAGCGACGTGAACCTGGCGGCTCGCCTTCAGGAGCAGAGTCGTCGGCCGCTTGTGATGACGATGACGACGACGCAGGTGGGAAAAACTTGGCTTCAGGGTCCTGGAGGGCCTCAGGGAGGTCGAAGATGCGGCCTGTCCGCACGTCGTCCTTGGTGAAGCCGTTCAACACGATGCGCGAGTATGCGTCGCAGTCGGTCGCGTAGTATGGGATGAAGGTATCCCAAGCGCCAATCTGCCGCCATGCCTCGACGTTGACCAGTGTTAGCCAGTCATAGGTGAAGTATTTGATGGCCCAGTTTTTCTCGCCGTTTCTCGGGGTGCCCATATCAGTGTCGAGGGCCGTGACTCCGAGGTCGGAGAGGACATCGAGCACACGAGCATGAAAGGACTTGTAAGGCTTTGCCTCCTCGTCGCTGAGCACGGCGACGTCCATGTGTGACCAGAAAAAGTAGCGCCATCCATGGGCCATGCTAACTCTCAGGAAGAAGTTCTGCAGCTGAGCGAATGTCAAGAGCGTCGGAGTCTGCAAAATCGAGACTCCATATCGATTGCGAAACAGGTCGTAGTCCAGGTAAAATGGATTTTTGGGAGTCAGGAGATGGCGGGGATTGGAGTCCATGGTGCCTGCGTTGTCGACCACAATGATGTCCTCTCGGGGCCATCCAGCTGCAATGTAGCTCAGGACCACTTGCTGGAGCATGGCGTTGTTGCGAGTAAAGGCAATGAAGAGCGGTGTTCGAGGCCGCTGCAAGGATGCTAGCGGTGCATTGTACGAGGCGACTGTGGGACGGAACTCTCGTTCATCATGGAGAGGTGGAAACCACAGTTTTGTGGAGTCTTCGTCCGAGCCAAGCAGATAGGACACCGAAGACGACGGTGATGAAGTAGATGAGATAGATGGCACAGACGGCAAACCGTTAAACTGTTGTGAGCCTGTATATGATATCGGAGGACCATTTCCGAGGAAGAGGTAAATTGTTGTCAAGAGCGTAAATGTCACAATCAGAAAGGAGATCCAGCGCTTAGGGAGGCGCCAGCCTGATGCTGTGCGTGGACTCGGGGTTGACGACTCATCGCGATTTAATAGTCCATTCAAAGGGATATAACGAGCGGTCATACTGTTGCATGGGTGACGTGACCCCAAGGCCCAGGTTTATAGAAGGCAATGCCGATGAGAGAAAATCAGAAGACAAAATGAAACAAGTTGAAAGAAATGAGTGAAGTTGAAGTTGGGGCGGATGCATGCATGTTGCGTATGGAAAGGGACTAGCCCAACCAACCATCGCTTCTCACAGTTACTCGCCACTCAACCACTTAAGTTCTTTAGGCGATAGATCCAGCCATGGAAATAACCGAGACATCCACTCACAGCACTGGTTTCATTGGAAAAGCCACCAGAAAACTATGTGATGCGTGGCTGTTGCAGTGGTCGACACGACTGAGCTATTTCTATCGCTGCATTTTGTTTCAGACCAGCTTGGTGACCAACTTGCCCGTGTTACCGCCGTCAAACAACTTCAGCCACGTCTTGGGCACGTCCTCGAATTTGGTGTCGACGACCTGCTCGCTCTCCTCGTTGGTGATCTTCAACTTGCCTTCCTTGATGGACTGCACGAAGAGTTCGATGGTCTCCTGCGCCTTGGGGAGGTAGTCGAGCACGATGAACCCGCGGATCGAGAGGCGCATGGTTATCACTTGGAAGTAGTCTGGAGAAGGGAGGACAGGGTTAGATAAACACCTTCTTGAAGAGGAGGGCGGAATGAATCCGAGAGCGCCCGACCTAGCGGGATGGAAGTTGGATAGACATACTTTTCAGCACAGTTGGCTCGGTGGAATTGTAGCCTGAGATGGAGCCGCACGCGACAGCCACGCCGTGCCGCTTCAGCCTTCCGAGCATGAGGTCGAGAATATGGCCCTGGAATGAGACAGAGTGTCGTTAGCATAAACCTCACCACTGCCACAAGTTGGGTCTCTCTCCTCAGGTGGACAGGTGGGTGGGAGTTACTCACGCCGACATTGTCGAAATAGATATCCACGAATCCTTCTGTCGCCTTGTGCAGATCTTCTTCAAAGGTTGGGCTCTTGTAGTTGATGCACTTGTCCGCACCGAGGCTTTCTACCCAGCGACATTTCTCGTCCGAGCCGGCAATGCCAATAACTTCTGAACAGCCGACAATCTAGAAGGCAAAAGCCCAGGTGGTCAACTCGGGAACAGAGCACACTGGAACAGAAGAGCTCCGATGGGGCCTTACATTCTTTGCGATCTGCACCACCATATTACCCGTTGCCCCCGCTGCTCCAGAGACCACCACTCTCCTGTAATGTCCGTCAGAAGCTAAGCAAACAGTGACTCTCCAATACGCGCGAAAAGAGGTCCAGGACGTCACGGACACACTTACATCCCTTTCTTCGCTTCCCCAACCACCACCAGGCCATAATAGGCCGTCAACCCCGGTCCGCCGAATGCGCCCAGGTAATGCGTGATGCTCAAGCCTCCGGGCAGCGGCTGTCGAGGACTGCACTCGGCAGCATCCACGACTGCATACTCGGTCCATCCCGGACCTACCGCCACGATAGTCCCTTTCGATAGATTCTCAGCAGTTGAGGCAATGACTTCGGCCAACCCACGAGCCTGCATGGGTGCCCCAATCTCAACGGGCGGGGCGTAATGGCGCTCTGCCTTGATGGCGCCATCAATGGAGGGACGTTGCGCCGGGTCGTTGGAGAAAAAGAGCATCTTGACCAAGGCTTGGTTTGGTTTCAAGGGCGGCAGCGGTTGCTCAACTAGCTTGAAGGTTGGGTTCGCATCGCTGCTGGAGAAGGTCGGAAGACCTTTGGGACGATTGGCCAGGATCCAAGTGCGGGTAGATGTAGGAGTCGACGCCATACTGTCAGGTTCTTCGTGTCGAGCGGTTCAACGAGGTGTCAATGTGCGTAACCCCCCACTAAAGAAGTAGTTGAGCAGTGTGTTATAGACAGTTCGGCTATCTGCGGGTTAATGCTCCTCTCAATATCGTACGGCTGAAAATCATCCGACGGACAAATGAGTGACTCCGATGAAGAGCTGTGAAAGCATCTGACCAGAAGAAGAGACAGGAACGAGAAGTGAGTTTGTCTACCTCCATACTAAATGTTTTTTCAATGGCCAGACCAAGACACCACTGACACGTTCCAGCATGACGTGCCACTTTCTCTAGCCATGGAGGGGCAGGAGTCAAAGGGAAACATGGTGCCTGAACTGGGTTAAAACCGAGGTACATAATTAACATGAAGAGGTACCCGGATCTTCATGATTGGCGGAAGGTTCTTTCATCTCCGCAACCCGCTCACCCGCTTCGTCGAGGACATGCGACCAAGTCGCGTCGATGGGAGAGTATCTTCATATTTGTCAGCATTTCTATAGTGATATGACATCTATGTACTGTCTTGCATCGGCGCCCGTGAGCTTCAGGATCTGACAGATCATCTGTTCCGAGCTTATAAAACAGCTGCACAACTTCCCATCCACCGGATTCAATATCGGATATGGGCAGGGAACATTACACCGACTGCCAGAGAGCAACGTACTGTACTAGTCCGATGGACGCGCAGACACGGTATGATCGGGAATCGGGTTTGTCAGCTCCACCTCCTTTTGGCTGGGATTCAGGCATTGTAATGTCACTCAGCACGCGCGGTGTCCGGGAGATAAGCAGGAGAGGCTCGCATTTGTCCATGCTCTTCACGCGCAGGATCTCGACTGGCTGGACCGTAGACGGGACTCGATTCAAGTCCTAGCGCAGCATGAACAGATGTAGGTCCAAAAGACTGGCCACCAATGATTCTTCAGCAGACCAGGGTGTGCTCAGACGTTTCACCCATAGAGTCCATCCCATTCCTCTTCTTCATCGTCAGGTGCAGCATTCTTTTTGATCTCTTCCAGATGTTTCTTCTTTCGATCTCTTTCCCTTTGCGCCAGGTCAACCCGGTCCAAAGGACATGTCCCGTTCACCAACAGCCACGGACGTATGCACTCAAGATCAAAGATATGACTTTGATGGCAGGGAAGGCGCACCAGCAGCGGATGAGGATCTTCGACAAAAGCGTTACCGCAGATAGGGCAGTCGGCATCTTTCTTGACCTTTTTGATGTTGACTCGCTCCAAAGCAGCAATGTATTCCTCGTCCACACCCTTGACTTCCCGGGGAGGTCGTTCGGCAGTGTCCATCAGGTTCTGGATCATGCTCTCGAGCAGGTTGGAGTCGGCATTGTCGTTAACCCTTCGCATTACTTCGAATGCCTCTGCAAGGGAGCGAAAGACGGCCGAGACATCGGCAGGAACGGGAACGGCCCCTTCACGAGCTCGTTCTTCTGGTCGGTCGGGCGTGACTTCAGAGAGGAGACTCAGGAAGGTGGAGAGATCGGGTCGGCGTGACTGGCTTTGACTGCCATTTGGTGGGTCAGAGGCATGTTCAGCTAGAAAGCGTCAACCCAGTCGGCGTAGCATGAATGCATCGTGCTTACTCTCGTAGCTACTCATCGTTGTCGTGTTAGCAGATGAGACTGTTTCTGTAGGCTCGTGATAATTAGAGAGTATGACGAGGCAAGCCTCAGTCGTGGGCTGTGGGGAATAAATAGGTGACAAGCGAGATACAGGCACTAGTTGATGGCGTGGCCCCTCTCGATAAATCAGCTGTGACAACGTGGTGGGAGATGAAGCGGGTAGTGAATTGAGTAGAGAGATATCAGTGTCAGCCAAACACAGCAACAATCAAGTCGAACTAGTGAAAGTCGTGCAAAGGGCGAGTAGCAGGAGAACGAGGAGCTTGAGATTGATAGACGTGGGAGTTTGACAGGGATGCACAAATGCATCATGGCGAGAAGCTGAAAGGCGGCGCTGGCGCTGGTGACGCCACAGTTTCAAGCCGCAGTCACCGAAATCACAGCCACTTTCTACACTTTATGGCCAGGGCTGCTACTCCTGCACCTGCCCTCACCTTCCAACCATCAACCATCAATTATCACTACCTGGAGTATCCATCTCGACAAACGACGATCGACGACAAACGGCCATTATGATATGACCTAGTCCGCACGCTGTTAAATCAAATCGCCCTCGAAGACCTTTCAAGACTCAAACCGCTTGCTGCCATCATGCATCGTCCTCCAGATCTACAATAACTCAACAACGTCGGCACCAGTTTGCCCATGGAGGCAGATTGGGATGAGATCACTCGCATCGCAGTGCCTTCGTCGGGACTGCATGCGATTCCTACTCCCGCCAGCGCGGTTACCTTTGATGATCTACAGGAACTTCTGTGGGTGGGCAACGATCAGGTAAGGGAGGCTCTTGGAACTATTGTTTACACCTCTCACCTTTGAGGCCAGGGCCGAGTCACCTCATTCTATGGTCCCGAATTGCAACGGTACGTTTCGGTCAAGGCTCATCTGGGAGAAGGACCGGTTAAGCAGCTCTTGGTCCATGAGAAGGGTATCCTTTCCATCTCGTCTTCCAGCGTCCATTTCGTCACCCGCAGAGGCTTAACGCAATGGCACATCTCGCATCGCCTGATGACGGATCTCCGATGCATGGCTTTTGCTGCCACCAACAATCTCGTCGTCGTCGCGGGATGCCAAAGCACCTTTTTCGTTATCGATATAGACAAGGGCCAAATTGTCTCCGAGCATCCTGCCCAGGCGAAGTACACGATCTTGAGAAAGAGTCGCCATATATGTGCTGCAACTGATGACGGCAACGTGCATATTCTTAGTTTAACCGACTATCAACTCCTCAAGTCCTGGAAAGCCCACTCCAGCGCGGTCAATGATATGGATGCGCGCAACGACTTTCTTGTTACGTGTGGCTTCTCCGTCAGGCAACTGGGCGTGCCTATCGTCGACCCGTTGGCCAACGTCTACGATCTAAAGTCGCTCACATCCCTGCCTCCCATACCTTTTCATGCGGGTGCCGCATATGCCCGCTTACATCCGAAACTCCAAACCACCAGCTTCGTCGCGTCCCAAACCGGGCAAATGCAGGTGGTGGATCTGATGAACCCTGTCAATGTCATGCTCAAGCAAGCAAACGTCCAGTTTATGCTGGGAATGGAAATCGCCTCTTCGGGGGATGCCCTGGTGATCACTGATTCAAACGGATGGATATACCTTTGGGGGTCTCCCTCCAAAGTCCGCTTCAATAACATTAGCAAGGAAACAGAATTTGCAGATCCTCCTCCCCAGCAGATTCCTCATGTTGACTGGAATGACTCACCACTCAACACCATAGGCATGCCATACTACTCAGAACCTCTACTGTCAGCCTGGCCAAGTCATATGGTATTTGAGGTTGGAGCGCCACCAGTGCCAATCGAGCCATCGTTGTTGTTTCACATGCAGACTGCCGAGATGGGCCACTACGCTCCCAATCTGAATCCTCGAAAGCTTCTCCGCTACCAGGTTGAAGATACCAGGATAGGTCAGGTGCCGGCTTCAATCACTGCGCCCAAGTTTCTCAGCGAAAAGGCGAAAGAAGCTCCTGCCAATGGAAACAACAGGAAGCTCTCTGATGCCGCCGAAGGATTGGCCGGAGTTTCTCTCAGTGGCCGGGCGCAAACCGATGAGGAACGAATGCTCAAATATAGTAATGTCGAGATCAAGTACAGCAGATTCGGAGTTGACGACTTTGATTTTCGATATTACAACAAGACCCCTTATTCGGGACTGGAAACGCACATTGCAAACTCGTTCATCAACTCACTATTACAGCTGTACAAATTTGTTCCTCTTATCCGCAATGTGGCCATCCAGCATGCTGCCACATCGTGCGTGGCAGCCCAGTGTCTTCTGTGCGAATTTGGGTTTCTCTTCGACATGCTGGAGAAAGCAAATGGTCAGAATTGCCAGGCGACCAATCTTCTGAGGGCTTTTGGAGCCTCTAGGGAAGCTGCGAACCTCAGCCTTTTCGAAAATCTGTCTTTGGCCAACGGTACGCCCCTCTCGACGACAATCCAATCAGTAAATCGATTCTTCTTGAAGCAAATGGCACATGACTACGTCACAATGGCGACGAGTGGTGACGGTATTGAGGAGGTCATTGCGAGCAAAGCCTTTGAGGCCATTCGTTGCATGTATTGCAACAATGAGACAACCAAGCCCGCAAGCACCTATGTGCACGACCTTGTCTATCCCCAACTCGAACCAAAGCACTCTATGAGATACATCAAGTTTTCGTCCATCTTAAAGACCACCATCGAACGAGAAGCTAAGAACCGAGGCTGGTGCAGTCGATGTCGAAGATATCAACAGTTGGCAATCCGAAAAACAGTTCGACAACTGCCTTTCGTGTTGATGATTAATGCGGCACTGGGAACTAACCCTGCAATGCGCGGAATTTGGGAGACCCCCGGTTGGCTCCCTTCCGAGATTGGCGTTATCGTACAGGATAGGAACGTGTACGTTTTCGAAGGTTCCGACCTAGCCTTGCATCAGCGAAACAAATCCCCGGGCCTGGTGATCTATGAGCTGGTGGGCTTCGTAGCCGAGATTGACACCAGTGAACGTCATCAACCTCACCTCGTCAGCATGGTGAATGTGGAGGTTTCCAGCAGTGGGCCCGAGGTCACTCCCAACCAGAAAGTATTTCCTAACTGGCATCTCTTCAACGACTTTTTGGTGTCTCCAGTCGATCCGAGAGAGGCCCTCCATTTCAACAAAGGGTGGAAAATGCCCAGCGTCCTTGCCTATCAAGTCAAGAATGCACACGGTAGACTTGATCACAACTGGAAACGAGGCATGGACACAACTTTATTATACCAGCACTATAGCGTCAATGGTCTCTATCCTAAAGAGGGTTGTAAAATCCTCACGCCCGGAGAGCGCCCAGAGAAAGGGACTCCCATCGCGCTGGACACCGAATTCGTCGAATTGGAGAAAGCCGAGATCAATGTCAAGGCTGACGGAACACAGGAAACCATCCGGCCAGCGAAGTCTGGCCTTGCACGTGTTAGCGTGGTACGTGGGCAGGGTGAAAACGAAGGAGTCCCTTTTATTGACGACTACATCACCATCTACGAACCGATTGTCGACTACAAAACTCAGTATTCGGGCATCCGCCCGGGGGACCTCGATCCCCAAATATCAAATCACAACCTGGTGCCTCTAAAAGTGGCTTACAAAAAGCTATGGATTTTGCTTAACCTCGGCTGCATCTTTGTTGGACACGGGTTGGCATCGGATTTTCGAAAGGCCAATATTCATGTCCCGAAGTCTCAAACAGTCGACACGCAGTTTCTGTACCTCGCCCCTGGCAAGAACCGGCGGTTTTCATTGCGATATCTTGCGTGGGCAGTATTTAAGGAATACATCCAGGAAGAAACTACGCTGGATGAGGCTATGCAAACCGATGGGCATGACAGCATTGAAGACGCGCGCATGGCCTTACGCTTGTGGCGTAAATTTCAGGAGTACGAAGATGCGGGCGTCGCAGAGCAGATGATTGAGGACATCTACCGCAAAGGCACGAAATACGGCTGGAAACCTCCCCCACGCAGCATTGGTGGCACGTTAATGCCCATGGATGGTATTGGTACTGGAGCAGCAAACAGCGCTGTACAGAGTGGGAGAAACACCCCGGATTTGATGACTTTGCCTTCGTCTGTGGCGGGTACACCGCTGCCGACCTCGCCGCCTAAAGGGCCTGGAAGTGCCAGCGCCAGTAGTAGTTCACTTGGAGGAGCATTCAAGTTGAATGCTGCGGGGGCGGGGAGCTTTGTCCCCGGGAACGGGATCATCAAGGAAAGTCCGCTTCGCTAGGAATGAAGTAAAGAAAGCGGCCTGGATTGGTGGAGTTGGTCACGGAGACTCAAGATAGTTGGAGAGATGTGGTGCTCTGGCTTTCAAGTTGTTGCTCGCCGCCGTGTTTTCTGAAAAATTCCACAAACAACCAATACAGTCCTTTGATCCTTTGGTCACTGCGCCTTTGGACGCCTGGCTGAGTTCCGTCTTTCGTCACTCAGAGCAGTTTTATTCATAATTGATTCTTCATTCTTATATCGGGGTTTGCATCTAAAGCTCGGTTGGTCTCCAAGACACCCACACCTCATGCTGCTTGTTTTATCTGCATGCTCTCTTCGCTGATATATAAAGAGAGCATTCGTGGCAGAGCCTCCTGGACCGTTGCCTGCCCTGAAAACGGGCTTCATGATTGGCGGACTTGAGTTTCCACTACCAGCACATCATGGGCCAATTGCTTAAAATGGCTTAGCGCGGATCTATTTTCAGTTCAAGGCTGTAACTCAGCCTCACTCAGATGATCAACGTAAACGGGTGAAACCGACAAGAAAGACTAACCCAACCATGGCGTCGTCACCTTCTCTTGGAATTTACCCCGTGCTCTATTCTGATATACTGGCCTTCTCTGTAACTCGTTCCTTGGTTGTGTGAATATCTTTCCACGCAGCTCTGTGTTACAGCTTCTCTAACATTTGTTTGTTGTGCCTGATACCACTCGCGTTTCAGGAGCAATTGAGCACTGAGCACGCCCGCCCCGTTTCCAGCACTGCCATTCGCAAATTTCGAAACGCACCGCCTCTGATCCGGCACAAGGGGCGGCCTCGGCAGGCCACGACATCTGCATTACCGTCTGCGACTGCTATATACGCCGTACCTCCCTCCGTCTGCCTCCTAGAGGCGACCCCTGTTCTATCATGCCCTCCAAAATGAAGTCACGCCCGCAGGTCTACCCCCGACCGGCCTTCCATCTTATCCGCGCGATCGCGTTCATCAGTGCTGCGATTGTCAGTGGGATCTTGATATATTTCTGCATTCAGCTGCGTCACGATGGGTTTAAGTTGCCCTGGACGTTGATCATTGTACGTTATATCGACACCAGCGAGAAATAACTTGGCGCCCGGCTATTGGCAAAATTCAACGTTGATTGTACTGACTCTTGGACTTCTCAGGTGCTCGCCTCTTCCGTCCTCTCCCTGATCTCGCTCTTCCTCACCTCGTTGGTGTACACCTGCTTCTTCCTCTCGCCTCTGTTAAACTTGATCCTCAACGTCACAGTCTTCATCGTCTGGCTGGTCGGCTACTGTCTCTTGACATGGAACATGTACGGCACACTCGGCCACAGCTGCTCTCGAGCAAATTGGGCCTCTGACGATGGCATGATGATCTGTCGCATCTACAAGGCGCTGTATTCCTTCGAGGTTTTTGGGTTGCTCGCCCAGATCGCCCTGATTGTGTTGGATGTGCGGACCCGGCGCGCCGAGACCAAGCTCGGGAAGTACAACCAGATGGGCGCTGATGCTGCGCGAGGCGGTGCAGAGGTGAAACTGGACGACCTGAACAGAAACTCCGCGGGGTCGGGACTGCTCAACCACCACGAGGCTCCCCAAGACGGATTGCCCTACGGGATTGGAGACTACAACCCGCACGCAGCTCAAGATTCGAGATTACGCCTGAGGGACCACGCCGCAGACTCGGACTACAATCACGGGTATTCCGGACAGGTCAGGGTCGACGATTTCCACAACAACAACTCGACGGGCAATTTCGGGTATAATGCATACACGCCGCAGACTGGCTATGGGAATGGCGGGTACGGTTATGGGGCGCAGCAACGATGAAAGAGCATGTGTGAGGAACAAGATCACAGCGAGAAGTTTTATTATAATTTTTATAAAATTTGAGAATGTTGTACGGGTTTCATCTCCCTCGGTTGGTTGGCGTGGACATCGTGATATCACAAGCATGGCGTGAATGGTGGCGGGACCATTTGGATTAAGATCAGGGTGTCTTCCCCGATGGAAGAAACTGCATAAAACAAACAGTATGTAACAAATTTTATCGACATCACCGACCTGCGCATCTCGCATCTTTGGCTCGTCTCATTACTGCTCGGTTGGGTCGTCCTCTTCCCAAGATCCATCGGCCAAGGTGAAGGAAGTGTAAGTGTGATTCGACTTACAACTTAAGAGGGACTCTGTAAGTTTGGCAAGTGTTGGTGCTCCAAAGACCTTTTCCAACCCGGAATGAGCCTCTCCTCTCCTCTGCTCTTCCGCCGAAGACCTCGGAAATAAAGTCTTGTTCTTTCATGTTGACGCCAATCAAGGTTCAATGGCGAATGGCCAGACTGACCCTTTCAACAGTAATGGACTCGGTACATTCGTACGGAATCTCCAAGTCTTTGTCTGTGTCTTGCCTCCCATCTGTCCATCCCTTGCCTACGTTGCCTCCTCCCCTTTGCCCTCGCCCTCGCCCTCAACCTCGCTGCGTTTCCTCTTCCCACCCCGATCATCACTTCCACTCACCTTGCCCGACCTCGAGAACAAAGCGTCCAGTTTCTGCTGGCCCCTTTCCGTCCCCTTTCCCACTTTTACCCTCTCGCCGGCCAGAACGGGCGGGAGGCCCTGCACCCTGCGCTTCGCGTCTTCGAGCAGCTCGATCTCCCGCTCGCGCTGGGCCTTGACCGTCGGCACAGACCACGACGTGGAATTGACGCTCTTGTGCGCGAGCTTGTACTTGGACCCGATGAGGTGGGTTGTGTACGTGTTTGCGTCGGTTTTCTTGACGTGCTAGACTCATCCAATTGTAACCGTGACATCCCCATAGTTAGCTGTGTGTTGCTCCGCCAGTGACAAAATGATACACTCCATGTCAAAGGATAGGGTAGAAGAGAGGGCGATCCCGAACCTGATGAGCAACTATCAGCCAATGATACTCTGTGCCCACGGGCGCGCCGCTCCCCTTGGGAGCGTTCCGCGCCCGTCGCTTGGTCGTCTCGTAGTCGATTTTCCAGAGGTCCGGCTCGACTTTGGTTTCTTTCCAGACTCCCTGGTCGTAGTTCCACGTGTGTGAGCCGCCAATGGCCATGCCCGTGTATATCTGGCCGCGGAAGGATTTTAGGGCGTTGAAGCCATCCCCCTGTCGTTTGCCGCTTATGTGTTCATTCCCCTTGGAGCGGGTGACACCTTCATCGTTGGCATCATAATATGGAACATGTTCTTCCTCAAAGATTGCGCGGTCGACGGGGTCGGTGGGATCAATGTCGTCAAACGTGGGTGCTTCGCTGGCGTTGCTGGTTGAGTCAATCTGGACTTCATCGCTCTCCGCAGCGACCACGGTATGTTCCTCTCCTCCAGCTTTCATATTGGCGTCAATGTCAAGTTTTCCCTCGAAAGGAGAAGTATTCACGATGGCTGGAGGCGGTCCATCGACTACTGATGAGTCGGGTGCTGTCTTTCTCCTCTTTGGACGACGAGGCATTTTCCTCCCTCTTCTAGTGTGACGGGAGAGAAACACAATGCTGCTGATGTGTATGTGAATGGCAATGGAAAGATATAGTGCTTACAAGAGAGGTATGTCAGTATGTATCCTAGCATAAATGATGTCGATTGTCATGAGATCCAACCATTACCGCAGCCTCGTTTCCAGGTCGAATGACGTCAGCTTTGCTCGCTGGTCTCGCCAGACAATTGTCCAAGCGAAGATTGCAAGAGACAAGAGATGATGACAGGAAACGGGTGCTTGCTTTACATCTACTTGTATAGACGCTGATCCTCGCCTGGTTGAGGGTGTGTCTGCCATATCGGGACTACCTAGACAACGAGTCTGTGGCATAATACCTAGTGTTCGAGTCCGCGCTTTGTCCCTGTCGTTCGTCTCCACGCGATCTTCACCTTTATTTACAGACCATTCAACCCCTGAAACCCTGGTTATAGGGTTTTGGCAAATCCCACCATTGCTTCAAGTTGTCGACGTCAACACCCTGAGAAAGGAAAGCGTGGAGGTTGTCAATGTGCAGGCTGCGGGGGTCAAGGTTTCGCAGCCACAACAGCGTCGCCTGCGCCCCGGATAAAATCCATCGAATTTCTTCCCCTCCACTATGCCCTCAAACGCCCAACAACGCCTTGACTGCGCCCTCGAATTGTCCATTTTAGCCAACCACTATTGGTGCACCCAGACTAGGAAGCCTAGTGAGCCCCTCCCACCCCCTCCCCGTCCGGACAAGTCGAATTTCAGGCTTCGGTTTCAACACACCGCGGGCCATGGGGCCCTGTGACCTGCATGGGAACCGTGGAACCAGATTTTCGAGGCAAACCCCACACCAGTTAGCGAGCGCCATGCCTGTCGGTCACCCTCTTGATTTCCAAACTGCGGCTGTCAAAGGGCTGGCACACCTCCCAATTCATCTTCATTTCCTGTCGGCTAGGTTTTTGTCCAAGATTATGTCTAGCAACGGCAGGACATGCACAAGGCGCAAGCCGTGACCCCTCGGCCAGATCCCAGCGCTGGAATCACAGCCTCGAGCCCTGTCTCCTCCTCCGCCTCCAAGACCTTTCAGTTTGTCACCGCAAACCCCTCCACCGACGCCGAACGCTCGCGCAATAAGACCCTCGTTCGCTCCAATGCTTCCAACTACCACTGGCGGCGGGTCAAGAAATCCACCGATGGCGCCTCAAGTCGGCCGGTAGCAGCAAGACGTCGTTCTTCAATCCGCAGCCAGGTCAGGCCTACCAAGAGGGTCCTCGCCCCCGCGACTCCTCAGACGATAGGGTCTTCCTCAACAGATAGCGATGACAGGACACCCAAAACTGAAGATGAGGCAACCGACTTCGCTACAGAGTCGCCGGGGTCAGCAGGAGAGCTGGTCTCGATTTCCAGCGCCAGCCTGTCAAGCTTGCTGGTCTCTGGCCACCATGACCCCTTTGAAACATACCCATCCGACTTACCCAAGGAGTTTGTGAGCCCTGTGCTCGATCAAGGTATGTGCTGGGCCGTTTGGAGTAGAGTCAACCAGAGGAGACTGACTGTGGCGGTCAGTGAATAGCTTCCTGTGTATAATGTTCCCGCCCGAGAACGGGCAGACCCTCAGTCCACACTCAGAGAAATGGCTTAAGATGACCTTTCGCGATCGCAGCCTCTTTCACGCCTCGTTATTTTGTCAACTCACACGCAATCGCATTCTCCGCTTGTCCCCCGCCCAATCACCGGAACAGATGCAATGCTACACCGAAACCATTCGAGGCGTGCACCAGAAGTTTGCCGATGTTTCGGTGAGTTGCGAGGATGAAAATATCCTGGCTGTATACGCTCTCTCCTATCACGGAGAGCCTCGAGTCTATCTTGCCGGTCCGGTACCATCCCAAGGTCCACTGACCACGTTGCAACTCCTTCATCTGTATGGGGGTCGCCTGCATACTGTCGGTGTGCACCTGCAAGGCCTGGCCAAAATGTTGGATCTTCGCGGAGGTCTTTCGAAAATCAGGCTGCCCGGGCTAGCGCAAGCGATTTCTTTGTAAGTCGTCGTCCTCCTTTCCCCTCGAACCTGCAGCCTGACGCTGACTCCGCAAATCTGATAGCGGAGACATCATCCTTGCCAGCCAGACTCTCACAAGACCCCTGCTGTCGTACGCGATGATGTATGACGACGTCATTGGATCTTTGAATGCCTCGTCGAGAAAAACCCATCCGCTGGTCGGCCTCGGCCGAGGATTTCGCGTCCTCCCAGAGATTCTCGGGCACGAGATGTCCGAAAAACTCCTCGTCGTTCTGAAGTGGATCATCCAGTACACCTTCGCCGTGGACGACCATGTCACGGGGAGGCCCGAAGCCCAGCATTTGGGCTTCATCGCGAATGAGAGAAACTTTGTACAGCACAGCCTGCTGTTCCTGACGCCGCTGCCCAACGACCTCCAGGACGAGCACCCTCTACTCCGTCTCGCGCGGCTGGGCACACTCGTCTATAACCTGCTCGTGGTGTTTCCGCTGCCCGCGATCGCCGCGCCCTTCCACCGCCTGGCCCGCGACATCCAGAAGCAGCTGCTCGATCCGTCGCTCCGACCGTGGTGGAACGAGGCGTCAGACCTGATCCTCTGGGCCGCGACCATGGGCGCCATCGCCGCCATCGGATCCCCTGACCGCCTGTGGTACCGCACCATGCTGGACGACCTGACCCGCCACATGGATATTGCCAACTGGTCGACCATGCGCGACCGCCTCGGCATGTTCCTGTGGTACAGCTACACCAACGACTCGGACGGCTTCCGGCTGTGGACCGAGATCGAGGAGTCGAATCTCTTCCGCCTCCCCAAATAATATAAGATAACAAGATAACAAACACACGGCGCGGTGAGGTACCGAAGGTACCTAGTAATATCACAACACGGTGAGGATTGGACAAGTTGGAAAGGGAAAAGGGAGAAGGGGGATAAAAGGTGACCCAGAGTCTTTGGTACAGGGATATTGTGGGTGTCAATGTCAAAGTCGAACGGTGGTGTTAATGCTTGGGATGATTTACGACATCTTGAGTTTATAGCTCTCAAGACTTTTATTGATCATATCAAGTCGTCCTTTGCGTAAGACATGAATGACTCTGTGAACGCGTGCGGGCAAGGTTCACTCAACCTTTTTCGGAGGACTTTTCTGGAGAAGAACGTCTTGTTCATTTTTCGTCTTCTGAGTGGTCTCGATATATCTATCTGTCGGACACTCTTTTGTTACCCATTTTGTAAACAGGGGAAACCACTCCCGTCCCCCTTGAACATTGACTCCCTTGAACCTCGCTCCCAAGAGAAAACCTCGTCGCAGAACTCGTAGCACGTATTCATACACACATAATCGTATTCAGAGTTAGGAACGAAATCAGGACACTCTCCGTCAAAAGGGATGCCCTCCTTGAGCCTTTGGGTAGCATTCAGTCCCCCAATTGACTGCCTTCATCGTGTGCTTTCATTGTCTGGGACAACAGTTGCCTCCGAAGGTGGCGATTGCTCGGCCGAAGTGGTTCTTGTCACGTCGAATTCACTTTGTTCTGATTGCTTCGTTGGCGTCTCCCCACTCGGCTTGGTGTAGATACCAAAAGGATACTGATGCTCGTCCCGAGGCGAAAACCACCCTCCTCTTTCCCATTTGCCCGATTCATAGACACATTCATTCCGAGCTTCCTGGTCGACAATGCCCTTCAACAGCAGATCCACTCGCTTGAAGTCCACTGGTTTCAATATCCACCCGTCAAAGCCTGTTTGCACATATTTGTCGTGCTCCTTTTCGACCAAACAAGCAGAGACCGCGAAGATAGGGATTCGTCCATTGTAACCAGCTCTACTGGAGAGACACGACTTGCTGTGGGTTTTTTCGAACGATCGAATCATCTTCGTGGAGCTGAATCCGTCCACGATGGGCATTTGAAGATCCATAAGAATGGCATCGAACGAAGCAGGCTGTTCGCCGTGTGCCGAAGAACACTCTTCACCATTCACTGTCATATGAACTGCATGTCCAAGCTTTTCTAGACGTTTCCTCATTATTTTGCTGTTGATAGGGTCGTCCTCCGCAACTAAGACCGAGAAGTTATCGGACGATGTGACCTTTGGCGTTTCAGTCGTATCAGATCGTGTGCCCACCGACTCCGGCTCTTCGAAGAGGACCCTGGGCCCAGATAGCGACCCGCTGGGCTGTTCAGGATGGTTATCAGAAACTCGGACAGGCCGCAGTGGGGTTCCAGAGTCCTTTATCCTTTCCGATCCTCCTGTTCGGGAGAACGCAGACTTCAGCTCTCTCGGAGAAGGAAGACTTCTAGTTTTGGGAGTGTTTGAAAAGGCGTCAGCTAAATCTCGAGAAATGCGACGTGACTCTTTGGTGCTAGGACTAGAGCTGCTGCTCGGCTTTTCAGCCAAATGTAGAGGCTGCTGAATAGCATCAATAAGTCTGTCGGCGTCACTCCTTTGACTTGCCTCGCTTTTGAGACTCGGAGCACTCTTTCCGCTCTTGAGACTTGCCAGGCTGTTCACACTGCCCGCACTTTCTCTGCGACTAAAGGGAGGCGGCTCAGGGGTTTTTGGAGGATTCTTGTAAATCAAGGTGACCTCGCCTTCACGCGGCCCGGAAGATGTGGAGGGTCGAGACGTGGCCTCCGAAGATCGTGGAAGATTGTCTGATGGAGCTGGCTCGGACGCTTCGTTTTCAAAGTTTAGAACAATGACAAAACGAGAACCCTTTCCCTCTTCCGTCTTCACTCGCAACTGTCCATTCATATTCCGAATGGTGCGTGCAACAACAGCAAGACCTAGACCAAGGGTGATGTTTTCCGACTGGGTTCTATCGATGAATCTATCACTCGTGATTGCTGTAGGGCTCGGCAGATCCTCTTCGTAGGAAACTTCTTCAAGTTCTCTAAACAACGCGTCGACTTTGGTCTGAGACATCCCTATTCCGGAATCCTCGACAACAACTTCGATCTCAGTCTTGCCTTGCACCTGAAGAGTTGGTAAGGTGTATACTTGGACGATTACACTCCCTTCTTTTGTGTGTTGTATTGCGTTCGCAATGAGGTTTGATACCACCTGTCGAACTCTTCGATGATCGCCAATGACCTGTTGAGGCAGCTCGGGCTGAATCATAACCTCGTACTGTAAATTCTTTCGCTTGGCATCGCCGATGAAAGGATCAGTGGCGTCTTTCAAGGTGTTCAAGAGGTTGAACGGCTCGTCTTTCACCAGAGTTTGACCACCCTCTGTTTTCGTAAGGTCCAGGAGATCGTTGATGACATAAACCAACGATTTCGAGGCAGAATGGGACCTAGCCAAGTTCTCTCGTGTGTCCCGGTCCAGCTGACCTTCGAGCGCAATTTCCAAGTAGTTGATGATTGCATTCAATGGGGTACGAACCTCATGCGCGGAATTGGCAAGCAGAAGACGAGTCAGCTGGCTGTTTTGGAGGGCTGCCTCTTTCTGACGCCAGACCTCGATGAATTTGCCGTAGACAAGGCATAAGACCGATGCTGTCTCTACCTCTTCATCTGTCCAATCTCGACATCGGCCAACGATGGTCTCGCTCCACGCTTTGAAGCTCGTTCTGGGTTCAAGATAGCCTTCGGTCCCTTCCCTGACAAATTTTTCGTAGGGATTGCCGGCCCATTTAACTTCTTGTAACACGCCTTTACGGAAGAAGGCAATAAAGTCATTCCCACCAGTCGACAAAGGGACGAAAAGGACACCAGCCAGAAATTTCCAGCCTGGTTCGTATCGCAAATCAGGAAAATCGTTGCTGATGTCCTGAGAGCAGAACACCGCGCTCATCCCTCTCATTCGGAGATATTCGACCATTGCAAGGACCTCTTGAAGATGACCCCGGGGGTTTCCCAGAATCTTCGTCTCGTCCCTGATAGAAAGTGCACCGACGTCGGCGTCGAACAATTTCAATAGATCGTCAGAGGAGGCCACGATGTATCCCGATGGGTTTGTGGCGGTGGAGGAGGTGTTGATAAGCTTACGAGCCTGCAATCTAGAAGCGTAGGAAAGACGCTCCACATTGCGAGAGGCAGTTTCGCCGACTAGCCGGCACATTTTGCGGATGGGAAATGACACCCTCATCCCCTTGCTTCCATACGAATGGCAAGAGATCAGTCCCCACAGTTCATTGAAGGCGTTTATCGAAATTGACATAGATGACCGAACGCCCATGTTGGCGAGGTATTTGAGGTGGATCGGAGACATCGCACGAAGGTTCGCATGCGTCATGTCGAGAGGTTTCTCAAGGTCTTCCACAGTTCTGCATACGAGTCGGGAAGTCTCCTGATCACGATCATAGAGCAAGCGGACTTTGTTGATCTTGTACAGGTCTCGTGCTTGTTTGGGTATGTCGGATGCGGGAAAATTCAAGCCTTTGTAGAGGTCCAACGTCGATCGAGGATCAACAAGTTCTGCAACGACTCTTCCATTCCAAGCATTGTCAAACTGGTATATCATGACACGATGAAAGCCGGTCAATTCCTTGACGATGCCAATGAGGACTTTGAGGAAGGTTTGTAAGGTTGGCGCACGGGCAAGTTGTTCTTGTACTTGGGACATGATGTTGAATACCTCCATTGCTGCTGCCTCTGTTCTCTTCTTACGAGCACTCCGCAAGACGCGTAACGGCTTGCTGATATTGACAGTGCTGTCCATGAGTTCTTCAGCTGTAGGATTACTTCCAAGAGTGTTTTCAGGTACTGGAGGAGTCAAGTCTTCTGGGGAAGCCAGTGGATTTCTCGTATCGTCTTCGATTTCGAACTCGCAAATCACTAGGCCTGGATCTGTCTCCGAGAGATGCATAGCACACCATAACCGACGAGTCCGGCCCTGCGGAGGTTTGATCGACAACAGGAAAACGTCTGGTCCGTTCGCCACGACATCTCCTGCACCTTCCTCACGGATAAAGTCCAGGTGGTCCAGCAAGTTATCCGCTTGGTCCTCGACCAAGATGTCGAGAAATGAGTCAAGTTTGAAGAGTTGAGGAGGTGTATAGCCGATGATTTTCGCCGAATTTTCGCTTACCACGCGCACAACCAGCTTTTCGTTCTCTTCACGGAAAGCGATGAGAAGACCAAAGCTCTGGATGGCACCCGGAATATGAATTGGCTCATCTTCGCATCGTTGTAATGTCTCCCCGTCCCTTCCCGTAACCACAGCATGGCCACCGTCAGTTACGACATGCTTGAAGCGTGCCGTAACCAAACCTGGTTCTGACGCTACGGAGAGTGGTACTCCACCAGACATACTTGAGACTTCCGACTTGGTGGAAACATCGTCTGCGACAATATTGTTCAGAAAATGATGGTCGATATTGCCCATGGAATAGGATGTTGAGCCGGGGTCTGACGCTTCAGACGCCGACGCGTGCCTCGTCGACGTGGATACACGTCCCAGGATAGGACGACTTGCGTTTCTAGAGCCAATGGGAGGTCTCATCCCAGGATAACCACCGGCCAGATCCATACGAGGCATCGGAGTAGCAACGGGATCGATGGAAACGGTCGAACGAACAGGGAAGACACGATTGATAGATCCTGGACTCAAAGGCAACCTGCCTTCGTCCGATCTTGTTGACGGCGAAGGCGATACCAGTTGTTCGGTATCAGATCGGCCAGTGAACATGCTGACCTGTGACTGAACGGGGGCTATAGGTATCCATGTCGGAGGTGTTTGGTACTGCAGCAAGGTCGGGGATGCTGAGGTACTGGGAATTCTTTGTGTAGAAAGTGCTGGAGGGTTTGCCTCTTTGAAGGGGTCTGTGGAGTCGGGCGAAGCTGGTCCCGACATGTTTGTGGAAGCAGCTCTGCAGCCAGAAACAGGCTTGTGTCGGATGAAGAATATAAAAGTCCCTTTGGTACTTTGCGTTGGTACCTACGTGCGACGTGTGCTGACCGGGGCATGGGTGAGGACGTCAGGACGCTCGCATTTTGGTGTTATTGGCCGACTTCCAATACCTGGTTTGTCCCTCCACCGACTCTTGACCGGTCAAAATATATTGGATCTTTCTCACAAGCACTGAGTAGATGTCCGAATAACCGAAAAGCCCTAACCAGTGGCACGACAGAATTCGGGGGAAACTGGACTATAAGTATGAATGGTTTCGCGGTAGATCGCCAGACGAGGGTGAGAAATGTCGAAAAGAAGGATACCCAGGAGCCAGTCGGGGCAAAGAAGATGTGGTCAACCAGAAGTCTGCGAAAGAGCTCGTTGGTCTCAGTTGCGGCGGTTGTCAAATGTTCTGGTCTTGGGATCGTGCGCCGAAGGAAGGACAATCTGATGGTGGAATCTTAATAGGATGAGAGACAATAGTTGCCCCTGCAACATCGACGGTGAAATCAGGTAAAAGAAAACGAGAGGGATATGATTATATGCAGTTCAGGTTGGAGTTCGTGTGGCGCAGGTGAGAAGATGGTAGTGATGGCAGTGGTGGTAGCGGTGGCACCAGGTGGCCGCGTTGCGCGAAAGGAAGGTGGGAAGAGAAGCGAGTCCGCAGGTTTGGGTGGCTGCATATGCGGGACACCATGGCCTCCTCGACGACACGAAGATCATTCCCATGAGATTTCCTCTCCCACCCCTGGTCTTCAAAAAGAGGACCCCCAGCAAGTCGGAAGCTGGCAAACTGGTCTCCTTCATCGTATTCTCTCGTTATTACTGGGCGCAAAATGATGCCTAACAAGCCAACTTCTCCACATGCAACCCTTGTTCAACAACTTCCCGTCACACACCAACGAACCTAGGGCTAGTGAGGCACAGTTACCGCCTGCGAAAACTTCTCTGGTTCAAATCTTATATCTCGGGCTCTTCCATCATGACCACTCCAATTGTGGACGATATGGGTAACACGGGCCCTACTGCTGTGCTTCCTGACTGACATGGCCTTGAGCAGAAGAGACTCTTGTTGAAATCATGACCCCTCAGCCGCCCCCCTTTTTTACACCCGGGCCATATGCAAGATGACGAAAAGGCTTGATCGCGTAGGTGGCTTGATGGCGAACGATCTCGCTTGCTGGCGAGTTGGGCACGCGGCTGGGGGGAGACAGACACACGCCACCGACGGATCCTAAATTCCCATGCGCATCAAGATGCAATTGTTATGTCAGCCCCTGGGAATCCCATCCAAGGACCCAGCGCCACAGATAGGCAGGAGTCAAAGGGGGTTAAGTCTCCAGAAGCACCAGCTGCTTTTTGCTGACCCTTAGAGCCTCCGCATTCAATGCATCAATCTCTGCTTCGACCAAGGGAATCCCCGACGCCAGTCTCGCCACCGCGGTAATTTGTTCGATCTCCCCTGGGAAGAATATCCGTTCTACCCCATCCATCTTCTCACACCCCACAACCCTCTGGTACAGATAATCCATGCGCTGCTTGAACTCTTCCAAGCTCATGAACAGGTCAGGTTTAATGACAACGAAGAAATGCCCCGTGTCGGCGGGTCTACTGGGGTCGTACGGATTGGTCACATGGCCAGCAAATGCACTGCCAGAGAGCACTCCTGAGAAGACGTCCATCATAATCGAGAGACCTGACCCTTTGGGCCCGCCCATGGGCAGCATGACACCTTCCAACGCTGCTTCGGGGTCGTCCGTCTGCCTGCCATCCTTATCTAACGCCCAGTCAAGGGGAATCTTTTCTCCGCGTCGCTTTGCCTTGTAGATCTTCCCTCTCGCAGCAACGCTGGGCGCCATGTCAAGGATAAATGGTGGCGCTTGCCCCGCAGGCGCACCGCAAGCAATGGGACTGACGCCCATGAGTTTCTCCCTACCTCCCCAGACTGGTAGTGCCGGGCTTGAGTTTGTAAACACCAGACTCATCATTCCGGCGTCAATGGCCTGCTGTACGATCCAAGCAGACATTCCAAAGTGGTTGGAATGCTTGACACTGACCATGCCAATTCCGTACGAGCGGGCCATCTCGATCGCGTGCTCCATGCCCAGATGTGTGCATAGGAATCCAAAAGCATTCCGGCCATCGACTTGACCGACCACAGGTGTGATCTGATTGAATATGGGCTGGGCAGTGGGATCGAGCACTCCTTGTCGGACACGTTCCATGTACGATGGAATGCGGTTCATGCCATGAGTATCGACCCCGCGCAGATCAGCCTGGATCAGACAGTCGGCGATGATCTTTGCATTCTCTTCGGAGACGCCGTTGCCCTGAAGGATATCGGCGACGAACCGTCGAGCATTTTCTGCCGTCACATGGCGTTTATTTGGAGGCTCGTTTGTGGTTGCAGTAGCCATGTGCTTAACGGGCGACACTGACTATGGTTACCCGGGAAGAGGCAGAAGAAGCGAATTGCTAGCGACTTGAGTCCGCGTTGCACAATTGCAGGTCTGGGCAACCAGGCAGGGCAGAATAGAAAGCAGGTCAAACAGAAACCCTTTGGGACTGATATACGTTACATACATTTGTCGCATTTGCCTCGATGCATCTCCTCTTGGCGAACCGACGAGGCCCGCCCGGCCAAACCGGAGAGCAAGACCGACATGTTTGTTAGTCACTGAAGAGCGAAACCCGCCCTATGAGGCTCCTTGTCCCTATTGGAGAGCGCACGTTGGTGTCCATCCCCATCCCCATCCCCATCCCCATCTTTTATTCCTCTGAAGGACACTGCGAAGCCCATAGGTGGGTAGATCGACGTAGGCGGTAGGCGGTAGGCGGTAAAAAAGGCGTGTATATCTTTCGCCAGGGCATTTTTATTCTTGTCTGTTATTGACAAGTGTGGTAGGGTCGTTTCGGTACTGGTCCAATTTCATTAATACATGGTAGATAGATACCTAGGTGGGGAAATAGAGAGGCTGAGTGGCCAGAGTCGTGTAGCTGGGTATATAGCCAGATATAGATAGCTGTGTAGAGAGCCTTTTGGATATTACATTCTGAAATATTATCGCTTTTGGTTTACATTCTCATTCCATATCCATCTCCCTGCCCCTTTTCCCTCTCAGTCTCACTCTTTCTCTTACTCTGTGTGAGTGAGTGTGTGTGAGATCAGCTCACTTCCCTCGTCGTGCCTCCTTCGCCCTCTTCGGCACCAAAGCCGCCCCAGTCGTTGAACTCGCTGGAAAACTTGACCGCCGCCTTGAGGTAGTACTTGTCGTCGTCGCCGTGGCCGCCCCAGACCCGCTCGGCCTCGCGCATGGCGCGACACGCCTTGACAAAGTGCGCGTCAAACTTCCACTTGCTGTCGACGGCTTGGCGGATGACAAAGTCCCAGTCGCGGCCCTGTAGGTCCACGTCGGTGATGTTCGCGGTCTTGATGAGGGGGCGGAGCTGCGCGATGTAGATCGCGAGGGTGATCAGAAGCCACTCCTTCACCAGGGGGAGGTGGTGTTGGGGGTCGAGGAAGGGGATCAGGATCCTCACGGCATGCGACGTCGTCAGGAGGTGCACGAGGAAAAAGTCCCAGCCGTGGCCGCCGACACTGGGCCCGCTGGCGATGAGGAGCGCGGTCGCCAAAGCCTGGGACTGGGCAAAGTCCCTCGTCGGGTCGACAATCTGCCACGCGCGGAAGTGTTCGAGGAGGATCGAGGTCAGGCTCGGGTCGCTCAGCAGGTGTGTGAGGTTGTCCCCGCCGTAGTGGTCAAACACCCCGTCAAGGCGACCGTCGTTGTGGAGCCGGTCAAAGACCTCAAACAGGTTGTTCGTGGAGTAACCTGGCGAATTGGCGGATTGTGCGGTCGACGTTGCTGTCGCCAACAGCTTTGCGAGCTTCTCGTCGTAGCACGTCGCCGCAAGCCCGAGAGCCTCCATCGCCACCTCGCGGCTATTCAGCTCATACGCATACCCGAGATGAATCAAGGGATGGCCCAGCCCTGCAGTCAGGCAATTGAAAATGGGCTCTGCATTCGGCTCACCCTTCTTTGCGTTCCCCCGCTCAAAGAGAAACTGTTCGACCACCCGTTTCCAGTCATAGCCGGCGAGCACCACTTGGTCTTCGAAAAAATCGACGAATGCACGCTGGTACTCACGTTTGCCCAGATAATCGCGGTAGTCGTGGGGAGCGATCTCAGAGGGTGAATCAACCCAGTGCTCATGGCCTTCGTTTGTAGCAGCGTCCTCGTAGACGGCGTGTAAGTGGTCAGCGGACGACGACAAGAGGTATGCAGAGCCGAGGATCTATAAGGCCACATAGCGTGAGTAATGAATTATGGTGGGAAAGCGAAAACGTGGAATGTTAGAAGTAGATAGATGACCCAGGGAAGATGGAAGCTCCTACATGAGGTGTGTGGTTGTGAAATCTCAAATGGTTGTACAGGATAGAAAAGTTGACATGGTTGAGTTTCAGCAGATGCTTTAGCGCACGTCCTCGCTTGTCTGTGGAGGTTTCGACGTCGTGCACCCCGACTGGAGGGATGGCGATGGCTTCCGCAGCTGAGGTTGAGCTCCGGCCAAGGCCGAGACCAAAGCGTGGGAGAGATGAGAATGACGAGAACATGTTGCAGTAATAGAGTGACTTGGACAGAAAGGCAGTCTCTACATGATGGACTCTTTCAATGGCGAACAAGAAGTGGGTGGGAGGAGCAGGAGGAGAGAAGCAAGAGTGGAATGAGTGAATAAATGACGATCCCAACATCATCGTCGCCACGACTTGCGCATCCTTCAAGTTGCTTCTGATTGGGCCCCCCGCATTTTGGCCTCAGGCACCAGTCCCGCCATTAATAGAATGTAGCAAACACAGGCCATAGACACACACACAGTCAATGCTACTCATACATAGATTACCACTCATTCATCAACGAGCGAGTCATCTATAAGCGTCATACAAGCCAACAACCCATCCAGCACTGTCCATTTTGTTAGTGAGAAACCCCTCCATTCGATAATCTACTCGTGTCAAAACGCAATCCTCTGGAAACTTCAACCTGTAATCCTTGCACACCGTCACAGCCCAGCAACCTCCTTCTTGATCTTGGGTTCAGACACGTCTCTAGCTGCTGTCGTTGAAGACGTCTGGACCTCGCCCTCATCATCTGAGTCGACTTCAATGAAGTCGGGAATGGCTGCTGGCTGCACACTAATGTCTGCAGGCACAGCAGATCCGCTGGAGGAGACGTGACTGTCCGAAACTGTGACCGACGTTCTGGTGCTGGATACTCCACCGCTATGCTTTATCGTCAGGCTCTCCGGTGGCGGTGGGCTTGCTGTTGTCGAGAGAGCAGGTGGCAGCCGACCATTGTTTTCTTCTGGATGCAACTCGACATTTGGTATATCGACCACGCTTGATTGAGGTGCAATGCGTTGAGTTTTTTCTGGCAATGTCTGCAAAGAGGAGGTCTCTGGATACAATCTGTACAACGGCATGTTGAGCATGTCCTGATAAGAGGCAGCATAAGGGTTCAGTATCATCTTGTCGCAAGCATCGTCAGTTGAAAGTGTCCCAGGGTGTGGACCAGGGCACTGGGTAGGCCATGGAAAAGGAGTCTGACCGTACCCGTGACCACTGAATGAGGAGGCGTTCCGCGGGAAGGTTTGTGATGTAGAAAAGGCGGATGTGTCGGCAGGAAATGAATGACTCTGCGTTGCAGTCGGTGCACTTTGCTGAGGGCCGAAGAAGGCGTTGATCGTTCGAGAAAGGGGATATGCGAATGAGACACTGTTGCGGCTTGTGGTAGGCAATGCCTCATCTTCCACCAGTGTCCCTGGCTCCTTCTTTACAATTGTGGTGCTGACATCTGCTCCTTCACAGTGGCGTACAGATTCCTCGCGTTCTTGCTTGATGGTCGTGGTTGGCGTCTCAACATCGTCGTGGTATGGTGGCAAAGTCATGTTGGGCTCTGTCTTGATAAGAGGCGTTGGATCGACATTCCGGGCAGGCACCCCAACCGGACCATATGAGGCTTGTGGGACTGGCTGCAGAGGAATGGCTGGTTGACCCCAAAATGCGCTCGGGAACGTTTGCGCAGCATCTGCAATGTACATAGGATACCACGGATGCGCGTAGGAGTGCGGCTCGACCTTGAATCTCTTGGAATCAAGCTCTGATTGCATGACCTGTTGACTTGCTGCTCGTTGGTCGGCTAGCCGCTCATTCTCTTCTTCCTCAAGAAGCCGCTTGTTCTTCGCTTTGGTCTTGGAAGACTTGTTGTCGGTAGTGTTGGAGTTGTCCTTCTTCGGCTTTGGTGGTTTGACTTGGTTGGACTTGCCTTCAAACTGCGACTTCATGCGGCTGTACCTCATGCGGGCTGCGTGACCATTGGAGATACCAAGGCTGCCTGCGACATCATTCCAGTTGATCGATCTGAGGTCCAGCTGTTTGAGGATTGTGTAAAGGAACATCGGGGTCTGAGGGTCGGTGGCAAAGTTCTTGGTGCGTCGAGTTGAAGCCATGGTGACAGGGAGCTTTGGCAGATCGCAGGATGGAGGAGATATTGCGGTTGACGAGATGTGAGTATGGTGGAAAAGATTTGTAGAAACATGTATCCTCACACTGTGGCCATGCTTTGTAGGCGCACGCTCACCAAAAGCAAACCGTCTCCAACCCCATCCCCGGTGCTTTGTTCAGCCGCAGGGCCAAGCACTTTCAAACTCAGAGACATTGACAAACAAGTCGCATTGTGGGAGCCAGAGGCGCACACGTCAACCTGGGTGTCTCACAGTTTATTGTTGAACTGCAAGGCGCCGCTCATAGTGAAATCCTGGTCCTCCTGCTGTTCCCCGTGTATGACGTGCTCCCGCCCTCCTCTGGAAGTCCACCAAGCGACGCATGTTGCAGCGCGCTCAACGTCCATCTCTCCATTGCTCAACGTCTCCCACAGTCGCTGTTGGCACTGTTTCCTTTGCATCGGATTTCCAACCTTGTGGAGGAGCTCCGCAGTCAGAGGCAGGCATTCGTCCAATAACGTTACCGGTAAGAAACTCAAGCAATCAATAATGGCAAGAAGCAAAACAGCCTTTTCTGACAAAGGGCGACTGTTCTCAATCGGAAGATCTGGATTGGGAGCAAGTGGATCTTCTGACGCATGATCCATACGCTCTCTTAGTAGATCTACAACGACGGCTTGCGTATGCGGCATAGATATGGCAAGAGCAGATGGTGGCGCTGCAAGACGGACGACAGATTTGATAGCTAACCGGAATTGACGAGGCGAAAGCGGCTTTGGAAAACTTTGGAGCAGTGTCTCGACGTAAAATGGAACGATTGTCCCTGCAAGCTCTGCGTTTTGAGGTGCAGCAAGGATGGCCAGCACAACACTGTGTGCAGCTTCAAAGATCTCTGCTAGCCGCGGGTCTCCTTGTGGATCGACATACGGCGTTGCGGCACTAAAGAGGAGGTCTTTATTGGTCTGTGGTGATAGTATCAAGGTGAAATGTTCGGCGGTGTTCAGGAAGAAGAGATCCTGGAGCCTGTCGAGCGGATGCGGAGGAATTCGACCCAGATCAGCCGGTCGGATTGAGTCCAGGAAATTCTCCGATTGCAGCGGGTATTGACTCAGAATATCGATGGATGTGAAGTTGACAAAGACGTACTGTGAGGACGACGTGAGTCCGAACCGATGTGCTATGAAGTATGTGTCCCGCAAAATGTGCAAAGATTGCATGGCTATGCTTGGGCAATTCGAGTCCGACGCTAGAACTCTGTCACAGAGCAGTCTTCCTAGCACGGATCGAAGACTGATGACCATCGAGAACATTGTGTCTCTCAGAACCTGTAAGAGAATGGGGAAGGTTTTGGTAACAGTTTCCTGGTCCAAGCATTGAGCTTCTTCCTTAATGTCCACTTCGGATAATTTGTTCTGCCTCCACGAAGTGGCAAGAGTCCGTGAAAACTCGGCCAGCCTGTTGATGGCGAAGACGATCAGGGATGGGTCCTGGACGTTCTCGATGCTGTGAGCGACCAAGCGCGACAGAGGGCCAAGTGCGGATACCAGATTTCTCGATTTGATCTCTGTGACTTTGCGGAAAGACGTGGAATTGGCCGTCCAGTTGAATTTCTGCTCGGGCCCGGAAGACGGTCGGACGTCGTAGTCGATCACTCCCAGCCAATATCCATGCTCTAGGCCCTCCCGAGAGAAGAAGGTCGCATCAATCAATATCGGCAGTAGTAGATCGTAATTAATCTGTTGTTGATGGACTTCCGCAAGGAGAGGGAAAGTATGGTTCAAGACGAAAACGACAGCCAGCTCACAATTAGGCTCGGCATCTTTTTGTTCCAGGGCCAGGTTTGAGGCGAGCACCAGCGCAACTTCGAGTTTGTTCTTCAAGCCTGAGGCGAGTCCTTCAAAGTCCTTGGATCGGAATGCCAGGAGGAGCGCCCCCAGCAATAATGTATGCCTCCATCGGGGGGACTTGTCATTTGCCCCGTGTACAACAGCCGTCGTCCACTCCGTAACCGTGAGATTGCTTCGCGTATGTTCCTGAGCAAAGCTATGTTTATCTTCGATCAAGCGCAGCACCGCAGTGTAGAAGACGCTGAATACCTGTCGACACCGGGCGACATCTGTCGGGGTCGGGTAGAGAACGTCATTCGACAGGAGCTGTGACGTTAACAGGGTGATATTGAGAGGGTTCGAGAGGCGTGACAGAAGGCCAGTAGCCACTGGTAGTAACCTGGAATCACTTAGCAAACCGAGTCGAACAAGATGTTGTATCGCTTACCGAGCGGCATCATCTGGATGACCTGAGGTCTGAAGTGACCTCAGTAATGTCGCGAGCGACCTGTCCATCACCTATAGAGGTTTAGTTGCACGGAAACATCTGAATTTGTTGTCGAAGACTGCAAACGACAAGTCGATACACTCTGGTGGAAGCGCAGCTGCCAGATCAGCCGAGGTTGGATGAGAAAAGTCTTGGCACGGCCAGCAAGGCTGCGGAAGCGCGTCTCGACACTCATCCCAACCGCACTACGAGGTACACCTAGCAAATTCAGTCTCTTACCACAAAGCTTTTTGGATGCAATTCTCAGGCCATGATCCAAATATGTCCTGCTCATTCAAGTTGCTCCCGTTGTGACCTCAGTCGTCCCAATTGTCGACAATTGGAGGAGTCGCCAATGCTGCGAACTTCCACAGCTTCCGCTTAACTCTGTTTCCCGACGAGAGCCGCAATACTGGACTAACGAAGAGTTGGATCGACGGATACAAATCGTAGGTGCAGGCTGTATACCATGCTAGCCCCCGCATATGAGACCAGTTAGTAGGTTTTACGTTTCGAAAGGTCGAACCACGAATTTGGTTATTGCTACTGCGGACAATAGTATCATATTTCCCTACACTCGAGACACTTGGACGAATCCAGTCAATCCTTTCGTTCTCAGGCTGAGCGAATCCTTGGTTCATTCCCCATTCCATCAAATTAACCAACGTCGCTAATAACTCAATTATCTGTGTGAATCTCAGACTTCTCTCAAGTGGCGTCGACACATGAAGCATCCAGCCCCCTGAGCATTACTTGCACGACCACACTGTCGCTCTTCCCAGCATCCAACGTATTCCACGTTGAGAAGATTTGAAGGGACTTGGTAAGCAACCTCACCTGTGAAATCAATGATATCTGCCACATACTCGAGGGCTAAAGCCAAAGAAGTATTTGGCATATGCTCCGTGTAGTCCGTGCAACCATCATCCTCTTGCTGAATAGCTACGAGGACATCAAGCTCTGGCTTGTTGGCATTAGTATTAACAAACAGGGATTCAAATCGAAAGAAACCCACAGCTTCGCATCGTCCGAGCCCAACAAACAATAGTGGTGGCACTTCGGCTCTTCATCATGCCGACGAAGCAGCAGCGTCGATCACCTGCAAGGAGGTAGAAAGACAAGCTTATATTAACACTCCGGTGGCGCCCGGTGGACCAGACCTTAACCAGACTTGCCTCGTGCACCTCGTAGTAAACCCAAATTACCTCGGCGGGCGGAGATATAAACTTAAACCTTACTTTGGTGGCAACAGAACCTGAGAGATGTCAACAGTCGGTGTGCTCGCAGCCTTCGATGTAGCGTCTTGGGCAGGCAGGTGGTTAAGCATGCCTTGGGTCTTCAGAGGACCTGTCAATCAGTGTAAGCATCACTCTTTAGAGACTGTGTCAAGTTTTGCACGGTCATCCTTCTTTGAATCCTGCTGCTCACGTTTAACCAGTTTCAAGAAGACACATCTTCGAACCAGTGTCCTAGCCTGTCATGCACAGTTCCGCTTTGAACACGGCAAAGGCTTCTCACCTGGAGTCCCATGTGAGATTCGTCCCTGAAGTTAGCTCGCCTGGCAAAAGTACGCAAATCAACCCCGCATTGGCTGCTCCCACATTCCAAAGTCTCCATGTTCGCGATAAAAAGGACCGAAGGTGGCGGCGGTATGGGGAACGCTAATGCAACATGGGTTTGCTCGGTTTGCCCTGTTTTGCCATATACCACGAGGTAGTCCTTTGTGCCTCAAGAGGCTCTCCCTCATAAAATAACTGTGGGATCCTCGAAGGAAGGCTGTCAAGGATCCAAAGAGATGATCTACCCGAGGAGCGCCTACGGCTGGACAATTCCAAGGGAGAAACAAAAAGCGGCATCGGAAAGCCCAACAACGGCAAGACGGATAAGACTTGCGGAAGCCTCACAAGCTTCTCGTAGCCTCTTAAGGCTTTGAGGTCTCCGTATCGCTGAGGCATGAGGATGGATACACCTGGATTCGCCGCTTCTCTTACTTCGACCATTCCCCACAACCACCTCTCACACTTTCTGGCCCTTCATCAGGTGATAACTGGGCCATTGTAGGTTCTCTGCAAACAGTTATTGTACCGACATGTCATCGAGGAGTAGGCGCTTCGCTTAGACCTCGAACAACTATGTGGACTGGTGACTGGCCTACAAGGAAGAGGTGACTGCATGTTACGTTGCACTCTCTGGTGGTATTCCACCACAACCAGATCGTCCTCTCCATTTCCTATTGGGGAATGGAGTGACACAATGACCTCCAACACCCCGTCCACCAAACGAGTGCTCTATGTGGCAGGTCGGTCTCACTGACAGCGAGCAAATAGACAGGATCTTGCGTGACGGTATTGCCCACCGGGGGAGCTCCAACCGTGTGGCTCACAATGTACCACCACCGGAATTTGGATGAATGAGGCGAGAGTCACACCGGAGGGATTGCCTCCAAGTCAAGTGGGCAAGGGAGTCTTAAGACCGAACTCGCCTTTCCCTTCGACCTCTGATCTTTGTCCCTCTACCACATTGTCCCAGTGGTATAGCGAGCAGCATTCTCAAAATGTCGTCGGATAGCGACAAGTCAAAGGGAGAGTTGCACCAGGGTCCTCAGAGCGATGTCCTTCACTCCGAGGTCCTGGATGAGCCCAAGGGCGAGGTGCACTCGAGCGAGAAGTCGGACCTTGATCATGCTGAGGTCTTGGTCAACCCGGATCTGATGAGCGATGCCGTCGATGGCGAGGTCCGTGAACATGGCATGACCATGTGGGCGGCGGTCAAGCAGCACCCCTGGGCATGTCTATATGCATTTATCATGTGCTTCACCATTGTGAGTCCAGTCGCAAAATCTCCACCCTCGAAGGTAGAGCTGACAGCAGATGCCTCTTCAGGTCATGGAAGCATTCGACATGTTTCTGAACGGCAACTTTGTTGCGCTTCCCGTCTTCCAACGAAGATTCGGCGTCTCGCTCAAGGACGGCGGCTATGCTATCCCAACAAGATGGCAGAGCGCCCTCTTCCAATCTGGCCAATGCGGTGCTTTTGTCGGTGTCTTCCTGGCTGGACCTGTTACCAATCGTCTCGGCTACCGCTGGACCACCATCTTGGCCCTGGTGCTGATGAATGCCACGATTTTCATTTCGTTCTTTGTGAGTTATCACGAACGCCTTACCAAGCTTATCCACTGACCACATCTACTTGATGATTAGGCCGACTCTCTCACGGTTCTTACAGTTGGACAGGCACTGGAAGGTGTCCCTTGGGGATTCTTCATTGCGAACTCGCCCGCCTACGCCAGCGAGATTGTGCCCCTCGTCCTTCGAGGCGCTTGCACGGCCAGTCTGCAGATGGCTTGGTCTGTTGGCCAAATCATTGTCGCCGCAGCCACCTACGGCTACAATAAGCGAAACGACCAGTGGGCCTGGCGAGTGCCTCTTGCCTTGCAGTGGATCTTCCCTGTGAGCTCCTCCTTTAGAATTTTTGGGACTAGAGCAGAACGCGCTGACTCTTTCAGACACCGCTATTGATTCTCATCTTCCTCGGCCCGGAATCACCTTGGTGGCTTGTTCGTCGTGGCCGCAAGCAGGAGGCCCTGCGCTCCATCAAGCGCTTGGGTACGAAATCGACCGAGCATGCTGAACAAACACTCGCGATGATGGAACGGACTGTGGAAATTGAATTGCGCCAGGGCGGCACTCCTACGCTCCTCGACCTTTTCAAGGGCACGGATCTGAGACGAACGACCATTATCTGCCTGATGTACGCGTCGCAGAACTTTGCGGGTAACCTGATTGCCAACCAAGCGACCTTTTTCTTTGAACGTAAGTACTTCCTCTCTCTGCGTGACAGAAGCATGGCGACAATAGCTAAATCCTCCCGTTTGTAGAGGCCGGGATCTCGACCAATCGTGCCTTTGAGCTCAATCTGATCAACTCGTGTCTCCAATTCTGCGCCAACGCGGGCTCGTGGTTCCTCACGGCTTGGTTCGGCCGCCGAACCATCTACCTCTGGGGCACGGCGGTCAATATCACGCTACTGTTCGTGCTGGGCATCTGCGCGTCGGTGTCGCAGAGCAGCGCGACCAACTACGCCCAGGCGGTGCTGGGGATCCTCATCTCGTTCGTCTTTGCCGGCTGCATGGGCCCCATCTCGTACACCATCATCGCCGAGACGTCGTCGGTCCGCCTGCGGGCCTTGAGCACCGGTGTCGGCCGCGCCGCCTACTACGTCGCCGAGATCCCCATGATCTACCTCGCCTCGAAGATGCTCAACCCCACGGGCTGGAACCTCGCAGGCAAGTGCGGCTACGTCTGGGGCGGCACCGCCTGCGTCTGCTGGATCATGGCCTTCTTCTTCCTCCCGGAGCTCAAACACCGCTCGTACCGCGAGAGCGATATCTTGTTCAACCGCAAGATTCCCGCCCGGAAGTTCAAGTCCACCGTCATTGACGTCACGGAAAATGAATGATGGCGAAGCGAAGCATGGGTTTGTAGACGATGTGAGAATGTGAGATTGTCCAAGGGAAGTGGAATCAAGACACGGCGTGGACTCTTCGTAGGATGGCAATGGACCTGTAGTCCCTCTTCATGGATTCAAAGTAGGCACGGATTTCAGTGGTGGTGGGAGAATCATGATGCAGAAGTATGTATCTCGTGGCGGGTGCTATGTCGGGGTTAAATACCTAGGCTTGCTTCATAAATGGATGAGAGATCTGGGAATGAAGTCAAGAGTGATCTACACAGCATATACACACATGACCCTCTAGAGTGTAAAAAGTGTGGAGTGTGAATACCAGGCCCAAATACATTCAATCCTTGTGTGTTTGCTTGCTTGCTTGCTTACTTACTTACTTGCTGTCTTTGTTTTGACCTCTCAATATAACCTGCCTGCCTGCCTGCCTACATTTGATCTGATCTGATCCGATCTGACCCACTCCGATCCGAGATTCCAAGTATTCTCAAAGACCGTGAAATTAATTTTTTGTAAGGAGATACCGAATATATCGTACGTTTGCTCGCTTGCCTGCCCGCCCACCCTCGCCATCATCCTTTCCTTTCTTTTCCTTTCCCCTTTGTGCATTTATACGTTCGCGCGTTCGCGTGCTAGTACTGGCACTCGCGCCGGCTCCGGCTCGGCGGCAGTGAAACCTCTGTGGGTCACTTCCCATCATATCCCTTCCTATCCCATTCCATTCGTTCCAGTATCCATGTCATGATGATCTATTGATCGTGGACCACGGTTCTTTGTTCTCCCAACATAGCATATCATTTCATATCATATCATTCTATCCCGTCCCATCCCACATTATATTCCTCGCGTCAAACGAGACTTGAAACCTACTAAGAAAGGAAAGAAAAGAGAAAAAAGTCAAGGGGAATAAAAGCCAATAGTCAGAGTAGGCCGGCGGCCAGTCGAGTCAGGCTCGTTCAGCTCTGGCTCGCTCACTCTCTCATACAATTCACTCCCTTATCACAAGGTCATGTCCATGTCCATGTCGCTGTCTCGCTCGGCGTCAAAGTCATAGTCTTCGTCGAATTCGGGCCCGTCGGGGTCTTCGACGGGCGTGGGATGGTCCGCGGGTAACCACTCGGAGATATCGGAGTAGGCATCTAGGTTGTCGTCGTCGTCGGCGGCGGCGGCGGCGGCTCCGTCGGCAGTGGCGTCAATGGCAGCGGCAGAAGCCTCGAGATCCCTCGTCCTCCGCTCCGAGGCACAGAATAGCTTCCACCGCCGGCGTGCAAAAGGGTTCGTGCCGCCACGATTGACAAAGTCGAGGACGGCACCGCTCGGCACGCGTGACGGAACCTGCACCCTGTCCATGTGTTGCGTGTCCTCTTCCAAGTCTCGATTGTCGTGGTCCCAGGGATTGACCAGCTCAAGCGAGTCGAGCGTAAAATCCGGGTTTGACGACCACCTCTCGACCACGTCCTCCCACCGGCCCCGCAGGTACGGTCTTCTCAGAACCAGATGTCTCAGGCTCGGTTGCATGAACAGCCACGCGCAGATCTGGTCGGCGGTAAAGTCGGCTTCCTTGAGCACCAATGTGTTGAGGTGCGGAAACGAGACAAAGGGCAAGACGTTGTCTCGACCACGGTCGGCGTCACCGAACGGGATCCCCACGTGTGTGGGCTCTCCATTCGAGGTGCCGAGCGCAGAGGGGAGGCTGAAGCCGTATGAGATGAAGCAGAGCTCGAGCCGTCTCAGGTTCGACGCGCGGGCGAGGGCTGTGGCCAGGACGTGGGCATGGGGAATCGCATTCAGTGGCGATAGGGTTTTCACCTCGAGGCAGAGGCAGAGAACGGTCAGGTTACGAAAGCCGTGCTCAAGTTTCTCGGCATCGGGTCCCAGATCCTGCACAAAGACGCCACGCTGGAGGAATAGATTGCTGTTTCGTCGGATTTCGAGGTGTTGGATACCAGTGTCCAGCGTTGGGTCACTCAAAGCACGCCAGGCACCCATGAACCCATGCGATGGCCAGTGCCGTACGTCGGGTTGGAGCCAGGACCTGACACCATAGTCTGGCAGGGGGAAGACTTGCCTCAGGCGTTTCAAAGCGCCCATTTGTTCCAAGCATGGAGAATCCAGTGCGAGGCAATCAGCCTCAGTCTCAGCCTCGACACAGATGACTCGGCGGAGATTGGGGAGGCGTTGAAAAATCTGACGAAAGAATGCATGGAGGACATGTTGGTTTTGGGAGTGCGCAATATCGGCGTACATGCCTCTGACTGCAGATATCATGTCTCGGATGTCGTCGTCACTGGGCCTTTGCTCCGCCTCGGCTAATGCGGTATCGCTTTCGTCCAGATCTGACGCCTCCGAGTCTTCTCCCCTGTAGTCGATGGCCAGTTTCTTGGGTTTGGCAACGAACTCGGCAATCATGCTGGCCATGCCCTCGTCCCTGTGCAGTCTAAATGCTAGAGGGCGGTCTCGATCGTTCCACGTCTCGTTATCGACATTGATGTCGAAGTCGAACTCCTGGTACCGAAGCTCCTCGACGGCCTGACAAAGTGTAGGGTGATTACCGATGTCGACGAGTCGGTTTAGTGTGAGATACGAGACATGGATGGTTCGAAACAAGAAAGGCCCAACTCTGCTGGCCAGGACCCTGTTGACGAGGCGGACAGCCTGAAGATGGTCCCGGTCCAAGAAGCAGAGGACGTGCACCAAGACCTCGAGTGGGAACTGATTCAACATGTTTTCTGGACCCACAAATACGTACACACACACACAGAGAGAGAGAGAGAGAGAGAGAGCACACGAATATAGAAGGGGAAAAAAGGAAAGAAATTAAAGATCCCAAATTCCACCAATTTATATGAAGTTGGACCAGGCTGAGATAGGCTAGATCTCCGACAGTGACAGGTAGGCAGCAATCACCTCACGCGACCAAGAAAGTCGGCCGAGCTTCAATCAGCTGCCTTTTTGTTGTCTAGTTCGGACCTGTCACCCAAAGGGCCCCTGGGGCCTTTGATGCCAATGGCTGGAATAGTTTCATGATAGTTCAATTGTGGTTGGAACGACATTGGGGGACAGCCAATCATGGACTCGGGTTACAAAGTCTGGAGAGAAAAGTGGAGGAAGTCACCCACATGAATGACAATCGTTCCATCGATGGAAAGAGAGACTCACCCTCACCAACCCTACAATTTCTTTGTTACAAAGGAAAGGAGAGTTCATGTCAGTATTCTCGGGGTGGAATCTCCTTTTATTATCACCGAGAACTGGACACTAAATATGCTTTTTCCACGGCCAAACTCTCGGACAAACTCAGAAATTCAAACAACCATCGCGCAGATTGTACATATCACGGGTTGCGATGGATGGTTGTATCCACACAGCCTAGAACACCAGCGCATATACTTCCCGTTGCAACGCTTTGATACCTTTCTGGCAGAGTTTCGCCGAATGCTACGCTCATCACCATCTCATTTTGCCCTCAGATGAACCTCACCTAAAACTGATCTAGAAGGCGGTCCGTTATTCTTGATGGCCTTGTTGCCCAGGTGGAAACCTCCTTAAATAAGGTACTTGCTGTGTGATCTCCCGGACACGGACACGCACACTAACAACTCACCTTCACTTTTCCAGAAGCCTGTACCGTCTCTCATTAAACCGCTCGGATCATAACAATGTCGGCGTCAAAGCCCAACTGGTGGAAAGCCAGCACCTGTTACCAAATCTGGCCGGCTTCATACAAGGACAGCAATGGTGATGGAATCGGTGATATCCCCGGGATCATCAGTACATTGCCATACCTGCAAGATCTCGGGGTGGAGACAATATGGCTCTCGCCCATGTACGACTCACCCCAAAAGGACATGGGTTACGACATCTCCAACTACGAGGACGTTTATCCCGCCTACGGGACACTGGCCGACATGGACCGGTTGATCAAGGAGTGCCACGACCGCGGGATGAAGTTGATCCTCGACCTGGTCATCAACCACACCAGCGACCAGCATGCCTGGTTCCAGGAGTCGCGCAAGAGCAGGACCAACAGGTACGCCGATTGGTATGTCTGGCGGGATCCGAAAATCGTCAACGGCAAGAGACAGCCCCCGAGCAACTGGCGGTCCATCTTCGGCGGCAGCGCATGGGAGTACTGTGAAGAGCGGGACCAGTATTACCTGCACCTGTTTGTCAAGGAGCAACCGGATCTGAACTGGGAGAACGAGGAGACGCGCAAGGCCATCTACAAATCCGCCATCGAGTTCTGGCTCGACAGGGGCATCGACGGGTTCCGCGTGGACGCCTGCAACCTGTACTCCAAGGACACGTCGTTCCCGGACGCAGTGACGAAGCTGCACGGGGAAGAATTCCAGCCGGCCGAAGAATTTTACATCAACGGCCCACGCATGCACGAATGGTTCAGGGAACAACGCCAACAGGTCCTCGACAAGTACGGCGACATCTTGATCGTCGGCGAACTCCCCGGCACCGAGGCGGCAGAGGTGTTGAAATACGTGTCGGCTGAGGCGCGTGAGCTGAGCTGTGTCTTTGATTTCGACGTGGTCAACCTGGGCACGCCAAATGGAGGAGGTGGCAAGAAGCACCACACTGTCCGGCACACGTTGCCCCAGTTCAAAGAGGCCATCCGCAAGATGCAGCGGCTGACCGAGGGCACCGACGCTTGGACGACGGTTTTCCTAGAAAACCACGACCAGGGTCGCAGCCTGACGCGGTTCGCCACGGACAAGCCACAGTGGCGGGAGAAGGCGGCCAAGATGCTGGCGGTGCTGATGTGCACGCTGACGGGTACGCTGTTCATCTACCAGGGCCAGGAGATCGGCATGTACAACCACCCGGAGCACTGGGGCGTCGAGGAGCTGCGGGACATTGACTCGCTCAACGCTTACAACGACGTCAAGACCCGGCACCACGACGACCCGCTCTGGCTGAAGAAGGCCATGAAGGGCCTGCAGCTGGTCGGCCGCGACAACGCCCGCCTGCCCGTACAGTGGGACGCGACGGCCAACGCGGGCTTCACCACAGCCAAGAAACCCTGGATCCGCGTGCACGACGACTACGAGGCCGTCAACGTCGCCGCGCAGCGCCGCGACCCCAGCTCGGTCCTCTCCTTCTGGAAGGCCATGATCAAGCTGCGCCGCCGCCACGCCGACCTCACCATCTTCGGTCGCGACTTTCACGTCTGGGACCCCTACGACCAGGACGTCTTCACCTTCACCAAGACTCACCCGGACGGCGACCGCAAGCTGCTCGTCTTCCTGAACTTTTCCGACGATACCCAGCCTTTGCACTATCCGCCCGGTTTGGGTCTGGATGGCGCCGCCGTCACCAAGGAGCTGTTGGTCAGCAATCTCGCACAGGGCGATGAGGTCGGCAAGTACCTGACTCCCTGGGAGGCGAGGGTGTATCTGGTCCGGGAGGGGGTGGTTAATGGCCATTAGAGAGATCGTGACCCTGTCTGTTCTGTACATAGGGAGAGAGCACTAACACAATCCGTCCTGGGTGTGCTAGAGCGATAAGAAAGACATATGCTGGCGTTGGAGATTCCACAGGGTGCTTGATTCAGTGCGTTGGCCGGGACAAAATATCATTGGAGCGGTAGAGACATGGACTTCACAAATTAATGATATTATCACTTTTGAACGGACATCTATCATACCCCAAAAAATGTTGTACATGGTTTCGCGAGACAGTCTTGGCTGATGACGAGGTTCCTCCAGGCGAAAAGAGATCTCCAAATGCAACAAGAACTGCTCAATATATAGTACAATGCCACGTCAGCTGGAATGGCCCTAGCACATCCCGAATGGTAATAGAGTGACAGGGTTCGAGTTCGGCCGGCAAGCTCGCTTGGAAACTTGATGAGCCGGATGGCTGAACGGCAGAGCGGAGTTGGCTGCGATCGGTGTTTCCTGATCTCGATAAGAATATTGCTATCGCCTCCGATTCTGGTGAGAACAGGATTGGACGCAACAGAGCCTGATGTTCTGACGAGTTGAAGTTGAGGCCACGGATCCTTGAGCTGAGTGTAAAAGGCTGCTATCACAGCTAAACCTCGACACCGGAAATTTGATCGTGTTTCGCGAACTTGTAGATACGGTAGGGCACAGAGATCATCCAGGTGCGTTCCGTGGCTGTTTGTGTGGCTGTTTGTGTCGATTTCAGTCTCAACCCTGTTGGCCTCCCTGCTTTTCCTCGATCGGTGTGTGCACAGACTCAGTCCCATCCTCCCAAAACTCAAGATCCTCCTCGCCCTCGTTGCCCACCAGTTCACCCGGCCGGATGCCTAGTCTCCCTTTCTTCAACAGTTTGCTGAAATCTTCGCCAGCGGCCGCTTTCTTTCTCAATATGTCTTCAAGTGTCGAGCTCTTGTCCAAGAATATTTTGAGGTGGTCGGCAATAACGTGCCGCCCTTTGCACGAGGGGCACGTAACCAGGACCGTTCCGCGGTGGTAGCCATGTTTAGTGATGCGGTGCGTGGATCTGTAGAGACAAGGCTTGCAGGTAAAGCTCAGTTCGTAGGAAGGCTCATCTCGCCCTTCGGCCGGCTGTTCTTTGCCTCCGGGCACAGCTAATGACGAGTTGTGTCGATTGATCGGTGGAAAAAGGCGACGAGATGGAGTTGGCTGTTGCCATGCTAGTGGACTTCTCGACGCGAGCGATGGAAGCCGCGCGGAATTTCTGATCGACTGAAACGCGAAGAGGCTGCCTGCCGCCCTCGGCACAGCATGAGATATCGATCGCATGCTGCTTCAAACCTGAGAAATGTGAATTGAGATTGTGAGTGAAAGAAAATGGCACTTGAGTACCTCGTAGTAAAGGCAATTCTCCGATGACGAAGGTTTTCTCCGAGAAAAGGTCTTTTGATTTTCCGATCCGTCTCCGGCCATTTTAGGCCGGCGTGCCACCTCGCAAGGCGTTGCTCCAGCACAGTGGCGTCCAGGCGGCTGAAGGAACACAGCGACTACAAGTACCAGCGAAAGGTCCCTTCCCCCGCCTCATTCTCTTGGTCTATGCATCGGCCTGGCAAGGTGTTTGAGAGCAAGACTAGACAGCCATCTTCTGAGCCTGTCAACTTCCTTGACCGTCGCGAGGACTTCACTTCTCCAAAAGCCCTCTCCACCACCTGCTCCTCAACTCAACATCAGCTCAGCCTTTTGGAAACAACGCAACCTTAAGGGCTGCCTTAGTGCAGGCAATGTGTCCTGCCCATCATGTTGGCTAAGAAAGGCGGCTCAAAGATCAAAGCCCCGAGAAGAGTACGTGCCTTGCCTCTGAGACTATCTCGCAGACTGCGGTTTCGGTGAAGTTTGCAACCGCCTTTGTTCGTTCCCTGAGCCTACGACATATCACTTCAATCTGCCTCGATTTTCCGCAGCATATCGACTGTCGCGATTCTGCACAATGCCAGTCTACCTTTTTTTTCCTGTCACGTGCTAACATGTCTTCTTGTCAGGGTCTGGCGAAAGACGATGTCGACTTCGACTCAACATGGAACACTTTATCTACCGCTTTCCACGAGATTTTCGCCAAAAACGCCTCCAAACTCTCGTTCGAAGAACTCTTCCGCAATGCATACAAACTAGTCTTGAAGAAAAAGCAGGATATGCTGTACGACAGGGTCGCGGAGTTGATATCGTTATGGCTGTGGAACAATGTGCGAACGAAGATACACAGTCTGGTAACACCTGCGCTCCTAGCAGATCGCATGGACAAACACGCCGCCATATCGGAAGAGAGCAGAGTCGCTGGTGAGAGGTATATTAGAGCTCTCAAGGATGCCTTTGCCGACCATCAACTTTGCATGGGGATGATCACCGACGTTCTGATGTACATGGTAAGTGTCTTGAATATTTCTCCGATGCGCTGATACGATGCTTATAGCCGACGCAGGACCGCATGTATGCCCAAGATAAGAAGAGACCACCAATTTTTTCCGCCTCAATGACGCTGTTTCGAATGAGGGTTCTGGAGAGTACTTTGGAAACTGAACCGCCACTGACTGTCCTCGGTCTATTGAACACTGTTCTACTTGATATGATCAAGTCTGAACGCAAAGGTGAAATCATTGATCGACCGTTGGTTCGTGCTTGTTGCTACATGTTGGAGGGCGTCTACGACTCGTACAGGGATGAAGAATCCAGCAAACTATACCTCACGTCATTCGAGCCTCTGTTCCTGCAAGCGAGTCGAGAGTTCTATACGACCGAAGGCCAAACTTTGTTGGTCGAGGCCGACGCAAGTTCGTTTTGCACCCACGCAAGGAAACGTTTGGCCGAAGAACAAGAGCGTTGCCAGCAGACCATCTCCCAACTTACAGAACATAAAATCAAAGCTGTCGTGGAAACGGAGCTCATTTCTGCTCATATTCGCGAAGTCATCAACATGGAGGGCACTGGGGTGCAGAGCATGCTGGACAATGACAAAATTCAAGATCTTGCCAATGTGTACGAACTCGTTAGCAGAGTGGACCCGCGGAAGACTGCGCTGAAGGATGTGGTCAAGAAGCGAGTGATAGAGCTCGGCACGGACATCAACAAGGTTGCAAATGTCATTGGTGAAGCCGCACCCGCAGCGAAGGCCACACAGAAAGCCGGTGCTGACAGCAAAGGCATCCAACAGGAGAAGGCGCTGAATCAACAGACCCATGCCGCCATCATGTGGGTAGATCAGGTTCTCATGCTGCAGGCAAAGTTTGACAAAATCTGGAAAGAAGCATTCCAGAAAGATACAATCCTAGAGAAAGCCCTACAGAACTCATTCCAGGATTTCATCAATATCAACGACCGAAGCGCAGAACATCTATCTCTTTTCCTTGATGAATATCTGAAACGGGGTGGAAAGGACAAGAGTGACAAGGAGGTGGACATAGTCCTCGAAGACGGCATTTTACTTTTGCAATATCTTGCGAACAAGGACACTTTCGAGACATACTATAAGAGGCACATGGCGAAGCGTCTCCTGATGAAGAAATCAGTCAGTCGAGAAATGGAACGCGAGATGCTCTCGAAGATGAAGATGAAAATTGGGAACCAGTTCACCCAGAAGCTGGAAGGTCTCATTAGAGATACGGAGACGTCAGATGATCTCAACATCAAATACAAGAAATATGTTGACAAGCTCGGCGACCGCGATCCCAAACGTGTGGAGCTGGAATGCAGAGTCTTGACCACGACTATTTGGCCCTTCGAAACGCTCAGCAAGCCCGATGAAAACGCTGCCAAGACCGAATGCAAGTTTCCAGCTCCGGTTGAACAGGTGCGACAGAGATTTGAGAGATTCTACCTTGATAGGCATACAGGGAGAAAGTTGACCTGGATGCCCGGTCTCGGTGATGCCGACATGAGAGCTACATTCACGAACGGTGGGAAAACGCGGCGATACGAACTCAATGTTTCGACCTATGCAATGATTATTCTCATGCTCTTCAACGATCTCGCACCAGGGGAATGTTATACCTTTGAGCAAATTATGGCTGAAACCAATATTCCCAAGCCTGAGCTCGTCCGGAACCTCCAGTCACTATCGTTGGTGAGTAAATGGAGGGTTCTTCGCAAAGAGCCCATGACGAAAGACATCAAGCCATCAGACAAATTTTACTTCAATGAAGATTTCACCAGCCAGTTTCTCAAGATCAAAGTGAGCGTGGTCGCGGGAGGCGGCGCTAACCGGGTCGAGAGCTCGGAAGAACGTCGTGCGACTCAGAAGCGGACAGAAGAGGAGCGCGGGATTGTCATCGACGCTGCGATTGTTCGGATCATGAAGTCGCGCAAGACTGTGACGCATGCACAGCTGATGACGGAGACTCTGGCACAGGTCTCGTCTCGTTTCCAGCCCGATGTCAATATGATTAAGAAGAAGATTGAATCGCTGATAGAGAAGGAGTACATGGAGAGGGGTCCTGACCCAGCAAAACCTTCCTACATCTACCTGGCTTGAGAGGCACGAATTTCCGAAGCGTTCACGTTCAGCATGTCGGCTTTTGAAGATGGCGCTTACAGGGGCAGGATCATGTTTGGAGGAAGTATGACTTTTTATGATGGCATGATAGCAAACGACTTACGCAGGGAGCATCCAAAGATGGAATGGGACAAACACCGGCATGGCGTATGGTCGACCAGGTATCGTCCATCTCTTCGACCTCAAGTGGGGAGCGGACAGGAGCTTTTCTGGCGGAGTTTTGGAAGAGCTCGACATGTTGTCGCCCCTGAGCATCGTACAGCGAACTCACGGCAAACATTACAATACAGTGCCATGAACCACATGAAATTCCTCCCAGGACCAGTGAGTGGATTCTGATGGAGATAGACCCATTTTCCGTGTTGTTAATCTTGATTGTTCTAGCGTGACTGACGTGGCGTTATTCCCCAGGTCACTATTGCGAAGAGTGAATGTCTAGAACAAAGAACAAAGAACACCTACTTGGTCTCACAGGCACTTCACCTCTTTCCTTCACACCGCCTTTTATCTTTCACTTCCAAGCTTCCAACCTCAGTCAGATCCCATCGATGCGCCCATCTCTCTCTCTCTTCTTCGGCTCGAATCGGCTTGTCAACCTCGTTGCTACAGACGATGTCAGCGACGTCTCCAGACTCCAACTCTTCCTACCCTTCTCGCTGGTCTTGGTATCTTCCAGGGAGCCAGAAACCCAGTTACGACTCCCTTGGCGATGTTCTTTTGATCCTGAACCGACGAATCACTCCATCTGCACTCGGCCATGACGCGGGAACAGAACCCAACAAGAAGGATGAACATGATGAAGGCATGCGGCCTGAAGGTCTTGATGGGCCGTCCAGTGAAACATCACTCATAGAGGCGCCGGTGCCCTGTGGGACTCAAGAGATCGAAGCCAAAGTGTCGTCCAAACATCTCTCGATGGCTTCACGGGTTTTTCGCGCCATGTTCGATGGTAAATTTCAGGAAAGCGTCGTGCCAGGATGCAACCAATTGTCCAGAGTACCACTGCCCGAAGACGATGCTGACGCTATGATGGTCTTGCTGGGAATCATACATGGACTGAACAGGAGCGTCCCTCGTACAATCGACTATGCGTTGTTCTTTTCGATCGTGGTTCTGATTGACAAGTACGAGCTTCAAGAGGTTACAGGGGTGTACACAGATCTCTGGTTTCCAAGTCAATGGGCGCATCGTGACACTTCGACTCCACTTATTGCCGACTGGATTTACATCTGCTGGGTTCTCAAGAGACTGCCGGAGTACAATGAACTGACCAGGGAAGCCATATTTGAGTGTTGTTCTCGCTTTGACGACAACGGACTTCCATTGCCACCGGCAATTTCGAGTAAGGATAACCTCCGTCGATCGTCGTTTCAAACAATCTAACCATGCTTGCATAAAGGAGAGATCGAATCCTGTCGACTTTCGGCCATGGAAGACATGCTCACCTACGCGAACGAGACGCTTGAAACATATCAGGGCGAAAAACGGCAATGCACACAAGACAAAAATTGTGACGCCCTTGTCCTCGGTGACCTCGTCAAGAAGCTGAAGGCCAAGGGTCTTTATCCTGTTCCCCAAGCTGCTGCCCTGGACGTGTCTCTCCGCGAGCTTCTCTTGCGACTGCGGGCGTTGAAAATCTCCTCATTGTGTGAGATACAATTGCCGCCATTTACACCACCATCCTACAGAATCGCCCAGCCTGTTTGCGGTATCAAGAAAAGTCTTGACGAGAAAATATGTCGGCTCGAGTGCGGAGTGGCAGGTCTGACATTGCCTCTCTTCACTCCTTTCACTCATTGGATAGAGAACAAAACAAGGGCACTGGACCGTCTCAGGGTCCTCCAGACAACTACGACCCGCTAGAATTCGGCATGTGGGTGCCTCGAGTAAGAGGAATGCAGCCTGGGAACGGTACGCGGGATGACTTGGTGCTCATCTCCAGGTATTCGTGTGGAGCAACTCGACACACTTGATCCATTCGCTGTGGCATGTGGGGTTGATGGTATTGTCTCATTTCCTCCATCCGAAAGATCGCCCACAACACAAGTGATGTTCTTTCAGTGGCGTCGTCGCTCGAGAAGTTACCTAGGTACCCAGCTTCCCCAATGAAACCGGAATACCATCTCAAAGGATCTAAGTATCAGGTGCCCTACGAGCGAGCATACCCGGCAATCCTTGAGGGAAAACCAAGACGCCGTCCACGATCCGGGCGCTTCAGAAGAGGCACGGCAGGAGCGAAAAGGGAGGGAAAGGTCAGGTTCTGGAATATCACACCTGACAAGACAAGGAGGAATGCTGGGCCTGGCTGCACGGTCATTATGTCTTCTCAGAAGGGCCACCATGCGCGGACTGCAGATCGTGTGGTAGACAGCAGTAGTATGTTGTGTTGGCTACGAACATCAACCTCCTACACATGTGTGGCTGTGAATGTGAAGTCCCCATCTGTACCTTGAGAGCGTATTTCAGCAGCATAAAATCCAGACACCGCTTAAGTCTGCCTGTATGTATGTACACACGGGAGGGAAAGCAGCTCATATTACGAGCCTTTTGCTGGCTGCTTGCCCTCCCGCAACTCTCTAGATGCAAAAGATATCTATCGAACTCCAACAAGCCGTGAGTCTGGTGATGAATGTGACAAACTACACACTGCATCGTATTCCTCATCTCGTCTCGTCTTCGCTAGACCCAAACTTCTCCTGCAATATCGGTCGGCCATTAACTTCATTAAATTGGTCTAGGTCCGTCAGTTACTCAGTCTATGGCGCCACTCCATCCCCCGGGTTATATTGAAGTAGAATCTGTCAATTCGCAAGGCGCAGGAGCGTTGATAGAATTTGGTGTCGTTGCACGCAGCTGGAAGTGTGAAATCTTGTTCTGGGCATCGATGAAGATAGTGGGCGGAAGTCTGTATCTGGCAAGGGAGCTGTCGAAGTTGCACGTGGCGTGCGCGTGTTGTATTCGCAACCTCCATCCGCATGTTCCAGATAGCGCGTTGGTGATACTCGCAAGGTGTGTAGTCTTGCTCTGAGTACCTTCGAGCAAATTCCTGCTCCCTCCCCTGCTGCGGAAAGTTGCTTAACCTGGGTTAAAATGGCGCAAGCATGGAAAGCCTAGAACAGTCCTAGACACTCACAATATCGCCTGCAAGTGAAGTTGCAGCACCTTTATATCGTCGACCAGCCTTTGACTATAGTCTTGGATGTCTTGAGCCTCGGCCTGCCACTGCACCTGCTTCAGTATGCCTCTCAGCCCTCCTCTTGGATTGTGTTGCCTCAGATAGTTGTGAAACTTCCGGAGGCTTTTATTGAATGCCCCCCAAACTCTTCTTGCAGTGGCCAAGTGCCCTTTTAAGGGCTTTGCGATCTTCCCGAGGGAGGCCCCGACTTCGATCCGCAATGAGGTTCAATATCGACTGCAGGATGTCAGGGCGTCCGATCAGGTGCTGATATCCCGCACGAGAACCCCTCAGCCTCACGAAAGGCTTTTGTAACCTTTTTTGCTCCATTTAACGGCCGTGTCAATGTCTCGGAGACCGAAACTGAGTGACATCTCCCTGATATGATTTGAGGGTCAAAAAGCATGAGCAAAATAGTCTTGACTTCTGAGAATAAAGAGGATGAGACACATTGCTCGGTTCCGCTGTCAGGCTGAATTGTCAGTGATCATGGGCGCAACTTGGCTTCGAATTGAAATTCGTCGCCTTATTGGCCCCAGGCCACCGCAACCATCTGATGATTCGCCAATGGGCATGACGCGACAAGAAAAATTGAATGAGCCGGGCTGTTGAAGGCTCCATGCATTACCCAACATTTGAATGGCAGATGCAAACAAGGTCGTCCATATACCTGCCTTTCGGAGACCTTCCGGTTCCCCCTTTTTACCCCACCTGACATCTTACCATTGTTCACCCCGCACGCCCACCTCGAACGATCTGCCTGTGAATTATCAACCCCACGTGACTTATACCAAACAAAAGGAAACTACCCGCCAACACGACTGAA